CATTGCTCCGTCTAATGGACCGGCCATCACGATCCTATATACATCTTGACAAATGAGCCGAGTGAGGGAATTTAACAAGTATTTGGGCGGATTTTTAAGGTTAAGAATTGATGGTGTAATCGGTTAGACCTGAGTGGTGCTGTCGGGGTTCTTTAAGAGCCTGCCTTAAATGCGTTGATACGCCCGAGTTGGTACGGGGTTATTTGAGCGTGATCTCCTTAATGCTCTGATTTCTTTTCTAGATCAAATTTGAGCACGAGGTTTTTGTGGGCTAGCTCATAGAAAATCGGAAGATCTGAAATTTAATTGCGTAATCGGTTAAGTCAGGGTTTCAATCGGGGTATTTTCAATCCTTGCCATATCGGTAGAGCATTTGAAAATTGGCGCAAGTTTTCAATAAAACCAATTTATTCTTATGACAAATTTGAGCGTTAAATTAATGCCGTAAGCGATTAGACTCCTTACACCGCTTCCCTTCATGGCCCCTTTAACGAATTGCTTCCTCTTTTTTTTGAGGTTTCTTTCCATTTCAACCCCTCTTGTATTTCATCCCCTATTTCCAGCGCTTAATCCCATTAACGAGCGGCGGGCTATACGGTGGTGGTAATTCAAGCCGAGGCACCAGCCTTCCCACTGCAGCAATGTAGCGACAAATTAACGGGGGTTGGTGGTTGGGTCTTATCCCTAGGGCTCAGTGAGGGCAAGGGAGGGCAAGGGTGGGGCCAACGCGAGCAAGCCTGGGGCCCAGGGCCCTAAAGAATCCGGTACGTGTCGGAATTGTTGCTACTCTCAAGCGTGTATCACATTTTTTGGGGCGGATTTCAACCCGAGCAGTTGTGATTCCGGGTCCGGGGGGTAAATGTGCGTCAGCCGGATTATCGGCTTTAGACACAATGGCTTCACGAGGGGAGTGGCTGATGATTATGAATGGCCGGATTATGTTGTTTGTAATAAATACCTAGGGGGAAGAGGGAGTGACTTAAGTGGGTGTGGAAGCTTTTCGGGGTGCATGCGTGTTTTCCGGGTTTAGAGGTGTTTTTTTGGAAGTTTTCTGTTTCCGGGTGCTGCTTTCTTTTGAAGTCTGAATTTTTTCATGGCTCTAAGATTTTCGAAATAGGCTTTAACGGCTCTAAGATATTTTTAAAAGCCTCTGGCGTTTTTTTAGAGCAATTATGAAGAAAAGGAATTTCCTTAAATGTCCAAACTAGCTCGTGCTCAGGCTTTTCTAAATATCACAAGGAGTATATTTGAAGATTTCTAAACCCGTCTCAAATCTTTTAAAGGCCCCTGAAGTATAGCGTTTCCTTAAAAATTATCTGCACTTGCCGTGACCCCGAACTCATTCAAACCCGTACAACACCACCATACCGTATCCCTCCAACCTTTCCAAGCGGTTTCGCCCCCCTCCCCAAAAACAAGTAACCCACCGTGACACAACCATCCCCCCCTCTGGGTATTCCATCCATAAAGGCAAAAGCCACGCCGCCGCTTCCCGAATCGTGACGAGTTCCGGCGCTGTCCTTTGCACACACAAGCATTTTCTAGCCTTTTGGGGGTGGGGTGGCTCTCGGCATTTTTCGGGATAAAAAGTGATGCCGCTGGTGTCGAGCGGGGATGAATTAATGGGGTTGGTCTTTTCTTTAGGTCAATATGATACTTTCAAGGGACCGGCAAGTCAGAAATGGCTATAGATTATCATAACGTAATCGACTGTTCTGATGGGCCTTTAAAACTTGTTTTTAATAGAGAATATCGTCAGGATTTTCATGGTTCCCTGAGACCCGGTTGCTCATGCCAAGAACCCTATTGATGCCTTTAAAGGTGCTGTCAACCCATAAATATCCACAGATTATCATAACGTATTCGATTGTGCCGATGAACCACTTAAAAGCTTTCTAAAGTGATAGGATACCCAATATTTTGCTGTTTCCCACAGCGACCGATCGGACCGGGAAAGCGGTGGGCGACGATCGATCGCGAGCCGACTCCTTGACAAGCACCACCTGACCTCTAACGATACGCTTCTCCAAGAACTTTCTGGGGGGATGGGTTCAGTTATCTGTCGGTTTTAAAGGGAATGGGACAGGTGGAAAAGGGCTAGGGGGGATACTTTTTTGGTTGTCAGCTCCTTTTAAAGGGTGGAATCGGGAGTCAAATCAAGATTTAGGGAACAACGCAAACTAGCAGTGCTTCTTTGGGAATTCCGGAAGCTAGATACGGTCAAGGCCAACTAGCAAAGATTTTTGAAGAATTTTTCAGTTGGTATCTGAGGGTTTAACGCATTTATTTTGTTTTTGAAAGACGTCATGATCGTAGTTTGGTAGCACCTCAAAATCAGCTCGCTTTCAGAAATACCTGAATTCCCTTATACCCCTATATAACCCCAGCTCGAACAAAGTTTACCATCGACACCCTAAATCCCCCCTTACTAACCACACCCGCGGCGGGATGCCCGTGGGGAACAATAGAAAGAGGCCGACACTTGTCCCTAGCATCGAAGTGTGAACGTAGCCCCGGGCGATTGGCACGAGATTCCAATGTAAAGATGAGGAGGATGGGGGGTCTTTAAGCAAAGTGTCCCACTGCTCTCACCACTCGACACGGCCCTCCTGATCGCGAGGGAGAAGGGGGGGGGGCACTATGATCTTCTAAATAGGTGACAATGGGACGGGGTTTTAGGGTGCTATTATATTTTTTATACTGTTTGCGGAATTTATGGGAATTCGGGTATGATCCATGGGATTTAAAGGAGCGGCGAAATGTCTCTCGTCTAAATGTCAGTGCCTCCGAGCGAGTCTATTAATGCGTATTTCAACCTCGAAAGATGGTCCAAGCTGGGATCTCTCTCTCTATCTCGCGCTCCCTCTATATCGCTGTTTCTCTCTGTCTCTCTCGCTCCCCCTCTCTCACTCTGTCTCTGTCTCTCTCTCTCTCTCTATCTGTTTGTCTGTCTCTTTCTCTGTCTGTCTGTCTGTCTGTTAATGTGTATTTCTCTTCAAAATAACTTTCCAAGCCCATTAATGCGTCTATAATCTCCAAAAGGCATTTTGTCACTGTAGTACCTTTCGATACAATTCCCACCCCACCCCAACCCGTAGCATCACGTACCAATCCCTCAAAAGGGGCGGTACCATATCCATATCGTGCAGAGGTGGAGAGTAGTGTATGAGGTGGATAGATAGAGAGAAGGGAGGGGTGTCTAGGGTAGTGTAGGGGATTGGCTGAACCCGCCCCATTGCATCCCCCATCCATAGACTCCCGCCCATCCCCCCCCTTCCCTACCACCGTGTGTGTCAGTGACACCGACATGAACCCCCGATCCTGAAGTCCTCCTCTCACTGGGTCTCATCCTGGGATTACGGTAGCCGGCAGGGTTGGCTCGGCTATATATATTTATATGGATTTCACTATGATATCGATACTGGATTAGAAATTGATCCTGATTTTTTGAAATTTAGATCTTTCTAGGTTGTAAATTGTCTACTCTTCGACTCGATTTACATTGTTATTATGATATGGATATATCACTAATATACCCTTTTAAAGTATTATTTTGATACTTTTCGAAGCGCGTCCGAATTACGGTAGCTAGCTTCGATTCTATTTTTTTGTAGAATTCTGTTAATTGACGAATCCAAATTTTGTATCCCGATCTAACTACCTCTGATTTATACTTGTTAATACATTCTTAATATACCCTTGCTAAAATTTATATTTTGTACTTTTTTGAGAAGCCCTTTTGAGTTACGGTAGCTAGCCATAAGTCTAAATTCTTCTCTAAGATTGTATAAATTTACAAATCCGATTTTTGCCTCTAAAGTTATCCAAGTAGCCATTCCTTTTTGCTTGGCCGGAACAAACAGTACAACCACGGCATATAGTATCGCTATCCCCTAGTTAATCCGCTCCGTCAGTCCGACACGATACTATTTCCGGCACCATCTCTAGTAGCAAAGCTATAGTAAATATTAGAATTGACATTAACCGACAGTTTGCTCCAGAGATATTATATTTTAAATTTCTCTAAACTAAAATCTAGGTTTTAGCTGTATTTACATTCCCAAAAATTATACTGTACCTTGGATCATATTTTTGATGCTCTTTGAAATCCCAAAAATATTCCCTCGCTCAAAATATGCCACTTTTAATGACATACCTTCCTTAACCCTCGATTTCCCCGCCCTATAATTCAAGCTTTTCCCAAAAACCCACAGTAGAGCACGTTCTATGCCCAGACTTTGTACAGCCCCCCGAATGCAAAATGACGCCCTGATAATTTGCATCCCCGCTAAACCGCCAATTTTGTGCACTGGCCTTTCCCCGAAAAGGTGCTGTACCACCCGAAATTTGGGGTTTTCTCGATTTTCGGGAATAATTCCTGGGCTTTTTTGGTCGCAAAGATGATCGAAGTTTGGCAGGGCGGTGTTTTTCCGATTTATAAAAACAAAACAGGCTGGATGAAGCCCTTTAAGGCGGGGAGAAGCCCGCCCCCGGAAATGGGTTGATTTTTGTGACGCTGCGCCGATGGTTCCGAGTCACGGTTTATCGCCGGGAAGCCGCAATTCTTGATGAGGTACCAAGGGGAGCGGATTTGCATTAGTGGTTTTGGTGATCTAGCTGTAAAAAATTGTCTGGGAAAAATTGAGTAATGTTTTAAAGGAGTTGTGAAGGCCGGTATTTATATATCAAAATTTTTAAGCGCTTGTATAAGCCTAAAATAGTCATTATTTCCTTGTACACAACATCTCAGCAACTTTAGCACTTTGTTCCAGGCTGATCCGCCCCACGTCCCGTTCCCGCATTAATGTCATAATCCTGGATTTCAAAAATGCCAAATATTTACTTCTTCGCTGCGCGTCTTTGGATTATGACGTTCATTCCATTTTCTTATTTCTCTCTTCTATATTCAATTTTTATATTTATTTACACTTTTTTTTACAGAATTCTGGAGGCCTAGAAAATTTGGATATTCCGTAAAGACGGAGGCCAACGAGGCTGCCATGTTCCCCACCGGGGCCATGACCCCCGAAGTATTGCAGAAGCTGTGGTTGCAGGTATGACGCATCCCCTTTAAAATGCAAAATGCAAATTTACTAGAAAATCATTAACATTTTTAGATGGCTCTAAACCTTCAAAATGGTACCGCACCGACCTTGCCCGGGATGCCGACCACGCCCACCTCAACCACAGGTTTGTCAAAAATTTATTAGATTTTTATACTGTATTTTCATTAGTTATCGTTACTGTCGCGTTCCATTTAAAACCCAAAAACCCACGTCAAATCTCGATAAGTCTTCTAAAAATGTCCAAAATCACTCCATATTTTCCCTATTTGCAAATATCAGCTCGGGTGGCTTATAGCGCTGAGCTCTACCTTATTAGCATCCGATCCCCCTGGCGGAAATCTGGGGGCAGATGGGGAAATCATGGGGGGAGAGGAGGGTAAGCTGTTGTGTAATGGACAAATCTTCTGGGCAATAGCTTTCTTTCTCTCTCTCTCTCTCTCTCTCTCTCTCTCTCTCACGGGTTGTTTTGGGTTGGAGGTGAACGGTGGATGTGTCATCGATGGTTAGGGGGGTTTTGGATTCGGCTCGTGCTCGCGGCTCGGGCTACAAAAGCTGGGGTTAAGGGGTGGAAATGTATATTTTATGCATATTTAAACTTCAAATTTTTCAGGGCTGTTTCCGAGTGCGGCTAGCCTGTCGGTGCCCGTGAATCCTGGGAGTCCGACGACGAGCAATTTGAATAGCGATCAGGTAGGGTTTCAAGGGATTTGGAAGTAGGGGAAAATGGGTTTTAAAAGGCCATTTAAGGCAAAGAATAAACGTTTAAATGCAATTTTTTAAGCGAGCCCAGATCTTTCCAAATTACTCTTTTTTCTCGAAAATGTTACAGTTGAGAAGAAAAATATGTTTTAAGAAATGAAATTTAATCCTTAGATTTCTCAGACAATTTTACCTCCAAACTAAGCCCAAATTCAAATCCCCACCACCGCGGCAACCTTCAAAGGACCCAGCAAAAACCCTGTTTTTACCATCATTTCCCCGAGTTCCCACCGCGCTTATGAGTGCCCCAGCGCGATCATCCCGAAACGCGCCAAAAAACGGGTCGGGAAACGAGTCCCCGGGCCTGGGTGGTCGGGGGGAGTGGGGTGCATTTTTTGCTACCGTATCCGGACCTTTTCCGGGGGGTCCTGGGGGGCCTTCTCATCGCTTTTCGGGCGAGAAACGCGGAAAAAACGCAGAGGGCTGGGGGGCTTTGTCTAGTCGGGATGTGGTTTGAAGAGGATGGGACGAGGGAGGGGAATTTGGGGGATTTTGATGATGACACTTTATTAAGTGTGCTTTTATCAAGTTCAAAATTAATACAAAGGTACCTAACAGCTTTAAAGATATCTTGAATACAATATTCCCTCCAATTGACCTATCGCCAGCCCGCCAAAACGACCCGATTTTACAGGCGCGCGGGGTATAAGAGGCAATCGGGGACAAGTGGGTGTTGTTTGAAGGGAGCGTGTCAAACGGTGTGCCCCGTTGCCCGCTAAAAGGTGACCTTGGCGCGATAGGTGGACCGGTGGCGGGATGGGTGTTCTCGATTGCCGGACGAGGGGGAGAACCCACTCAACGGCGTTTCTCATCGTCCAATGAGGGATGGGGTTGGGCATTGATACCGGGCGGGTACGGTAGGATGGGTAAAGGATACGCTGACTTCAACCGTCTTTAAATTCTTAAAATCTTAAAGTCTTAAATCTGTAATATAGGAAAAAAGCACCTTTTTAAAAACGCGATGATCTTTCCGAAGTCACATTAGGGGGAAAACTGGCTTGACAAGTCCTTTAAGTTCCAAAATCTGACTTCACTGATCCTTTAAACTCCAAAATCTGCCTTGAATCCTCCTTTAAACTCCAAACTTCGACTTCAGGGTCCTTTCAACACAAAAATCTGACTTCACTGGCCCTTTAAACTTGCAAACTCTGACTATATCGCGCTTTAAACCTAAAAACCTCTAGATTTCTTTGTACATCCAATCCCCCATCCTCTTTCTGATTAATGCGTCAACTCGCACTCCGCCCATATCAAAATCTCAGTAGCTGCTGCTCCATTCCCTCCTCATCCTCCTCTCCGATCGCATTTCAAATCAAATTGTCGCCTCGACACTCCTGACTCCCTTCCCCACCCCCCATAAAACAAATTTCAACGTGCTTCAGCCGTTCCGAAGGTTGCCTACTTCCGAAGTTATTCTAGTCTTTTCCTATTCTCCACATACCCTACCATAACCCCCGCTCCCTTTTCGGTATCGGACCCAAAAACCATCCGCCAGGGCCCTAATTTGGGCCCCTAGCCCGTCCCTCCCGAAAATGGCATACCATGTACAATTGAGGGGCTTGTTTTGAGTTCAAAAATCTGGCAACAGTAATTTATGCTTTTTACAGGTGGCCAGGATGTGCGAGCAGCTTGAAGCCGCTGAGGACGTTGATCGGTTGGCGAGATTTTTATTCACGCTACCGCCAGTGTTGGTGCAAGAGGTAATTGATAGCTACTGATTTTATTATTTTGCTTCTTTTAAAGGGCCATTGAATGCAAATGATTTATGGATTTTAATTATAAAAATCTTCTTATTTAAAGTCTTTTGATTTAAACCTTTCAGCTCCACAACAACGAGGCGTACCTCCGAGCCCGCTGCCTGATCTGCTTCCATATGGGTAAGTGGCACCCCGGTTACCGTAATCCAAGATATATTCAGGTGATTTCCGGAATATGTACGCGATCATGGAAAGCCACAAATTCCCGCCGGCTAGCCACGCCAAGCTGCAAGCAATGTGGCAAGAGGCGCATTATCAGGAGGCCGAGAAGCTGCGCGGACGGTGAGTGTACATAGGTGTCGCCCGTAGTTGAGTCAAAAATCGGGTTTAAACCATATTTGAAAAAGAAAATTTTTGTAAGTTTTTTTGCAGCCACTAGCGAAATTCGGGTTTTAAAAAATTTCTAGTCTCAGCCTTCGATCATGCACCTATTAATGCACTGTTAGACGTCAGGAGGTGTACCCCCTAGTGTTTTAACGTATCTAGGACAGATTCCAGCTACAGTATCTTTTTTAATAGTTTGAATCTGCTTTCAAGGCGTTCTAAAGCAAAAATCTAGATTTTTCCTTCCGCTTTTCAACAGCAAGCAACCACATTCAAACTCCTGACCCATGCACCTCTCCACCCAATTCAAATCTGAACTAACAGAACCATATCGAGCCATATGGCCACATTGCTCTACACCCCCACCACCCGACATCTCCATGGTCAAAGGGCAAATGTGCGCTAATTGTGACCCAGCCGAGGGCCAAAATTAGGGAGCGGCACTGGGGCCTGGCAAGGGACCCAAGCTACCCCAAGATAAGCCGCTAATATGGGTTGGGCTAAGGAGCGTGTTTTTTTGGGGGCTTTGGGATTAGAGGGATTAGGGTTCGGGTTGGTTGTAGTTATGAAAATAGTCATGGTTTATCAAGGTTGCAGCTGTCAGAAGCGGGTTAACAGAACTTTCTAGGAATTCATGGCGTTTTTTCAGACTATCTTAATTTTAAGATAGTTATTCTAGAAAGATGCCTACTTCTGATGTGCTGAAAAATCCTTTAAATCATTTTAAAAGTCGTTTACAAAGGCTTTGCGTTGAGAAATGTTTTTGTACTTATCCTCTTGCCGTCCATCTATTAAAACGCAGCTAGCGTGATTGATAAATTTGATATTCAATTATAGCAATACAACAATCTATAGATTTCTCAACAATGGAATCCCAACTAAATTCTAATCTTTTTCGGAGTTTTGTTAAATTTGTCAAGGTTTTTTGGCAAATCTAGCTATTTTGACCAGTTAAGATACATAAATATATAAATGTAAGAAAGACTACTACAAAATATATAATTTTAAATTATGTATACTTAAATATTCGTTCTTTCCCCGCTTCTAACCCCCAAAAGTTTACTGTAAAATCGCTTTGCTAAGTCTAAATTTCCGTCAGCAACCCCATTTCCGCACTTTTCCACCTTACACCCGCCAATTTTGCCAACTTTCCGATATGTTGAAATGATAATTACTGCCCCAAATATTTTGAGCTCCTATCTGTACAGCCCAATTTTTGCGCCACAAGGCCCCCAGTGGTAATTGGGTGAAAAATTGAGGGAGGTGCGAGCCGGATAATAGGTACTTGTTCGTTTCTTCGGTACTGAATGGTTCATGGAAACGCGAAAGGCGGCGCCGATGTATTGAAAAATGACACAGATTGCCTGGGGGCACGTTGTGCGTACCTCATAGATCGAAATATGTGCCTCGGCCAATGTTTTTTAGTTGTATTATTGTAGCATAGAAAAGCTTATGAGTTTCTCTCCAGATTTTCATCTAAATTTTGGATCTTTACCATACCTACCATATCCGACAGCATAGTCGTTAAAATGCTTGAATTTGGACTAAGTCTCGGATTTTTGGGACTGGGCTGTTAGCGGGGGGAGCGCAAGGGGTTTTTCCGTTTTTGTTTTCCCGTTTATGCGCACTGTTACTAATAAATAGTGTATTTTTATAACGTTTTTCGCAATTTTTGATTGCTAGAAAGTTACAACAAATAATATAACCATTTTTAAAATTGAAAACTTTTTATTTTTTCGGGATTTTCTTTCATCTTTGGCCAAAAAACCAAAAAGTTCGACAATTTCTATGTTTTCTTACTAGCTTTTTATATCTGAAAATGGTGTAAAATCCGATAAAAATTGTTTTATATTTACTTTTATATATCTAATTTTTCAGCCCTCTCGGACCCGTGGATAAATACCGTGTCCGCAAGAAGTACCCGATGCCGCGCACCATCTGGGATGGCGAGCAAAAGACCCACTGCTTCAAGGTAGTTTGTCAGCTTCAAGGTTATATGTAATAATTTTTGCTTTTTAAGGAAAGGACCCGATCCCTCCTCCGCGAATCGTACTTGAAAGACGCCTATCCCTCCCCCGCTAAGAAGAAAGATCTGGCTGTGGCGACTGGGCTGACACCGATGCAAGTCGGGAATTGGTTTAAGAATCGACGGCAAAGGGATCGAGCGGCGGTGGCGAAGAATAAGTGAGTTTTTGGAGAAGTACTTTAACGCCTGATATGTAAATTACTATATGATCTCTATCTTTTCAGATCCAACGTCATTGGGATGGAGTTGAAGAAGGTCGGAGGGCTAGGATTAGAATCGGATTCGGACGGTGACGACGAGTTTATGGACGGTAGCAATACCGATAGTCCATCTCCGCATGATGAGCCAAAGGTTGGTAGCTGTTCAGTCCTAAAAAAATAGGCAGGCTAGCATATGTCATTGAGGAAAATAGGTTTTTCTGGTTGTATCTCTTTATATTAGGTTGGACCGAAAGTAACTGCAGTTTTTCGGCGACCAAAATTTTATGGAAGCATCCATCCATTCATTTCAAGATTTTGCGATGCTAGAGGGTCAAGTGTTGTATTGTTTCAGTAAACGTTTCAAGCCGAACCTTCCACAAGTTTTTTAATCCTCGGGCAAAGAACGCGTGCGACTCGATTTTCGAGTTTTTGAGTTCTACGAACGATATCTCTGTCCATAGAAGCTCTAGCACTCCAAATAATTGACAGTGGATAGACAAGTCTTGTGGCTATACAGCGCATTATATAAAATGGTAATGCCTAGCAGCATGATTTTTTCCCAAGTCATTTTCGAAAGATGTCAAATTCGGTTTTTGAGCTCGGAATCGACAAATTCATTTGTCGGTTGTTTTCTCCGTATTTAGAGGACAACTTTTTGAATGGAATATATCAAAATGGAGCTTAGCTATAGCTGCTTTACGTACGCAGATTACCTAGGAACAATTGTTCCATGCTGGTCTAGAAACGAGAGCAAACCCAGAATTTTGGGCAAATTTTTATTTTATTTTTTTCTCCGCGAAAGATTGGGTTTAGATAATTGATAATTTTAGCACAGTATGTACTGCCGATGCCCAATTAGATTGCATTAAGAAAAAAATTTGATTGTGAAGGGTCGAAGAATAGGAACGGAAATTCCGTGTCGCCGTCTCATCTCAAAGTCGATTACTTGGTGCTTCCACTATTTGCAAAATTTCCTTAAATAGAGAAGGAAGGTAAATAGTTGATAGTTGTACAATGTTTGTCGCAAAATGTTGCTTATGATAGATGGATCAGATTTAATTTGGTTGTCCTCAATAAATTGATGAGAGCCTTTTCGCCCAGCGCATCGAGAATTCGGATTTTGATCCAAACTATTGCAAATAGCGGCTGACTCTAAATCCGCAGGGTCAATTGAGCCCCATAGCTAGAAAGATATTGAACTGGCATTTGATGTTACAAATTATGATTCGGAAATTCCGACATTAACAATTTTTATAAGGCTGGAAAGGAACGAGGGTTACAGGATGTCGCCGCCTCGGGTCGACTAGGGTCTCACGGAAAATCATTTATAAAAAAAGTTATAGAGGCAGGATTTTTTTGATATTTTTAGGGTAGATAGTTACCCTTCTAGACTACATAGGGGGGTTAAGAACCGGGCGGCCATCTGGCGGAATTATTGAGAAAAAGGGGTCTGCAGGTCGTCTGCAGTTACTTTCGGTCCAACCTAATATGTTTTTTTCAGGACATGACCTCAACCCCAACCCGTCCTCCCCTCACCCCAGCTGGCCTCCACCCGCTGCTAATGTTCAACCCCGGCCTCCTGACGCAGCTCGGACTGACCGGCTTCGGCTCGTTGTCCGGCCTGCCCGGCCTCGGCCCCTTCGCCCAGTTCCAGGCTTTCAACCCGTTGTTCGCCCACCTTGCTGCCGCCCAGACCCCGCCATCCCCCTCCTCCGAGGTATATTTTTGGGGTGTAGAACGGAAAAAAAATTTGGTTGAATATTTAAAGGGATCTCGACAGTAAATGACGGCAAAAAAAAGCATCCAGTGAATTTATTTATTTTTATTTTTCAGCCCTCCCCCGTCGCACCCAAACGCAAAGGCCTCGTGATGAGTATCGACGCAATTCTGGGCAATTTAACAAATTCGGTAAGTTTTATAATTAAATTTCCATTTTAACACGCAAAAAACGCGAAAACCAGTATTATCCTTAATTTTCAGACGGAAAAGACGGAGGTCCAATCCCCCTCATCATCCCCTTCCAAAGACGAAGCGGACTGCTCGAAGGGGTCGGACTCGGCGACCGACACGACGTCGCCCGTCTCCACCAAGCACCTCAAGCACGATGTTACAACTGATGACGAGGACGACCGGAAGCCGGAAGATGAACATCCATTCCTAAAGGATCACTTGGCGTGATCTACCGTTTTCCATGGCAATACATGGGTGCAGGCTCGAAAATTCACATAAAATCATTCAGAATCTATCCTAAAAAAACTTTAAAGTCAATTTTCGACCCTTCACCTTTAATGCCACCCAAATATACCTCGGTGGCCCAAGATTAAAAACGGTTTTTGGAGGGATTTGCATATTTTAGCGTGGTTAGCATGAAGCTGATCCACCCAAAAACCCTGACTCCAAACTACAAAACGATACGTTCCATCTTTGCACCTCTCCCTCCCCTCATTCAATATTTAGCGATCTAGTGTGATTGGTGTTGTGCCCATGCCCACGGAATATATAGTCCAAACCTCCCATTAATGCACCCATGCATTTTTTGGTGGGTCCCTCCCCCCAATCAGGTCGCCCCCTTAGGTACGCGATATAGAAATGTGCCACTACGAAATTGTACTGTAACCATTTAATAATTAGGGCAGCGGATTTTGAATACAAAAATTAGCATATTTGTCGTTAACTTTATACTATCCAAATATCTGCCCTAATTACTGTAATTCTGTGTATTGCACCCGCCAAACAATTCTCCCTTCTGTGTGCTGACGTCTTCATTTGAATAGTTACCATTTTTGGGGATCTCCACGCTTTTAAAGGACCGTTGAAGGCAAATTTTTAAGAGCTAGGCATCCCTTAACCTTCAACGCCCCTTTAAAAACCGTTAGCTCTCGTCCCCGCTTCCCCGGAATCTCGGCTTCTACTATTTTTGTCTATATACAACCCGTACAACCTACCTAATTCCGCGCATTTGCCCCCGTCTGTCAAAATCTCCCTCTCCGCAGCATGCAAATTATTTTTCCTTTTTTCCTCTTGTGGATTTTTGCCGTTGTGCATCCAGTTTTCGTGTGGTGAGCACAAAATAAATTATTCCCCATTTGATTTTGTTGATTATCCACACCACCCACACAAATCCCAAGAAAATGGCAAAGACAACAATTATAAAAAAAAAATTTTTTAAAATAAAAAATAAAAAAAAAAAAAAAAATTTAAATTTTTTATTTATTTTTTATATTTTAAAAAAAAAAAAAAAAAAAAAAAAAAAATAAAATATTTTTAAAAAAAAAAAAAAAATTTTTTTTTTTTTTTTTTAAAAAAAAAATTAATAATTAAATTAAAAAAAAAAAAAAAATTAAAAATAAAAATAAAAAAAATTAAAAATAAAAAATAAAAAAAAAAATAAATAAAAAAAAAAAAAATTAAAATTAAAAAAAAAATAATAAATATAAAAAAAAAAAAAAAAAAAAAAAAATAAAAAAATTTTAATATTTAATTTTTAAAAAAAAAAAAAAAAAAAAAAAAATATAAAAAAAAAAATAAAAATAAAAAAAAATTATAAAATAAAATAAAAATAAAAAAAATTTTAAAAATATATTACGAAATACGAAAAATGCAGGAAAAAAATTACGCACATATCGCGTTTTTTGGTGACGCCAGTTGTATGTAGTTTGGAAGTGGATGGTGACGGAAAAGGGGGTTCGTCGAAAGGGATTGGCTCGTTAAGTTCGCTTTATCCGTCGGGTAAATGGATGACAAGGTAGTGCAGATTTAAGGAGGGCGGAGATGACTCGTTTATAACCCTTTTTACAAGGTAGCCTTTCAAATAGCAATGTCAACTTTTTCAAATGCATCATTGAATTTAAACAATCTCTTTTGCAATTTTGTTACTTTTTGAAAAAGTAAATGTTAGGCGAATTTCTTTCTTTAGGACTAAATCCTGGCAGTTGAAATCGCGTACGTTATTAAAGTAGCGTATAATAATAAGCTTCAGTATATTTAGGCTATATCTAGAAGCTAACTTTTTTGAAAACGCATCAGATTTTCATCTGTTTGTAAAAAACCCAGATTCGTTTAGAGTTTTAAGCTATGCTGCGAAAATTCAGAATTTCGCGGTGCGTTAAATCATTAAACGAGCAGATAAAATTTGCCTATTTCTCCGTTAACTTTGAGGGATAAAATAATCAATAAAACGTGATCTTTAAATTTAAATTTACCGTCAATACTCGAACCGGGTTCAACTTTTTTGATTTTTAAGTTTATTTTTTCTACATTACGCCAACTTTTCCCAAATCAATATATGTTTTGTTTATCCATCCCGCACACGAATCATTGGCGGGGTATCTGTAGTGGTGGGTTAATGTCGAGAGATAGGATAGAGTGGGGGGGGGATGGACGGACATCTAATGGGACGAGTTCTCGGCCACATCGCCCTCTCTTTTCGTAGATGGGATTACGGTGGAGTTAGAGGACGGGTGGGTGTAATGCGAGAGTGTGTCTCGAAAGGGTCGTCACTGGCAATTGAGTCCATAGGGGTCGGGAAAAATTTATTAGGTTTTTAGAGGGATTCGGGAATTTTGTTAGGAACCTCAGGATCCGATTAAAGGATTTTTTGGTCTCGTGATTTTCTGATTTTTCCGATACACGCATCGTAGGACAGCAATAAGATGTCTTAACCGATTACGACACCTTACAAATGACAGCGTGCGGCCGCGTCACGAGTTTTTCCAATCGTAGAAATTTCAGGAAATCAATAGCCATACCATGGCGTTTCTTTATGCTCCCTTTAACGTAATACCGATTTTTCACCTCTATTTTTACTACTTAACAAACACTTGTAGTTTTAAAGGGGTTTGGACAGCTACAGCCATTCTGGAAAATTTGGTTTAACAGAAGTTCATCCTACGGAAGGAGCTGTGGGTTTCTTGTAATTTTGGCCACCCGCGACACGCAACGCGACACTAAAGCGACGCTTGAAAGTCATGTCCGCATCTCCGTCTCAAAAACGACCAGGTGCAGGAGCAATTAGAGGGATGTTGAGCTGTTTGCCCTGGGCTGGGTCTCGATCTGGCTCTTTTTGTGTCAACAACACAGTTCTTATGCCTTCCCCCCCCCATCCCAATCGAGACTCATCTTCACGGACCGGGGTCAATTGGGTGAGAAGCACTTCCCGCTGTGATATACCTAGTTGATGTAGCCTGAGGGGATATCGGGCGATTTGGAGGGGAGGGGATGTTAATTAGGCATTTATGGAAAAGCAGAGAATAAATAAATAAAAAATGCTAATTCGCTGGTTAAGGATTTGACCGTAAAATCACCCGTAACTTCTTTATCTTACAGAACTTCCGGCTCCTTTTGCACAGTTCCCTGTTTTTCACGGAATCGCCTTTCCATACTTCACGCAATTTCCGGAAAGCTACAACTCACTTCGATTTTATAAGTATCAATCTGTCCCATCATCCCGCTTTTCTTTTCGACAAGGTAGTCGGTAGTTCCTCGTTTGGATCGCGCCAGGCCGGGTGACATTTTTTTGATGTCTGTCTGGATGCGGGGTTCCTGTCTATCGTCATCTGATTCCGTATCCATCCCGGAACGACGAATAGGTCAGCCATCAGACGAAGCTGACAGAATTTCGGGTCGGGCTCGTTACCCTTGACATCCTCGACCCACCCCACCCCTACCACCTCCGCCTTCAGGGTATTTCTGGAATTCCTGATTAGAAAAGGACAGTTTTTAATAATCCGAACTTCCAAAATTGACATAATTTAATCAACAGTTGAATCATTAATAAATATTTTTTAAACCTGTTAAAATGAAAAGCGTGATTTGGAAAGTATAAATCTCAAATTAATAATTTTCGATGTCTTTTCCTAAAATGCTCTACACTGTAGATTTTTGGGTTAGGCCTTAAATTCGTTTGTCTTAAATTTTAAAGTTTACTGTTTTAAGAAGGCCAGATACAGATTTGTTCTAGATGAAGATTCAAAATTGTAATTCCAAATTGGATTTTCCAATCTCCCTAACGTTAAAATATGAAAAAATATAGCAAAATTACGTACCTGTGGTCTTGAAAACGTTACTGTAAAAAACTGAATTATGAAAAGGTTGACGTTAAAGCATCAAACTCTGGTTACGTTTCCTTTAAATGATGTAGAAGATATCGCTATGGACTTTGTCAGCTAAGGATATACGCAAAGTGATACGCAGCGCAGAATCACGGCCATAATCGGATCGTAACCGATTACGACGTATTGTACTCGGTCGAGCCGCCATACGTTTGTCGCGGGTCCAGCCAAAGCCAGCGGGAATCCATACCTTACCTTACAGGTCCCTCTAAAAATTTCCGCCAGATACCTCGCAACATATTAGTATTTTAAGGACGTAATCCATCCGCGGGTTGTCAGAGCGCTCGCGCGGACATGCCAACATAAAAAAACGTCTCTTCCCCATCCGTGGAGGGACCTCCCGAAACGATGACGCCAATTTCCGTTGTGTCTGCTTAAATTTCGAATGATTGTGAGGCCGGCTGGCTGGGACTCGGGGGAGCCAATGGGTTCATATTACTCTCCCGGCCAACAGCCCGCCGAATCGGGCGTCTAGGGTATCCACCACTAGTCATTTTTCAATTTTTTTTGTGCCCTCTTGATTTTGACCTTTTCTGGGAGCCGGGTCCTAGAGGTAATGTTTCGATTTGAAAAAGACCCATATGGTATTTCACCGCCTTACACTGGAGCGATCCCAAAATTGGACCAGAGATGTCTCAGAACCTAAAAAGCAACAATCCTTAGAGTCCCATACCACAGTATTTCTCGGGCTATAGCAAAAATAAACTTGATTTCCATTTTCCATCAGGCTTCCGGAGAATCGATCCAACAAATACTAATACAAGTTAAACTGATTCGGCAGGAAGATAGCCGAAAAAATATGCAAAATTCCGGAAAACAGTTTTTTTCTTTATAACTCGAGAACCATTTTAGCTTTGGCGCTATAAGTCAGGATTATTGTCGTTTAGGGTCTGATACACCTCTCTGCCAATTTAAAGGTACACTAAAATCTCATGCAAAAAGTCAGTTCGTGGTCGAAAATCCGGGCCCTCTGCTGCGCAACGCCCGGACCCTTCTTATCCCCTTCCCTCTCCCCTCTCCCGTCTGTCCCATGGCCTAGTGGTCTAAAGCGCTCGCCCTTGGCGAGTGGCGAGGGTTCGGTTTTGCTCCGCGGCGAGCACCTACCGTAACCCTCTTTGCTATTCCGCGGACGGTTACCGGCCGGTAACCAAACCAACGAGACTTTAGTGTACCTTTAAAGACCGATCGGATATAACGCAGCGAAATGCCGGATGAGCCTTTTTTGGGCGTCAGGTAAGCGGAAACTGTCAGCGGACCTTCGATGACATTTTTCCATTAACTGATGAGTTAATGCTGGAGATGTTACGCAGCTCAATCACAGATTTTTAATTTTGGTAGTTGGTTTTTGAAAAGACTGGCCTTTTATGTAAATTTCCGGCGCTTGATACCTAAAATTTAATGAACGCTATTTTTGTCCCCGCCATCCTCAAATCCGCGTCACTAGACACCAGATGACGTGTCCCAAAAAATCGTTTGACTGATGCTCCAGTCCCAGATCATAAATGACCCGGACGAAAGACCCGGAAAGATGCGGAGAAATCCAATTACCATTGTTCTTGTGGAGTCTTATTTTTTTGGTTGGCGGCGGCCGACTGATGGCGGCTCTCTATCAAGCTGTGGCCATTCTGGGCCACACGACCTTTGTCAACGTCTTCTCGATTGTCCCTGGGGTGAAAATTAGGTTCCCCTTGACGGGGCTTCATCCTTGGAGGGTTAAGCCGTGGTGGCGCCATCGAAAATGCATTAACCGGCGTGGTAGGGAAGAGGGGGAGGGCAAGATAGGGCCTTCTCATCATCCTCATCATCATATATACCTCTGTTCTCCTGATTGGATGGCTGGCTCTTATTGGAATTTTGGGTTTTTGGATTTCGTGAATTTTTGAGAACGTTGTTCTCTTTTAGACTTTCGTTTGATGAAAAATTGAGAGAGCTATATCTTAAATTATCGGAATTTCAGCTTTCATTTTTTGTCATTTCTTAACCTAAACGTATATTATTTTAGAACATAAAAACTATTGAAAAAATATTATAGAGCCAGAATTTTACCAAAAACCAGTATATCTGGATTTTGTATATTTTGATGTAATTCTGTATACTATCCTTCGTTTAATATGCAAATTTGTTTTTCTCATGAAAAATTCGCATTCAAACTCAACAGTTCTTGTATATCTTAATTACGTAATTACTGTCTATTTCGCGCCAGACCCGTCAAGGCACCATTCTTAATCCTAATCCAAATTAAATCACGTTTTAAATTCCGATTAAATTGCCAACCATGATTTAAAACATTTATTTGACAGCCCAATTCAATTCCGCTATTATTACCACCCCCGCTAAGCCAAAAAATCCTATCCTATAAGCGAGAAAAGTATGTGTGTTTTCTGTGCAGCCAGTTTCTCGGCCGTTAGGGCGAATTTCCGGCTGATTTTTGGCATGGAGGTGCAGAAACACATTTGCCAGAAACGCATTTTTTTGTTTTTCGAAATTCCTTCATTTAACAATTTTACAAGCAAAATTGTGAAAATCCTTAACAAAATGGGCGACGAGCCGTGGTGTCCGGGCCATAACTCGAAGCCCTGATGGAATTTCGGGCTGAAATTTGGACCACTTATGTATTCGATAGTGGGGATCACGCGCATCTTATTATTTTTACAAATTTTCGGCGCATTCATACTCAAAAAGAGAATTTTGTAAAGTTATCACAAGTCCTCCCTCCCGGGTTGAACCTCGCCCCCCAGGACAGAAGAGGCCTTTCCCGCCTCCGGTCGCCATGGCACCCTTGGTGCAGTGGTTGACGCCCGGTCTAGCGCACACATAGACGAGGGTTCGGATCCTGGCGACTTTTTGCTTTTTGGTGGTTCATCAACAGAACATCATTCTAGGCTTCTCGGCGTGCGAAGTTTAGGTCTGGCTCTCGCTCTAGCGCCGCAGGCCAAATCCTGGAGAAAAACCAGTAGCTAGCGCCGCAGGCCAGAGAATGGTTCCTAGAGTCAGGCTCTTGCGCCGCAGGCTTGAAAAACGAAAGGGGAATATATGGTTCCTAGACGCAGGCCAGTGGAAAAGGGCCGCGAAGCGGTCTTTTTCCACTGGTAGAATATGTTTCCGCTTTCTGATCGCCGACCATTTTTTCGTGGGGATCGTAGCCCCAGCCAAGTAGCACCATAAAACTCCGCGGGAGGGCCAGAACGAGGAGGGCCAAGAATTGGAAACAACGCCGTATCACGTCATTTCGAGTTGGTCGCAACTTTTCGAAAGTTTTTTATAGATGGAATTTGTCAGTGTTGCGTGTCGTAGTTTTTTTTGTTAGAAAGGTTGAAAGGAGAGGTCGTTTTGCCTTGGGATACGTTTTAAAGTCTGATAGGAACGGTTTGCGAGGTGTTAAAGGGATTGGCAATGTATGGTTATGGATTCTTTATGCAATTAGCGGAAACGACAGGTATTTTATCATTTATAAATCTATATAATCACAAAACCCTATAAATAATTCATTGTCTACAAAGGATTTATGAAGGCCTTGCTCGTTCCTTTAAAAGTTTAGAAAAAAGTATTTGGCAAATTTAAGTATTTTGGTTTTAAAGACGATATGGCGTTAATAAGTACAGCAGGTTACTTTATTATGCTTAAACCCCTCCAAAATGAAATTATTAAAATTATAAACCACTTTTTTAAGTTTTCGATTTTTTTTCTATGTTTGCAATACTTTTGAATGCTCTTTCCTCGCCTCACAAACACCTTTTAAAGTCATACCCGCCCGACCCCAATTTCCCTCCAACAATTACATATCGCCGGGCCGATTTTGTGGATACTAGCGGATCGCATGAGCGACACCGATCCCCCATACAAATCGCTCCCACCACCAATTAGCCAGCGGTGTACATATGCCAGAGAATAGACATGCCCAACCACTCTTTGGATCTATCCGGGGTACACGGATTAGAGGAGACACCACAAAAATGGACCCGGGGGGCTGGAAAATATTGGGATATTTTTAGAAAATGCGTTTGGGTAGACGGGTGGTCGTGAGAGTAAGAAAGTGCTGGTAGATTTCGTTTTGTGTGCATAGGTTTCTCTAGCTGATCTAGCGTTTTAAAGGAATCTGCAAGCTACCGTTATGGAATTACGCGGATTTTGAATCCTACGATCCTGCCATAACGTTTAACGCCTTATTAATTCGATATTATTTCTAACTCCGTAAAAAATCAGAGAGGCTTCGTTATCTTTAAATAGCCATTTCAAACAACAAAAATTTAATACTCTTATATAACGAAATTTTATAGCGAAAAAAGCGATCTGATGCCATATTCCTTTTAAAATTGTCACTTTTACATTTTATTTCGGACCTTGTGGCGCTCAAAATAACTAAAAGTGATCTTCTCACCGGTCCCCCTTTAAAATTTGTGTTGTCTTTGGCGACAGTTCATGGTTCTTTTTATTTAATCCTCCAGTTTTTGGTTCTAAAGGGACGCTGAAGGCAAGACAAGACCGCAATTTTTAATAAACTAAATCTCACGTTTTATTTGGTTTTCTATCTATTTCAAAACCTCCATTCTTTTCAAGAAGCCTTGAAGGCACTAAGAATCGCCACGCCCCTATCGAACCCCTAAAAATAACCATGCCTTGTTTTCCCGCCCTCGGGCGAAAAAGCGTGGAATTTTGATGGGTGTGGGTGGTGGCCGAGTCCAATCGGCCAGGTCGTGGGGCACAAATTGGATCGTTCGGACCCATCTTGGGGCCCAAGTTTTTGCGCCGAATGACCGGGGCGTGGGTTTCAATTTGAGGCGTTTTCTTTGAATTTCGAGAGTTTGGGGTGGTGTTCGCAACTTTTAGAAAATTGAAAAAATGGTTTCAATTTATTGATATTAGTTTTTTTACTAAAATCTCAGCTGAGAAACCAGTTCAATATTTATGTGCGTAGGCTTCGTTGGACTTAGGCTTGGGCTTAAACTGGGCTTACACGTAGGCTTAGGTTGACGCTTGGGCCTATGCGTAGACTTCGCTTAAGCGGAGGATTTTGCTTAAGCCCCGGTTTAGGCTTTGGCTTAGACGTTAGTAGTAGTTTTTTGTATCATTGTATTATACCGTACCTCAGCTGTTACCTTACGCGTATATTAAATTGTTATATACCTTATGGTCCCGAATTTCTTTTATTTTTCTCCCGGTGACTGGTACCACAACCCAACAGGTCATATGACCTAGCCTACAAATATTTCGCCTCGACTGCCAAAAAACCGCGTCACTCTGTTACGGTAGGGCACTAAAAGACGCGTTTTTCCCGCGAGCCCACCGGCCGCATTTTGTAGCCCACGACGTGGCGCGTCTGGGCCCAATTGTGAGAAATGCTTCGTTTTGATTTGGTGGACTATATAGAAATTTCTCTTTTACGATTGTAATTCTATTGAAACTGCTTTCATCCAATTTGAATTTAAACTTATTTTAAGGTCTCCAGAAATGAAGGTGGATCTGCCGTTGTTGTCCCTGCTCGTGCCTACCGTCCTCTCACACGCCGTCACCAGCTCCGACGGGTTCATCGACCAGTTGTTAGCCCAGGACCGGAATCCATTCCAGGCAAGCTAGCGGGGGTTTTTGGGGAATGAAATTTTTTTACTACGAATTACACTAAGTAACTGATCTCCTACAACGATTATCTCAGGAGCGTCGGGATCACAGATAGCACAGTCTCTTTAGGATCCCAAAAATTCGGAGCCGGGCAGATTAGCAAAGACCTTTGAGGAGATATATAGGTTTCACTACGAGTGACACCAAATAACACGTAAAGATTATCATTTTAGGAATACCTCGCAAACAACTTGCTCGACTGTGCCCTGTCCTACATCCGGACGATGCGCGAGATCAACGTCTACTTGAAACGAGAAAGCGCCGAGCGGGTCCCGCCACGATCCTCCGTGTATATGGTGCCCGACGAGTTGTCGTCGGTGGGTTACTCAATTTTAAAGGGGCTGGCAAGTCAAGGAAGGGTTCTCGAATTGGAAAACACGACGCCGGAAATCATTCAATCGATTTTCCAGAAAATCCACAGCATAATCCAAGAATGTGATAAGCAAATGGCCGCCGCTCCACCCAAGAAAACGTTACGGAATGTAAGTTACATAAAAAATTATATGCGATTTTGAAAATGGTAATTTGGGAAATAATTTCTATATATTTTTCAGCTTCTTCTCAACTTCCAGCAACCCCGAAAAACCCGCGACTACGAGACGCTCCAACTTAGATAAAGCCCCCAAGATCGATCACTTATTAATATACCCCCAAAATCTGATCTCTAACCGAATCTCTGTCTCTCTCACGCCCTCTCTCGCCCTGTCCCATTTTCTGTTTTACGTGTACACTGTATGGACCCGGAACGGAAGCCCCTCTTACCCAGAAAAATCCCCGATGATGCAACATTTTCAACTTCTCGCTTTACTCGTCACGAACACATGGAGTAAAAAATGTTTTTAAACACCAATTAAAAACACTGTAAATACAACAAATGCACGGATTGGGCGGGGAGTGCGAATGAAGTTTAAATGACCGGGGATAGCACCAGGTATGGACGTGTTGATTTGGAAGGTTTGCAGGATTTTTTTAGTGATGCATTAATACCCCGAAAATGGAGATGTGTAGAAATCACAAAAAAACAGAATTGATATGTAAATAAAAATTGTTTAAAGGGTATAAAAATGGCTACCGATTTTACTATTGAATGCCGACTTTTTGCATGGTTTGTTGAATGACGACGTCAATAACGGAATCGATGACGACCTGTAAAAATGGGAATTAAAATATAAACTTTATAAAAATTATATATACTAATGTATTGATGTATATTTTATATAATTTACTTATTTAGTTATTTATTTTTATTTTTACAAATTAAAATTATATATCGCCGTGTTTGTGTATATATTTTCTATTTTATGATTTTAATAGCGTATGAAAAACAATTTAAATTAATTTAAATGCCTTACCTGAATTTGGCTTGTATCCGTCGCACACGTCTCATGATGATATACCGTACGTTTCTGATTCTTGTTCTGCTGCTTGAACTTCTTGGTGATGTAGTCCAACACCGGGCGGTACTCCATTTCTCCTGATCATCATTTCTCCATTAACTACAACGTCAGTACCCTTACCTTTATACCGCGGCAACGCTACCGTAATCGGAAACACCTTTATTTTCTCCTCGAACAAATCAATTTTGTTTAGGAAGAGAATCATGGCCGTGTCGGCGAACCACTGGTTGTTGCAGATCTGGCTGAACAGCTCGATCGAGTCGCGCATTCGATTCTTAATCAAAATAAAATTGGCAGAAGTCAGCTTACAATCTTTGCATCCTCTGCCAAATTCTGGTTATATTCAGATAAGGAAGTGATGAAAAGGACAGCGTGGACGTCGTCGAAAATGTGAATCCATTTCCGGCGTTGAGCTTTTTGGCCTCCTACGTCAAAGACTCTAAAAAATTAGGGTAGCGCTAATTTTGAATAGAGATCCACCTGAATACAAAATTCTTGATGATAAATGAGAATTGGATGACGCCAGTGGTGGGGACACGGCTTTTCAGGATATCATCTGTCGTTGGCAGGTAATCCGGTTCTCGGACGCGATCCAGATTTTGCATAAAGCTAAAAAAATATATTTTTATATTTTAATTCCCTTTTGAGAGTTATAAGTAAGAAAACCAAGATATACTCTCAAACTTACTATACACCAGCATCATCGATGCTAATTTCTGGGGTACGGTAGAGTGCTTTTTGAACGGCGGGGTCCATCAGGAACCTAAAAAATGTCATTTTAACCGTAATAAGATCGCTGTTAGGACCTGGCAATCTGGTCAGCAATCGTTTCCGTCAATAGGACACGCTCGTTGTTCTTGTTCTCTTCCAAGTAGCGCATGATGTTTTGGGAAAGGTCCTAAAAAGGGAGGTGTCATTGTGTTGGATTTAGGGTTATTCCGCCGCGCGCCACTACGCTACTACATACGCCGTGTACGTACGACACTCTACTTTGCGTGTCGCGTCCAAGTCTTAATCCATAGCAATTTTCTGCCCCCTTAAAAGCGCTTCCAGCTGCTAGCGGGACTTCTTAGCCCCTCTAGTACTCACATAAGTCTCGGGCATCTCATAGCTTATCCTGTGCTCATCCATCGCTTTCGCCAAGTCGACACAACCGGTTAGAAGATTCTAAAGGAGAGTTGAAGTCGGATTTTTGGTCTGGAAATTGTTCTACCTCGGTAGCCAATAAAACGGTCACTTAAAATCCCCAAAATACGTAGGCAATTAGTAGACCGTCAGCCCCAGGCTTGGGCAATTTTTAGAATCTACGCAAACCAGAATCGTTTCAAATTAAAGGTTTAGCTTTTTTGAATGGGACCTATGCACTTGGGATACTTCTGTTGTCAATGACCTCTAAACCCGCAATTACGACGTGAAATTCGGTGGTTTTAGAAAGTAACTTGCCCTAAATTTATAGTGATGAAAATACCTGATAAATAATATATTTCCTATGCTCCTTCTCGTCGTCGGAAAAGCCCTGGTCGTGGATGATCCTGGAAATATAAAATCCTACCCTATAAGCGAGAAAAGTATGTCTGTTTTCTGTACGGCCGTTTTCTCGGCCGTCAGGCCGAATATCGAGCTGATTTTTGGCATGGGGGTGGGAAATGCCATTCATAAAAAACGGTTTTTTGGATTTTTCGAAATTCTTTCATTTTACGATTTTACAAGCAAAAATGTGAAAAATCCTTAACATTTTTGGGTGCGCATGTTGTCCGGAACTTTTCTCGGCCCCTAGAAGGAATTGAGGCTTCATTTTTGGAGGGTAGATGGCAAAAGTAATTCCCCAGATACATTTTTTCGGATTTCGCCAAATTTTTTAAAATAAAGTTTTTATAAGGATTTTTCTGAAAGGCACTTAATAAACCGCGGGGCGGGCCGTGGTGTCCGGGCCCTAACTCGAAGCCCTGATGGAATTCCGGGCTGAAATTTGGACCGTTTATGCAATCAAGGATGGGGATCATGCGCATCTTACTATCTTTGCAAATTTTCCACAGATTCAAACTCAAAAAAAAGAATTTTGTAAAGTGACCAGAAGGCCTCCCTCCGGGATCATTGGTCACCCTTATCTTTGCCGCCACCTCCCCAGGACAGAACAGGCCTTTCCCGCCGCCTCTTCCCATGTCCCCCTTGGTGTAGTGGATTAGCTCACCGCCTACCACGCGCAGAGTGGTGAGTTCGGATCCTGGGAGAATTTCGTTTTTTGCTTTTTGGTAGTTCGGCAACAAAACATATTTCTAGGATTTCGGTGTGCAAGGTTTAGGCCGGGCCCTCGCTCTAGCGCCGTAGGCCGAGAAAAGGCCCCTGGCTCGGGCTCTCGCGCCGCAGGCCAAACAAAAGGTTCTTGCCCCGGGAACTCGCGCTGCAGGCCAGATCGTGGAGAAAAACCAGTAGCTTGCGCCGCAGGCTCAAAAATTCTGGCGCAATGCTGGCTCTGGCGCCGCAGGCCAAAGTTTGGCTCCTTGGCTCAGGTTCTAGCGCCGCAGGCTAAAAAAAGAGGTATTCAAATTCATGGTTCCTGGACGTGTTCCAGTGGAAAATGGCCGCGAAGCGGTCTTTTTCCACTGGTTTACAAAAATAATGACGGCAATACCGTATCTGCTTGAGCGTTGTACTTTTTCCAGACTCGCCGGGACCTAGAAAAAGTTGTCATATAATTTAATCTAATTCGCTTCGTAATACAAAAACTATAAACTACAAACAAATACCTAGCAACAGCAGCTTCAACACCTTCTTCTTGCGCTCGGTCATCAGCTCCTTCTCGATCGCCCGGTTCTGCTCGATTTGGGCCGGGTCCGCCTGAAACTGTAGGCGCTATATAATTGTATACGTAAGTTTTAATCGATCATCATTTTTAATTAAATTCAATAAAAATTGATAGTTTGTAGTTGCACAGACCTTATGCCCAGCTTGATTTGAGCAGGCCGAGCCCATCGCCCTATCTGACGTGCATCAATGCGCAGCTGCCAGAACTGAAAAAAATGGTGATGATTTTTGGCGGCCGGTTTATATCGCGTCGCGTGTCGCCGCACGGTAAAATTCATGGAAAATCTAGTGATCAATCTATAGAATCGTCTTTCCCCCGTCCTGTAAAATCCACTTCTTTGAACTACACAGAACAGGCTATAGTGCTTGTACTTTCATGGTTTTGCAGGCAATTTCAAAAACTGAAAGGAACTGGGAAGGCAAAACTAGGAATTTGAATATGTAATACATATAGAGAGTACGTGAAACGCAGAACGCTACGCTACACGCGACGCGATACGCAACGCGACAGGCGACGTGACCGGCGACGCATAGGCGTTGCGTGTCACGGATACGGCAAAATCCGTAGCTAATTTATAGCACTGCCTTTTCCGTAGCTTTAAAGCAAGTGAATTCGATAAAATAATCGGTTTTTATAAGTTTATAGAGCCCCGGTGGCGATAATCGTAAAATTCCTATGGCAATCCAAAAATAACAAAATATAAGTTAACATCAATAACATCTAAAATCTAATAACTCCCCCCTCCAATAATCAAAACCGCTAATGGGTCCAAAAGGCCGACTTATTCCTTTCTTGGGGGCCCCGTTAGCTTGAACAAAAACAGCGGGGTGGCCAGGTGTTATTTACGTGCCCAGACATCGGCTGCTCCCCCTCCTCTACCCCCGCCATGTCAACCGGTGAGGTTCATGTGGCAATTTGGGGGTAATAACTTGCTCATTCAAGGCCTCCAGAACACACATGGATTTGAGATGAACATCCGGTAACAAAGTTCGGACTTTCGGCCCTCGGCGGTCTTTTTGTGCCTTTAAAATAGGTAAAATGAAAGTAAGAAAGTGATTTGGACCGTAAATTGCGACAAAATTAATGATAGCGATTAATAAAAGCCGGTAAATAGGGAAAACCATTTGCTCTCCGGCTACCCCCGAATCGCGCTCCACCTGGCTCACTGCCCTGGCGGGGGGTATAAAAAGGAGCGGTCGGTAAGGTCCACAATTTGCGCGATGACGATAACAAAAAGGCGATCAAGCTCTGTGGGCCCGGAAACGATCCCTAATATTGAAAGAACTTTTATTTGAGCGCAAAATGGTTTTTTATTGTTTTTATATTGAAAACAAACGGTTTTAAGTCCTTTACAAAAATTTGCCATACTTTTTCGCCTAAAAATGTAAGTTCCAAGCCCGAAACACAAGCTTACATCTACGGCGTAATCCTTCTCAACTTTTTATTACTCTCCTATAAAAGAAACAAACGATTGAAGTCGTTTCCTAAAGCCTGCCATATTGTTTTAGCGCGAAATACTTAGACATTTACGAAGCTAGGATAGCTTACGTCCTGCGGGCGAGATTTCTTCGATATTCTATACAAAAATCAACGTTTCTTAATTCGAAAAACCTTTCAATCTATTTTTCAGCGCCAAAATGTCAGTAGTAAACCGGGAGAAAAACAAAAATCACGCCATAATACGGCGAAAATGTTTACCTGCGCGGAAAATCGGGGGTGGGTCCGAAGGTGCGGAGGGCAGAATCTAATTAGTTAGGTCCCCACGGACCCGAGATAATGAAATGGTGCGCACCGGCTTTGCCCCAACCCTTTGAATTCACAATAGATTACGGCGTTTATTTCTAACAGGATTCTAAATGCCGCTTTTACTGGGCTTTTCGAAGGGCTATGAAATAGGCAGCAAATAAACGCCCAAAAGCGGGTGGCTCTCATTTTTTGGGCATTCAAAAGAGGGCCAAAGCACCTTGGCAACAGCTAATTACGCCCAATCACTTCTTCACCCGGCCCACCCGGCCAGCGGCTCTTCGCACTTTTCTCCAGAGGGTGGGAAGATTAAGGAGGCGGCTTAAGAAGTATGGTTTTTTTTCTTATAACTAACTATATTATATTATAATCGGTAATTGTTTTGCAAAGGGATCAGAGCAAGCTAGCAGAATTTTTTGAGGAACCGACTTTATTCAAATAAATAATTTTGTCTAAGAATGTTAATTCATAATTCTTGCTAAAATTGTAACGTTGAAAACGGGGAAAGGAAAATTAGCAGAACCTATTAGGGAAAGAAATATCTCGAAAGAACACGCTACGAAATCGACAAACGGCATTTTCGTATGCAAATCTCCGTTAGTTAAACAATAGGGGTCGGGCAAATTAGCTGAGGTCATTAGGGCAAAAGCCGATTTGATAAGTATAATTTTAATAAGCAGAATTCTGATTTTCACAATTTTTGTCCTACTGTTTTTTTAAAATGCTTTTTTTGCAGGGCCTGTGACTCAAAATCCTGTAAAACCCGCTATGCACCAGAAATCCTTTGAAGGTTAGGGTTATGCTAAAAATTCTATATGTTCATAATGGAAATTAGCTTAGTCACAATTACTCGTTTCCTTAAAATTACGAAATTTCGAAAAAATCAGTAACTACCGATTTGCCAATGCCAAAATTGACGCTTCTCAGGATCGACCACTTTCAACAACCGGCAACTCAAAATTCTGTGTAAGACGCCCTAATTCCGGAAATCAAGCGCGATCTCGTAATTGGCGTGCGAAGGAACGGCGTCAGGGTGAAGTTGTTATTCTCCTCGGCTACAACTGGGCGTCGGCTCCATTTCGGGGTGGAATTGCTTATCGGGTTGTTGGGGGGTTAGTATTATGTTATGTGGGTGGAAGCATGGCCATGTAAGACAAAACTAATCGTCAGCTTCGCGGGCGGTCCCTGGAATTATTTGGGTGAGGTGGAGGTGGGGGGCGGGAGGAGGAGGACCGGGGGAGTGTGAGGTGAGGTATCGGGGTATTTACGGGCGTTTGACTGATTTTTGATGGTTGGCAATGAGGTAGTAATTGGGAAAGTTGTCTTCTTGGGAATTTTGGGATTTAAAAATAAGTTTGTGAAGGGGAATGATGGGATGGGCAAGTTTTCAGGAATTTTTGAAGGTTATCAAAAATCAAACAAGTTATGACTATTTCGACATTAAAAAAATTCTAAATTTCTAATTTTTCATAAAATTTCTAATTTTGTTATTCTGTACAAAATCCTGTTTTAGATAGAAGTTAAAAAATGGCGATATTTTCTCTTTGTCTCTCCCTCTATTTCGGACACACCCTCACTCTCACTCACTCTCTCTCGCTCTCTCTCTCTCTCTCTCTCTCTCTCTCTCCTAAAGCTGCTCTTTATCATCGTCTCAAGACAAATCCAAAGTTAATTAAATTAAAGTTTAGGCCAAATCCCTAGCTAACAGGATTCATACAAGACAACCTACCAAAGATCATTGAGGAATAGTACATTCCTTGTACCATGTACCTCCCACTCAAAACCCTATCCCCTGTAAAAATCAGTCACCATAGCCCGAACCCACCCCAACTTCACTCATTTTTTCATACCCCCAAGGACCCCCCGATTATTTGGAACAGACTACACCCGAAAAACGCGTCGCCGGATCTATTAAAATAGTAGCGAACGGTGCTGAGGCCCTGTTGTCTTGTCTGGTGTCGTCACGAAGCCTATTGGAAAGGGCAAATATGTGGTTTGGGTGGTGGTGCATGAAATCACGTTAATTAAGGACAGGACGAGGGGGGAATCTGGTAAATTGGGCTCTGAATTCTGAGTCAAATGAACGGGTGTGCTGTTTTGAGGTTGGGCCACGTAAAGAGTACAATGCGGAATGTTAGTGAAAATTAAAGTTCGGGCTTGCCGGAACTTAAAATTATTAGTACATTGAATCAGTTGGAAATTCTAAGAAGTATTATTATTTTTGTGGAGATAGAATAGGTGAGAGTGAGTGAGAGACAGAAAGAAAGAGAGATAGAAGACGATCGAGAGAGCGAGAGGGGAGAGAGAAAGAAAGAAAGAGAGAGAGAGAGAGAGAGAGAGAGAGAGAGAGAGAGAGAGAGAGAGAGAGAGAGAAAGAAGACTCACTGCGATTACTGCATTTCCCAAACCAAATTTCAGCTTAAAATCAGCATAATTAATGTTATAAATATACAAAATATATTGAAGCTCAAAAAATCAGAAGATTATAAAGATGCGTACCAAATCGATACCCTTAAAGTTTTGGTGGTGGTGACTGGAGGCCGGGGGAAAATAATGAAAGTTGGGGGCCCGGGGACGCGCCCGTGAAAATTATCACCTGCGGACATCAGCCGGCGGCACAGGCACAAATCCACAGCTGCCCACATACATATACACAGAAATAAACAAGAAATTATTCTGAAAGCTTGGAGCGATGACGGAAACAGGTAGACTGCACGTTCTTTCTCTCTCGCTCGCTCTCTCTCTCTCTCGATCTCGTCGTGTCTCTCGCTCCCTCTCACTCTCTCGCTCGCTCTCCCCACTCTCTCTCTCTCTCTATCTCTTTATAACTGTCCCTCTCTATATCACTCGCTCTGGCTCTGGCTCTTTCTCTCTCTCTCTCTCTCTCTCTCTCTCTCTCTCTCTCTCTCTCTCTCTCTCTCTCTCTCTCTCTCTCTCTCTCTCTCTCTTTCCCTCTCAAATCCCCGGCCACATCTGTCGGTGTTCTGACGCAAAGTAAAAAGCACAGATTAATACATCCCTATGGAAGGATAATTACAGAGTCAAAACTGTGTATGCACTACACAACATACCATTACAACTAAGCACTCCGAATTCCGGACTTTCCGCGCCCGAGGTTTGTGTGAAAAGATGCAAAACGGTGATCTTAGGAAGAATTAATTTACGACTATGCATCAATCAAGTTGTTAGATTTCCATCTAAAGAAATATAATTTTTAGGTGATTTTAAAGTCATTTTTATGGTCGAAGCCTCTTTAAGATCACGCTAAAATAATCCGTTTTCAGTTCCTTTAAAAACATATCCTTATACCAATGCGTACAAACCATGTTTTCTACAAATTGCCACAGTCATCCCACATTGCTCGACGGTGATACCCGGTTTGGATTTGGCTCTTTTTACAGGAGGGATAGATACAGCAGCCCCTCTTCATCTGCGGGACAATGGCTTCTTGGCAAAACGAGATTATGGCGAGTGGGGGGAGGGAGGTGGATTTGGTGATGGTGGGTGTCAGGATTGCAATCCTCAGCTTCATCCTCATCCTCGTGCTCATAATCGCCTCCTCGATTCGGCAAATGCCGCTGATTTGTGTCGCTACGCAGCCCGTTTCTTGTCGCAGCTCCGTATTAAAGGCTTTGGGAAGGCTGGTCTACTGTAGATTTAGTTCTTACGAAAGCGTTTCTTGCTTTTTTTCCAAATGCAAAAATTCCACAATATTAGAACTTTATCTTCAGTATTTATAAAGTTCTGCCCAGTTTTTTAGAATTAACTCAAGTGGTACAGGATTTTTCTATTTTCACTTTTTTCGATGTAACAGATCAGACATTCGATATCTTTCCGCTTTAATAATTTTAACAAAATATACAGTCTAAGGTCTCGATCCAAATTTTTTGTCCCTTCTCGAGAGGTTGTGCTTGCTAAAACTCACGAGCCACCCCGCAGGTCGAGCACAAAAAATGACGGGTTCGCATAGTGATAAGAGACCTATTCGTCTTTGACGGGTATTATCACGTGGTGTCCTATGATAAATACATATCAATCCTCCTTCCCGTTCTCGTTGGTTCCTATCCACGAAATCCCAGGCGCACGCGCGGGGGGCCGAAGTGTGTTTTATGGCGCCATCATTGATTTTCGATCCCGGGCTGGCATCGGTTATTATTTAGTTTTCTTTAATTTCCGTGATTCTTAGAATCAAATAAGTTTTAAATTATTCGACGTATTTTATTCATTAGTTCAATTTATTAGGCAGCTCTATGAAAAGTGAAAAATTTACCTTTCCTAATAAAAAAATTCTATTTTAAGGTTTTTTTTGTGGTGCAGCGTACCGTAATAAGGGCAAATTCTAATTACTATTTTTTGCATATTAATGCTAAAAATATAATAATAATTTCCCTAGAGAAATCACAAGCTACAAATTTCCCGGGTGGGTATATAGGTAAAAATCGTACAGAAATATAGTATTTTTGGTATTAAAATAAGTCAGCCATTTTCTTCATTAATTTGCATTTTTATATCCATTATTATATATAATGGCTTCAAAAATTGGCAAAAATCTTCTAAATTTTTAAATTTTTAGGCGATTTTGAAGTATGCAGGATTCCAATAACGCATTTTTTTTGCTTTCAATGCTGCATGCTTCACTATGTAGTCTTCTACCCCCTCGCTACACTCTACCCATTAAAGCGGAAACCCTCAAAAATGCCATTTTGCAGATAAGAAGTTCACGGGCATTGTTCCATCACGCCCGGCGGATCAGTTCACCAGAATCTTGTTCTCCCCCTTCCGTCCGCTCCGAGCCCTAGTATGACCCACGTTGTCCCGGAAATTGGCGACCAACTTGAGAAGCTTCATCTTTCCGACAAGGCTAGAGGTATGTAAAATTACGATAATAAAATATGGAATTAATCTAAGAATTCACATTATATATTATAATTTATAATGTAACTCTTCGAATATTATAATTATTTTTAAGTTACCAAATTTTTTTTTATATAAAACCGTTTATTTATATTAGTATCTAATAAAAATCTTAAAACATTATCTAACGCTATTATGCCATTTTTGTAGTTTCTATGAGCTCGGGGATCAGCAGCAGCTCAATGGTTTCCGATCCGGCTGGCGAAAAGGTGAGTTATGGGCAATATAGCCAGTTTCTTTAGGTTATCATACCCCGAATTTTTGCATATTTATTTGTTGGCTACTTCACCTAGCAAAGATTCTTGAGGAAATTCTAAATTTTTAGCACGCCGAAGAGACCCCAACCCCGCTGGCCCAAATGACGGCTTGCTATCGCCAAATCATCAGCCATGTTGGCGAAGATGTCAATCGTCAAGGTATAGTTAATATTTTAAAGCATTTTCTTATTACTAAATATAAAAAATCATCACAAAATATTAATAAAATTTTCTAAGGCCTATTGAAAACCCCCGAGCGAGCCGCCAAAGCCATGCTTGACTTCACGCGCGGCTACGAGCAGAATCTAGATGGTATCAGTTTTCTTCTTTTAAACTATTTTTGTTTCTAGAATTGCTTAATGAAGCTATATTCGACGAAGATCACGATGAGGTGGTGATCGTGAAGGATATCGATATGTTTTCGCTGTGCGAGCATCACCTGGTTCCATTTATGGGACGAGTGCATATCGGTGAGTCTTAATCAAGAAATCGCTGTAAAATTAATTAATTTAAATTACTTTATTATATTTAATTTAAAAGTTTTAAGTTGGCGTTTAGCTTACCTCCCCAACAAACGTGTACTCGGACTGTCGAAGCTGGCTCGAGTTGTCGATATGTTTAGCAAGAGGCTACAAGGTACGACAAATCACGCTATATTAGATTTTCAGTATTTAGTACAAGAGCGTATGACCAAGCAGATCGCTACTGCGATTACAGAAGCTGTACAACCACATGGAGTTGCGGTTGTTATTGAAGCCAGGTAGAGAGAGCAAGAGAGAGAGAGAGAGGGGGAGAGAGAGCGAGCGAGTGTGTGAGAGCGAGAAAGAGCGTGATAAAGATGTAGACAGAGGGGAGTGACTAACGAGAAGCGAGGGAGAAAGAGAGAGAGAGAGAGAGAGAGAGAGAGAGAGAGAGAGAGTGAGATGAGAGAGAGCGACAAGGTTTTTCATAAAAAATACCGTATTTTCAGCCATATGTGCATGGTAATGCGCGGCGTCCAAAAAGCCAACGCAATGACGACCACCTCGTGTATGCTCGGCGAATTCCGCGACAATCCGAAAACTCGTGACGAATTTTTGGCGCTGATCCGAAAGTGATTTCAACATCCCTGAAATCCACCTTCGCCCACTGCCTGTATCCCTAAATGGTGCTCCCCCGCAATTCCCTATACAAATTGAATTTTGAATAGTGTGAAATATCTATTGTGTGTTTGCCATAATAAACCTGGGTAGTTGAGAGTAAAAACTAGATTTACATTTATAGCAAAAGAAGAAATGCACTTTACTGCCAAGCCATGTCCAGCTGGGCAAAATATTCGTCTTGAGACTGGGAGTAGGTGATCGTTTTGCCGATGGCGTTTTTGAACTCGGTGTCCTGGCGTTGGATACGGTGGAGGTTGGAGCGGATTCGTCTTTGGGGGGCGAGACGCTTGAGAAATGTTAGGATCGGGCGATACATTGTTGGGTTGAGGACGACGATGGAGAGCGGCATGGCAACACAGAGGAGATGACGAATCTATAGGAATTAAGGTATTAAAGGGCCTGGGAAGACTGGCTATGGGCATAGATTCAGCAGCACCCACTACACGCGCCGCGCTGGTGCTCAAAATATTAAATTCGTGTTGAAATGTGTCAAAAATGGAATATAAAATTTCAGAATGGATTTTCCCGAAAGTTTTTGATCTTAAATTTTGCTATAAGGAATGTTCCACTTTTCTTTTTTTGTTCCGTTTTTCCGTTTTTCAGACCCGTTTCCGTTCAGTTTTCTTTTTCTAACCAATTACGCAACGTAAATCAGCTCCAGCTACGTAAATTTTAAAACTTACCGTTGCTATTACAACAAATACTATAGTATATATCGTCGATGCAGCCACACACTTCGAAGAATCATAAAATGACGAAACCCCGAAAAATTTCTCTGTCAACAAATCGATAATTGTAGCGAAATTGTCAAAGAATAAGAAAGGTAGTATAATACGAACAGCTGAAAATTCCAATAAATTAAGCAAGTATATTCTAAAAAATTAAAGTAAAAACTCACCTTTAACATTTTCCGATAGCTGATAGCGAGCGGTCAAGGAAGAATGCCCCGCGCCACTTGTTTGGAGGATTAGATAAACGTTAAGAGCGACGATAATAAAGGAGATCTAAAAAATTCGAATAGATTTTAATATAATTTTCAGCATCTACCAGTAAAGAAAGACCGGACGTGATTGAGAGAGCTTTTTGGACGGAATCGGAAAAGTAGACCGAGTTGGTACCATCTAAAAATACGGATCATTATATATAAAATGAACTAAGCTACTTACCTCCAATATTTACGACAACGCAGAGTGAGAATGTCACCTGGATTTTGTAAAATTACATTTAATTCGTTTGGATAAAATTACCGATAACATAATGGCGATTAAGGGAAATAGCCACGGGCGCATGTCTTCGTACCGTCTGTAGTAGTGCGTGGCGAAAAGCCGTTCCACCGCACAGCAGACGTTTAGAGGGACGGCCAAGTAGTAGAAGAAGTTCAGCGTGTAGAGGAGCCCGAGGGAAAAGTCTTCGGAATAAGGCTGTAAAGCGAATTTTATAGAGGGTAGCTAGCAGAGACCTTTGCAATCTTGACCTCCAGCCTAAAAAATGTTAACTTACCTCCAAAATTGATGTAAAAATCTTCAACAGCGTCAACGTACCAACGACCAGATGTGAGAAGATTATGCCACCAAGGTATATACTAAGGTTTATTACGTTTTTTAAACCCTGAGGATGAGCTAACCTGAAAAACGGGTGAAAAACATGCTGCTTATGGTAGACGAGCACGAGTACGAGCATGAACAGCATCGTCTCGAGCACGGTGAACGCCTTCAGCTCGATTATGTCGGCGCTGTTGGCCGCGCTGCAGGCTTTCTAATCGATATTTGGGTTTGATAATAGTAAATATAGTTTTTACCTGTATCGCAAGCTGTTCGGGGTTGATAAACGCCATCCTGACCATGCCGACCATCTGTAAATTATTGTAATGAAAGGCAATCTAGCAGAGATTTTTGGAAATTAGGTGACAGGCAAGCTAGCAGAGATTTTTAAGGATTTAGGCGAAAGGCAGGCTAGCAGAGATTTTTAAGGATTTAGGCGACGGGCAGGCTAGCATAGATCTTTGAGGAATTAGGGAAAACGCGGTCTAGCAGAGATCATTGAGGAATTAGGCAAAACGCAGGCTAGCAGAGATCTTTGAGGAATTTGCCCAAATGGCATACTAGCATAGATAATTTTGGAATTTCTTGAGATGGCTGGGTCTAATAATCTGTCTGAATTTTTAATCGAAAACCAGCAAAACTTGGAGAATCCGTGCCCTGCTCAAAATGATTGAGTCCAAAATGCTACCGCCCCAAAACAATTAACATTTTTCCCGTTTTCAGCCTCCAAAATCATGGCGCACACTACACGAGAAGTCAGGTGAATTCCCCTCCGGGAATTCCCCTCTCTAATTTGTTGCGTAATCACAACGAAAACTGATCGGTGAGCAAAGTATGCAAACGTGTCTTTTTGGTTCCGTATTATCAATAGAAAAGAACAGATAAATAATACCTCCAATAAACTGAAAATCTAGTCCAAAAATCCAATCACTTTTCAAAAAGTTACATCGGGAAATTAGGGGGCGTAAAAGCCACAATTATGATTTCTGACCCTCCCCCTCCCCGCTGGACAAAAGTGCCCATTTTCAAAGAAAATGGTAGAAAATGAACGCCCATTTTTTTGAGCTGATGACGTCATTTGGAGAACCTTTGGACGGTGCGGCTTTGAAAGTTTTTGTGACTTTTTGAAAAGTGGTGAGCTGTGGACCGAAAAAGTGGTGAGCTGATCGTTGGGACAGCAGTATCCTCATAGTCTCAAGCGATTTGAAAAACTTTAAATTAACGGGATGTTGGGGAAATGATTGCCGGTTGGACTATGCTTTCATTGCTGTAATGGATTCGATTAAGCGGTCTTTGATTTAGAAATTGTAAAACGTTGGAGAAGGTGGGGTTTGGGATTAGGAGGCAGCTTCCCGATAAACAGGTGAGGGCAAGCTCACAGGGATTATTTAGGATCGTACCAACCATAACCCTCAAGGGTCTATAAACGCGAATTCCTGGAGCAATAAGGTAAACGAGGACGCTAGAAAAGAACACCTGACTAAAGAGTGAGCAATAGGAGGCTTTGCAGAATCTAGAGACTAACTAGCCGCGTTCTTTGGAGAATTTATTGTATGGTTCAGGTAGCAGGTAGCTTTATTAGTTTGTTCTCCTGCAGCGAACGGCAGAGCGAGACCCAGAGAGAGAAAGAGAAAGAGCGAGAGCGAGAGAGGGAGAGAGGGAGCGAGAGAAAGCGAGAGAGAGAGCGAGAGAGAGGGGTGAGAGTGTGAGAGCGCGCGAGAGAGATAGAGAGGGGTGAAAGTGTGAGAGCGCGCGAGAGGGAGATAGGGGTGAGAGTGTGAGAGCGCGCGAGAGAGATAGAGAGGGGTGAGAGTGTGAGAGCGCGCGAGAGAGATAGAGAGGGGTGAGAGTGTGAGAGCGCGCGAGAGAGAGAGAGAGAGAGAGAGAGAGAGAGAGAGAGGCTAACTGGAAAATTAATTATAAAGGAGTGGCTAGCACGGATTATTGCGAAGTTTGCTAAACGTGTAAGCTGGCAAGGGCTATTTGATATTTGCATGGAGAGTGTGCTAGAAGAGATGCTTGGAATTGCAGAATTGCAGCAAATATTCGTTATGTTTTTTGAAAATTAAGATCAAGATATGAGGAGCAGGATTAACACTTTAGAGAACAGGCCGCAGTGGGCTTTTATCGAAAGGTTTTACTAACTTGAAGCTAGCCTGCTGTATGCTGAAAGAACCTGAGCCTGAAAAATCCGGAAAACCCGGATTCTAGGATCCACAGTCTATCCCTTGCCTTGATTGTCCCTTTAGATGGCAAGAAAGAAGCCTGGCCCAACGCCCGAGCTTAAAAAAAACGGGTTTGCGCTAAAAACATTTCGTCGTTAATATTCTTTGCAGAGAAATCAATTTTCGCCTACCTCTAGGCAGTACCCCCTATATTTTTGAGATCTAGATCCGATCCCTAGATGCTGATTTTGACTTCCCAGCCCCTTTAAACTTCCCATCAACCTCCCCCTCCTCCCCAGCTGTTTCATCCCAATTTTCCATTTTTCAGCCGGGGGTGACGCTGACCGTCCGGGGGGTTGGGTTGAATGTGATGGGGTCGTCTTGTTTGGTTGAAAAGAGAGGAAGGGCGTTGCCCCCCCCCCCAACCATCTTTTCCAACGGATCGCCCATCCTCCTTGATTTCCTAAGTATCCAAACAGGTCTTTTCTTTTCTTTTTTTCCAAATGGATGTCTTGGCGGGCCGTTCCCCTCCTCTTCCCCTCGTCCTTTTTCACGCTGGCCGCCCATCATAGCTCGTGCTCCCCACAAACAGCCCGAAGAACTGGGGGTGTGACTATTTGAGTTTTGGCGCTCTCATTTTCTGTGGGGTGTATTGCGCATAGGTTTGCGATCGATACTGTTTTCGGGGCTGAATCACATGTAACATTTCTTGGATTTTTTATAAGGTTTTTCGTTATAAAGATTTCTTCAAAGTCAGGTAGCGGTGGTTTGGAGTATTGGATCGGAATGATTTTTCTAGCATTAGAAAGCTTTCAAGAAGCGTGACAGGTTACCAAATTTTTAAATTTTTCCAAACAATTTCTATGTTTGTAAGCGCTTTATAAGTTTACAAAGCTCTTATTTTTACAAAATGATCAATTAAAATTTCGATTCGAGAATTAAAATTTTACATCCTTAGAAATTTAAATATCTAGCTTGATCGGCTTTTCAAGAACTTTTAAATCGCACAAAAATTATTCCGTTTCGATGCTACTTTCGGTCCTAAAATTTTTATAGCATATTCTTTCCTTTCCTGGCCCTTTAATTTATCCTCTCCTTAATTCGCCTATACCCAAAAATCGATACCATTTAACTGATCAGACAGTCGAACGTAAAAAGTCGATTTGGGGCGCCCTTTCAGGTTGGCAGTCAGGGGAATTGCAGGCTTAGCGGTGGGGGGCCCTCTCGACTTTTCTGTTGGCCGATTGGAGGGGGCCTAGGAGGGACCCAGAGGAGCAGAAGGAGAAGAAGCCGAGGAGGTGTGTCCGGTCAAATACTCCTTTCAACCTATCCACCCTCCTTCTCCTACTCCTACTCATCCCCTCCTTCCTTTCAGACCCATCAATCGATTGTGCTTCATTCAAGCTTCTCATTAATGTGTTAAACCCATTAAATTATAATTTATAAATGCTAATTTATTATATACAATTTTACAACTTTTTCTGGTTTTCGATAACTGTTGTAACTCCTCGTATGATGGATTTCCGAGACAGAAACTTTATTTAATTGGTTTTTAATGCTTTTTATGGTTTTAATAGCTGTTGTAACTCCTTCGATTCATGTGTGTATAGAAACTTTAGTCAATATCTTTAGCAATTTCGACGCCTGCTATTGCTTTATTTTGTAGATAGAGATTTATTAAGTAATATTTCAAGCGCTTTTGTAGTTTTCTACACTTTGCATGAGCCCTTGAAGATACTGTCTCCACTAAAAATTCAAATTTCAAATTGTAAATTCGAATTCCCCCATCCAGTCCATCGTTTTTCAGCATGCTCCGATATTTCTTGGGTGCCGCCCTATTGCTGGCCGTTGCCGCCGAGGTGGGTAAAATTAAGCGCAGCTAGAAAAATGACGGTTTTCGAATTGGTTTTCGGGTTGACGGATGTTGCGCACCACAAATTTAGGCTCGAATTTGGTTCCTGCGCTGTGGGATACCGGCTTAATTTCTAGAACTAGAACTGAGCTTAAAAACCGACTACATAGTTTGAAGGATTTTATACAAAAATCTTTTCAAATCTACGGAAAACGATCGAAATAAACTTTAGGAAGTCTGCCCAGCAGGTCCAAACGGGCGGGCACTGACCTGCGCGGCAAGGTGTTGCGAAAGTTTGGAGGGCCCTGGCAGTGTGCAGGTAATTATCTATTTTCTTTTGTAAGAGAATTTAGCAAAAACTTTTGATTACCTGATTAACGCAAAAGTTGCACTTTTAGGGATACTATTGCTGCGACATTCCAATTCACGAGCGAAGAGCCGAGTCGCCAAATCACGGCCGACCCGAGCGGTTCTTCATGGGGACCACGGGCACTAATTTCCAGTAAAGTTACATTTAAATAAATGTATATTTTAGGGTTGACTACACGATGCTGTTGATTGGGTTGATTGTATCGATTGTGCTATCAGGTATGTTTTACCCAGTTAGGCCTTATTTTATGGAATTTCTGTTGGATTCAATTGCGTAATTCGGCATCCTTTCCCAGCTACAAAAAAAATCAGACGCGTTGCGTGTCGGGTGTGTGCCAAAATTCAGTAACCCATAGCCATGACTAGTGTGTGCCTTTAATGAAACCCTCGAAGTGGGGCTATGAATTCTGCATAATCCTCTCCAAGCCCGCGAAACGCAACGGGTACGCTGCTTGCCACGGATTTTCGTGATCGATTACGCGATGTTATCACACGCGGGGCAAAATACCTAAATCCATAGCCATCGATGCCTTGTCCGCCCCTTCAAAGGGCCATTAAAGTCATTGTTCCTAGTTTAGTCCTCCTCTCCTTCTTCTGCTGCCTTCTCTGCAACGGCTGCTGGTTGCACCGACGCAGAAATCCGCATATGTACGAAACCGTCAACGATTCTGGATTCTACCCCATTTGCTGTAAGTTGAATCGTAGTTGAATTATAAGTTTGACTTTCCAGCCCTTTAACACCCTAATTTAGGCGGTTTCGGGATTCCGATGGGTACTGTAGTTTTCTCCACGCACCCGCCAACATACCGCGATGACAGCGATATGTACCACGGGAGCAGCACGAGCAGCCTGCCCTCCAGCAAGCAAAGGGTTGGTTTTAGAGGGGCAGCTAGCTGTGATTTTTTGGGAATTGCAGGATCAGCTAAAAAAATCATAGAAATATTTTTTAGATAATTTACAACAAAAATTACACAATTTTTTAAGTGCCCTCAATTACGATTTAAAAGTAAAAGAAAGTTCATATATTTTTCTAAACCCATTTCCTGATTTTAAAGGGAGAGCGACAGGTAACTAACGAAAAAGATTGAGAATTACGGGGTCGGCTAGAAAATTCTATTTAAGCTTTAGAAACAAAAATACAACCCTCGTAGCCAGCCTTAATTAGGGCTATTCAAAATTCAAATATTTTCTTTGTTTTTTCTCTCCAATCTCACTCGATTTCCAGGTGCGCTTCAACCCTGACGGAACGCCGCGCGGCGTGTTGAAGAACGGCAACAGCCCCAGGAACGATTATTAATTTCCAGACCTTAACATCCCTTAAATTCCGGCTCCCCAAAAAATTCTCAGAAAACTTTTGATTCCCATCATTGTGATTTTGCACCGAAAGCTTGACCTTTTACGCGATTCCGGCGTTGAAATGCAAAATTAACGTTTTTGATTGGCTTGATTTTTCAATAATCTTTTTTTCAAAAACCATAATCAACTTTTCTATTGTCACTTTCCCCAATTTTTCACTTGTACAGTATGCTCGACACCCTGCAGCCATTTTTTCTGCGGGAGGCCGCTAACGACCAATTTCCGTGTGTGTATTCTTTTCTAGTCTTCTTTCGCTTCCTCTCGCCTTTTGTAAAACGTATCGCGGAGAATGAATAAATTTGAATTTGAACGCAAGCTGATCGATTTTTCGGAGGGTGCCTTCGGCCGTTCTTGGTGCCCTATAAACTTTCGATAAGCCTGTGAGGGGGCTATGTGGGGGGTGGCTGTGCAAACAGTATAGAGGCGTAGCCGAGGGATGAAAATTTGTCGATATCTTCTCGCAGGCCTGGGTGGCCGGTAGGCAGTTTCAAAGGTATCGGCCTGGGAGAAGCCTGTTTTTCAATTTAAGCGGACGATTCAATTTTACTGTGACGTTTTAAGCTTTTTTTGCTGTCACTGTCCCTTTAAAAAGCCTAACGTTGCCAAACGTCCTTTTAGACGGCCCTAAACCACCACAATCACTATATAAAGGCCCAGTTTTGCTTTAAGCTTGCGGAACCTCACAAAATAGCTCTTCCGCCGATTCGATTTTCGTCAACTACACTGTCACCGCCCCTTTAAATGGTCTGTAAGCTGTCAAATTTTTCTAAGCTCATTTAAATGCGAAAATACTGGGTCAACACAAAAAAAATGATCGAGAGGCCGGTGAACCTTTAAAAATCGCTGTTACTCAGTTCTTTGAACCCAAAAACCCGAACCTCGGACAATTTGTGCCCAAATCGGGGCAGTGCTGTGCGTTACTCGTATCCCCGCGCGTGTGTGTGGAGCCCTATGAGTGTTTGTTGGTGAACCACCCCATGGGGGAGTAGAGAGCCTGCATGTGTCTGTCTTTCCATCCGTCCGTCCGTCTGTCTGTCCGTTCGTCCGTGTACACTGTATCGATTCGTAGTGTGCCCTTTTCTTACCCTCCATTCCCAGTGCCCTTACCCGCCCATTAGGCCGACCGCAAAAAGGTCGTTTTGGGCTTGATTTCACGGCGGGGCCCCGGATTTTGCCTTCATTAATGTATAATATCTTAATCTGTTTAATATAAGTATATGACTTCGACGATGCTCAAGGCGGATTTAAATGCCTAAAACTTTTCCCAGATGCCGGTACTGGACTGTTAACAGGGGGTGCTAATTATGTTCTCAGTAATCTTATACGGTCTAACAAAATAATAAAAAAATATAGACTATTCTTATAGCATTTTACAAAGCTTTCATATATGAAAAGCTCATAAAAAACTTGGGAAAAATTTATTTGAATTTGAAATTTGATTTTTGGTCACAGATCTATAAAAAATGTCCAAAAAAGCTCCGCGTTTTCGAATCCTAAAAGGTTTAAAATATTTTTTCAACTATTTAGCAATCAAAAACTTTGAAAAACATATTAGTTATTAATAGTAGGTGGAATATATGCATAGACCGAAAAACAAGCAAAAATTAGTTATCACCCCGGCTAGCATACTAGCATTTTTCAGCAGTTTGCCACTTTTTAAACCTTTATAACGCCCCCACCTGGCTCCTCCGCGTACCAGGCTATGCAAAAAACCACTCGATCACCACGAAACCCATAAAAATCGCCCCAAACGCGTGGCACACAAGCTGGGAATTTCCCCACAGATTCCACTGCCCTCCCTGCCCCACATCCAAATTTACGATTCCATGAATTTCCCCCTCCTTTGCCATTTCCGAGTTTCCATCCTTACAAAATTACGCCACCCGGATTTCGATATCGCGAATAACAATTAGCCGGGCCCGCACTTGCCTCCCTTTTTTGCGGCTTCACCACCACACTTCTGGCTCCCCCCCCCCCTCGAAAATTGGCGTTGATCCGCCTGAGCGGGCCTCCTCCTCCGCCGGCCCACGTTTTGAAGCGCAAAAAAGATGTGGCCATGGTCGCTCGTCGGGGCCCCCGCCGCTCGGAGCTGAACCAGGAATCCTCATCAATCTCTGCCCCAGGCTGGGGCCCCCCACCAAAAAAATGGCCCACCCTCCCCCCTGGAGGGCTATTCCCACACCAAAATCCGTTACTTGTCTTGCCCCGGCTAACGGATTGTTGCCCAGTCTTGGCTCTATAGCAATCTCTGAAAAACTTTACATTTTCTTGGAAAAATCAAACTAGAATTTTAGAGTTTTTTAAATTTCGCCAAACCAATTTAATACCGTAATCCAAAACTCTCAAAATCCCGAATCCCAGAATCAGAATTCCCTTTTTTCCAAAAAAAACCCGATCTTCATGTCAAAATTTGATTTCGGGATTCGGGGATTCGGTATTTTTTTATTTGGTATTATGGAATAGGACGGTACTAGTCTATTAGCGGGGGGTGGGGTAGCGAGGGAGCTATTGAGTGTAGCTTAGGCCAAAATATTTGGGTGTGTGTTCGTAAAAATGTCAAAAAATTTCGACAATTTTTCACATTCGAGAAGTAATCAAAACATTGCAAACATCTTAATGATTTTTTATAAGCATTTTATACCAAAAAAAGCGTAAAATTCTAGACAAATAACTCCCATTTCCGCATCGTAGCATTAGGTAGTTGTTTATAATCACAAACGCGTAGACGCGAATTTAGGTCCCCGCTACCTACCCCCACCCCCCGCTAACAGCTCAGTACCTGGCCGGCTAAAATTTCAAAATAAAGCGGACCCTCATCTGTGCCCTCCGGGCAATATGTGGCTAGCTGCTCAAGCCGTGTGGTGGGGTAGTCGACAAATGCAGTGGAGGGCCGACCGGGAGTGAGGGCGAGAGTCCGCGGGACTCCACGGGACACCAGACCGGTGTCCCTCTTCGCGGCCCAGTTCGAACAAGAGACCCCCATTGGGCACTACTCCCCGTAGCCTTCCTTCCCCCCAAAACCCCCTTTTCTTTCCCTAGGCTTATGGCTCACCCCGTTTTCAACGGTCTCAACTCTCTGGTCTTCTATTTCGTGACCATAAGAGAGTAACGCTCATTTTTCACTTGTCATTTGTAGCGTATCGTACTCGTTCAAAGTTGAGATCGGTTCATAGTGCACAAGTTTTTTGTCTGTTTCAACGAAAGGAAGGCTAGTTATTCCGTAATTTTGGTATTTTGTCACCGTTCATTTGTTGTCACGCGGAATTTGAAAGCAAAACGATTGTAAAATTTAGCTAAAACGATTATTATTATATTTCGAGCGCTGTTCTTATCGAAGCTTTCGTAAGCTCCTTTATGGCTTTTTTGAGCCTATGGTCAAGCCTTGTGGAACAATATTTCGGTCTTATTTCATAATATCGTAATCATCTGGCAATTACTACATTTAATTAACCCGGGCTTACGTGTTTAATTTTATAGGCTGTGAATGCTTAATTCGTTATATATTTGCTATTCTTCTCTATTGCGTGGTAATAGTTCAAATTAACAACTGCGAATTCCTTAATTATACCCGATTTACCGTCTTGATTTCACATAATTTTGTTGTTTACAACCCACTACCCCGATTTGCCTTGGAAGCCAAAAATTCTTTGAGACTCCCCGGGAAGCCGCATCTCCTGCTCCTGGCCAGCGTCGCCAAATCCAAAATCGAATAAACACAGCGCAACTCGGGCCAGCACGCGCCGAAAAGTAGCCTTTTCGAAGCGTTCTAAATGACGGGTTACTCGTTGCCCATGCCAGCCAAGGAGAAGTTTCCAAGCTCTCATTTTTGGCGTTTTGGACTGCCTTTTTTGCTCTCTTTACTTCGCTTATTACTTTATTTTTTTAACTTTTTGACGTCGTAAAACGAGAGGACCGATTTGATTTCGCCGCCTTTTCCTTTTCCTGTTTTTATTTGGCCAAAAAGTTAAAGCTCCTCTCGAATTTCATCACCTACTTAAAAGCACCGAATTTTGAAACCTCAAGATCGCTCTCACGAACTTTTTTAACCCGTTTTGAATGCGGTATTGATCTTTGAAGATATGCCCCTTCAAAATTAATTTATTTGACTTTACTTATCCCTTTTTGAAGTGAAAACCTAAAAATAAACATGAATTCATTCCTTCTCGCCTTTTTTGCTTATTGTTATATGGCTACAAAACCAAATCCGGGCCCTCCCCTCGAATTTCATCACCCGCTTGCAAATCACGGAAGCTCACGGCTAATCCCTAAACCTCCGGGATCAATTTGTAACAATAAACCAGTGTCGTAAAACATCCGCGCCGAAGTGAAGCCATTTCCGGGCGCGGCGCAAAATCCAATATGTCGGCCGGGGGTAAGCCCATATGGCACAGTCCATTCTTTTCCTCAGTCTCTTGTGAGGGACATTGAAAGCGGGGCTTCTGTCGGTAGAGTTCAGGATGCACCGAACGTTGCTAGGTCACGATGTTGGCAACATAGTCCACTGGAATATTCGGGATTGCATTTTTGAGGCTGTTCAGTGTCTGGAAGGCTGCAAAAAACCAGCTGGAGACCGTGATCGGTCAATTCTGGTTGTTGGACTTTGGATTTTGCAATTCTGACGCTACTTTGGACGCTAGTTTTTCAAAATATACTTCATAAAATGGAATCTTCTTTTCTTTTTTTAAACAAAATTCGTGGCTGGTAACGATGTGCCGAAATCACCCCCTATCGTTCGGCCTAGGTCAAAATGTCACTAATTTTTTAGATAAAAAATTGAATATATAGTCTTTTATGTCTATTCTTCTTGCTACTTTTTTATAGCATAATATAATATCGATCTTTAGTTCTTTTTCTCGGCCACTTGCTCGCGACCTGGATAAACCCCTGGATTTTACAGAAAAAACGCTATTTTCTGTTGCTGGTTTTACCAAATGCAAATATATTTAAATATATTCTCCTTCACTCTTTTACAAAGACGATATTCGGCTTTTTCTTACTTGTCTCACCTCAACCACACCCCCACCTGGCAAGAATCGAACACTAATCGATCCAAGCGCTTTCTTATCGCACTCCAGAAATGGGCTCCTCCATGCCCCCTGGCTATCTATGACGTTGCAAAACGCACTAACTAGTCGTCACCTTTCCTTGATTGCGTTCCACTCTTCTTTTTCGTCCGCTCGTGCTCCACAACCTCCTCCTCCCTTTAAATCCACTTTTACAGCTGATGCGATGGTGTGGTTGTTGCGGCAGATACGCCGCCGCGGCGGAATCTCCGCCATCTGCAAACTTTTTGGGATCTGTCTAGTCATCGGCACGCTTCTACAGTTGACAAGTTCGGCGCCGAATCGAGGTTTCAAGAAAATTCGGGTTCAAAGCAAGAAAATTCTAGAAATTCCGAATAATCAGCCTCTACGCCCTTCACCATTACATCCAGATGGCTTCCATGCGATCGATGATGGGCAGGTTCAGATTGAGGATGAACCTGAGGAGCAAAAAGTGAGTGCCAGTTTAAGTGATAATAAACCGGCGCTTCCACTTGCTTCGGCGAGTATTTTCCCTTCCCGGATTGTCTATCTTCGATTTAATATATCAAAATATAGTTTATTAGTCCCCAAAAACTCTGATTTTTAGAAACCCTCCGTCCAGCAAATCCACTCTGGTGACTGGTATGTAAAAACAGCCGGAACTTACAAGAAAACCCCAACAGTTGAAGCCATCAAAACAGAAATCAACAAAAGAAAAGTAAGAAATCACCAGTTTCCCCTTACAAAATCCACCGCCAGGGAGAATTCTACGAGCAAATCTTTGTACACTTTGATCTCAAAGGCGCCCCGCCGAAGGTGTCCTATTTCTTGCAGCTACTCGAGCTGGTGCGAAAATCCGGCGCAACGGGTAAGTGTGAAAGCAGCCCGGGACGCTGTAAAAACCTCAATACCTTTTAAAATACGGTTCCAGGTGTTATGATTGAATGGGAAGATATGTTCCCGTATACTGGTCGCCTAGCATCTGCCATAAATACGGATCATTATTCGATGGAGGATGTGAATGCAATCCTGTCTAAAGCACAGTGGGTGTAGTTCTAATTATTTAAGAAAACTTGAGGCGAAAACTACAGCTAGAATACACAACACGTTTCAGTTCACTAGGCCTAACAATCGTGCCACTCGTCCAAACATTCGCACATCTCGAATGGATTCTAAAACTAGAAGAATTCCGAAAATATCGTACAGTGGATGAATATCCACAAGTACTTTGTTTGGCGAATAAGGATGGAGTGGATTTGATAAAGGAAAGTGTCACCCAGGTAGGCCCACAAAACAAAATAGCAAACCTAATTTACCTAGGTGATAGAAGCGCACAAACCATACGGAATCCCAATTTTTCACATTGGATGTGATGAAGCCTTCTTGGTAAGTCAGAACATCGGGACCGTAACTAGTAATTTAGTATGGCGCATGCCGAGAAGATCTCGAATGGATCAAAAGCAAAGGTCCTGACGGCTCAAAAGAGTTCCTCGCGCTAAGCCACATGCGAGAATTCGCGAGCTTTGTCAAGAAGCAAGTGGGACCAGATACTACGTAAGTTGCCACACTTTCGCTTCTCAGCCTGGGGAGCTTCGCTTTTTACTTGGAGCTTCAGGATATTGGTCTGGCACGACATGCTGAAGAGCTTCCCGCCACAAATCATCGAAAAAGCGGGTGTGAGAGACCTCATTGAGCCGGTGGTTTGGGATTATTCGGAAGGGATCGTCACGATGAATGAATGGAGCTTCCAAACAATCGCTGACAGCTTTCCGGTCGTTTGGGCTTCATCAGCTTACAAGGTTCGCTGCTACTGCTTGCCGAAAGAATTTGATTCTACAAATTGCATTGCTCTAAAGGCGCTAAATTATATTTTTTAAATTAAAAGTTTAAACTATTACTTATGAAGCGTTTTAGGGCGCAAACTTCCCCTCAGCCAAGTACATCGACGTGCGCCACTACGAGACCAACAACCGAGCATGGGTGGAAATAGTCCGGAACAACAAGCAGCGCTTCAAGGGTGGCTTCAAGGGGATCATCATCACCGGCTGGCAACGATATGATCATATGGCCGGCTTGTGCGAGATATTGCCTGTCGGCACACCCTCGATGATCCTGCAAGTCGAAACGGCACTTTCGGCGGCTAACAAAGAAGATCAGGTAAATTTGCGCAAAATAATAAACCACTAAAAAATGTACCGTCTCATCAGCTATACCCACATTTCCAGGTCGGTATCCGAAAACGCGCTGCAAGAAAGCTTGGTTGTGCCGGGGATTCACTGGCTGTCTCGGGATTGGAATTAATTAACGCTCAATGCAACTTCACCGGCTTCGGAGTCTATCAAGCGTTTCAGGTAGGTTGAGACTGAGTGACTGCCAACCACTCCAAAAGCAATATACCTGCCCGTTTACAGGGTAATGCCCGGCGAACAATTTCGTACGTTTTGGATGAGATGGAAAAGCATCACCCGACCATTGGCTGGCTAAACGAATACGCAAGAGCGCACGAATATACGCAAAACTGGTGAGTAACTTGCGGGCCCATTCCTAATTCCAAGTTATTCAGGTATCTGCGTGAAATCAGCCAATTTCTACAAATGCAGTTGGGTCAGTTGAAAGGAGCTGAGCGGCAAATCAGGTAGCGAGTGAGGGGGAAACCATCCTATTTACCAAATTTAGAACACAAATGGCTCCGCTGTTCTTCGAGAATACCGTAGAAGAATTTATTTTCGAGACGATCGGCCAGCACATCGACAAAATAGAAAGAATGCTGGATGATGCCGAGAAATTGGGCAAGCTGCGCGTTTGGCCAAAGGTAAATAGTATCTACGCGCAGCTATCGAAAAAGATCTAAATAAAAAATTCGGGCTTTCAGCGGCATTTCCCTATCAAGAAGACAGAGCTGTGATTCGTCCGTCCATCAAATTTGAGCCTTCCGAATATCTATGGGTCCCTGTTGGTCAGCATCAAGAAATTCCTCTACATAGCCTAACCTTGAACATAACCTAGTGCCTCTTCTAAATCCTCAATTTGCCCCTACCAAACGCTCAACTATCTTTGTGATTGCGCCGCTATTGTTTCCACATTTCCGGGTCCGCCACTGACAGCAATCAAACATGCATTCCTTATACGCAGCAGCCCCCCTTCAAATGTGATTTCAACAAAGGTTTACTACAAATCGGGTACTCTAATTTTCTCCCAGATCGAATAAATCAGACTTCTCCTCAAAGCACATTCGATTGCCAAACACGGTTATCTACTCTCCAGCGAGACTCATGTCAAATCTTTTATTAGAATTCGTTAGAAGCAAGAAATTGAGCGTTAGTGAAGCCAAAAGTAAACGTATCTCAATGGTTAATGGAAAACGGGGTATGCACAAACACATAGTTGGGAACGTGGGGGCAGACCTTAAACCCCTTAAAACAAATGAAAACAGACCGAAAATGGAACGTATACCCACTCCTTCAAATAAATCGGAAAAGGGAGAGTCAACCCTTCACAAAAACAACGGGAGATGGAACGGAAAATCAGGCATTTGATCAATAGCATCACACCGGCTTTCGAAACACAACCTGTTGGCGCGTTCTTGGAATAGAGGAAGTTTAAGAGAAACGTATGCCGACCAAGGATAGCAACATAATGACTGGCAAAGATGAGAAGTCACAAGTATTGCGCAATGAATTGGGAGAGAAGACAGTGAGCGAGGTGGGATGGCAATAGAGCGGTTAGTCGGTTTTGTAGCCAATACGATGGCGCACTTCTCGGAAGACCATGGAGAAGAAAGTGACGATTAAAGCAAAGATCGGCAGCACAGAGACAAGTAGCAACTGCGTTCGGTCCTGAAAATCATACATACAATTCAATAATCATTTTGGCCAACTTTCAAGAACAAAAACGCGAAAAAAACGCTTACCAAATTATCGGCAGCGGGCCGGGAAACAAGGTCCGTGCTAGCCGCCACCTGCTCGATTTCAGGTGCCGCTTCAGCAGGCCCATCGGAGGCTAGCTGGCTACCAAATGGCTCAGCATTCCAAGAAGTAGCTGGCGGGAAATTCCATTTCGGCGCTTCTGGATTTCGATCGTCCACATATGCGAAGTCCAAGTTAGGGCAATTCTCATGTTCCCTGCCCTCGGCGCGATCTCCATAACTGCCGATAACTTCTTGCCCATTGGTGGTTACCCCTAAACATCAATAATCAGAAATGCACTCGAAACGTCACCTTCTTGGGCGGTCTGTGCATCTTTGATAGCATTCAATTGGGCAGTGGCCTCCTGCAACCGCTCGATGGCCACCAAATAAGCAGTCTTCAGATCGTTATCTGCTGCTGAAATTGGCTCCTCGACGGGCGCATCGCCAGCGGCGACAGCAGCGGAAGCTGCATCCACTGGTTCTGGCTTCTCTAAATAGAAAATACGAGTGTAAGCCTGGTAAAAAATATCTAGGCAACCTAGATGTTCTAACGGTCAAAACGTTTACCTGGTAGAAATTGCTCGATGAACTCGCTGAGCGCCTTCTGGGATATACCATTCTCGCTACGATACTTTGTCAACATCTGCCCAAACATCTATAAAGCTAATCAATCAGAGCAGAAAACCAGATCTGACCTGACTAGCAGCTTCTGGAGCGCCAGCCGTGGCGGGATTGCCATGAACTTGATCAAGCAGGAAATTGCATAGTTGAGGAGTAATAACTGTAAGAAAGTAAGAACAAAAAATGCGTTTGGTACCTTGCTCCAGGTTTGGAATTTTTGAAGGCGCACGAAGCTTGGTTGCTTCCTTTTCTACCATCTTTCGGACACTCAACTGGAAGATGTCGTAGGCCATCAGAAGAGTTTGCAAGCGCCGATCGCTATCATCATGCTAAATCAGTGTTTATGAAAGGTTTTTAGGCCTACGATGTGTCGGCGAAGTTCGCAGTCCTCTTCAGCGTTGCACAGGCTCCTTTCTGTATCCTGAAGACGTTGTTCAGCCTCAATTTTCGCTTCTTCGAATTGCCTAAAAAGGAAATGTTCGATAACAAAATGGAGACAACTTACGCATATGTTTCATGCATCTTGGTTACAGCCTTATCCTTCGCTTCAAGCTTATTGAGAATGTTGGTGTGCCACTCCGGAACAGCTTTGTTGCTTGTGAAGGTCTCGAGCTGATCTTCCAAGGTCAGAATCCTAAAAAAAAGACATTTATAAAGAAAAGAGCGTGCGGAAAAGCCCAGGGTATCAAGAATAAACAATAGAGACCTGGCAATAAATCAAGTTGCAAGAGGAAGAGCAGGTGAAATCAAAAATTCGTACTTCCGCAAAAGGACATCTTCAAGGAGACAACTGCGCCATGTCCCAGTAGATAACACTTCCAGTTCTTTCAGGTGCTCAACAACTGCCGCCAGCTTTTCATTCCGATGTCTTTCCCTAAAAATCGAAATTACTGGAACTCTTGAAACGCTATACCTATAGACGGCTTCGTTCAAATGAGTATTCAGTGCATAACACATTTGCTCTTGGAAAACAAAGTTAGCGCGAGCACCCGGTGTATTAGCCGTCTCTCCTTCACCTCCAGTCGGAGGAGCAACTTCGTGGCCGGACTCGTTATAGCAGCGAATATAGGAGAAGATGCACCCGTGTGAAACTAAAAAGGCTTAGTTTCCGAGCACTAACGAATTTTACCTTTATTCGCATTCTCCACAATTTCCACTCCAAATTGAATGATGTCGCCATTGTAAATTTGCTTAGGGTCAGAGTCTTCACCCGTTTGAGCCAATCTTTCATTGTTGACGAACGTGCCTAAGTTTGTAATGAATGGTGATAAAAAGAAAAAGCTACCATTGCTGCTCTTCGTGTCTTTAATCCAGAACGATCCATTGGAATACCATATGCTAGCGTGCGATCGGGAGAGGACCTTGCAGTCAAATACAGCATTATCCCGCGTCGGCTTCAGTCGTGCAACCGAGCGCCCAACCTTTAGAGGATCGTTGTGATCGCCAACGATACAATGTCGCTCTTCGAATGGATGTGATTGTGAACATGGCACGAAGTGGATGGACGGCTGCCTCATCTGAAAAAAAAAAAACCATAGATAAAAAGCATTTGCAGTAGAGAGCATGTGAATGGAAAGCATAGGAAAACAATATAGCGCAGTGCGCAAAATCCGAGCCACCATCTTTTGTAAACCTTGTCGAAGAAGTCTAACCCTCTTTTGAAACGCGCGGATTTTTCTTTAAACTCTAAGTCGTAAGAAATCGATTCCACAAACAAATTCAGGTTTTACAGCAAATCAAAGGCAAAAACGCGGAACAAAAGCGCAAAACTCTCCGACTTCAAGCAAGGGTCGGCTACGGATGGGTAAATAAGTAATAGCAATAGAAAAAAATCGTTCAAAAAATAAAAAGTCAGGGTCTTTTGGATTTTATTCGGGCAGAAAACGGGGAGACACCCTCCGGGGGGGAGGTCTCAAACAAGGCCCGGGCCGCTAAACCGCACTCGTCGACAAACTACGAAGCTGTGCTGGCTAATGCGATTGTGCTCCTTGCGCGTGCGTACAAATCAGTAGAAGCAAGAAAATCGTATAAAGTTTGTAAAGAAGACTGCACTCAAAAACTGGAGCTATTCGGTTTGCGAACCCTCTAGTCCCCGGCGCTTTTTTTAAAGGATTTAAACGGCGTGAAACGTTGAGGCGGATTGAGAAGCATTGCGAATTCCTTTGGTTCAGAAAAGCGCGAGTGGCATTCCTGGAATTATTTTCTGGGTACGGTATCTTTCCGCCCGGTTCACGTTATAGGACGTTATAGGATTACAACCACGGCAACGGTGGACGCACTTTTTTCTCTTAATTTAGGAATTTTTGCTCATAAACGTTGATACGAAAGGAGATAACAATAACAATCAGGGATATTCGGATTCGGGCAATTTGGTTTTATGGAGATGGGCGTTTCATTATAGCTATGTAGAGGGCGTTTCGCTCCTAACCCTCTACATAGAGGGTCAGGGGCATAATAGGGATGTGCAATTGCTGAAATCCTCGTCATTCGCGGGGATGCTAAGGATCCTTTGGTGCCAGGTTAGGTGAAGCCATGATCAAAAAAAAATCCGGTTTATAGAACACGTTTAGGCGTTATTCTTTTTACCTCAGTCTTTCTGCATCAATATGTGTATGCGCGCCAATGCCTGAACGTGTTATTATCAGCGGACCCAATCGGGGACACTTGCTCCCGGAACGTTTCAGCAAAGCCTCTGGGAAATTTTAGTTTTCTAGCAGATGGATGGCTTTGGAAGGCTGTCAGTCTGGGCACTACATGCTTCTGTATGGCTTGGCGCTTTCTAAACGTTTTTATTCATCGTTGTATGGGTATTATTGACTGCCGCGCGTCTTCTACACCACCCACTTGCTGAGCAAGCCATCGAATATTCGCACCCCGGTTGCCAGGCCGAGGCCTTCGATTTTTCAATAGTATGGGTGGGCACCCTGGGGGCCCATGGAGGGGATGCCCGACGAGGGTGTAGAGCGTGGGCGGAGGGGGTTGGACATGGAAGAGAGGCTCAGGCTGGCACCCCAGCCACATGTGACCCACCAGCAGCAGCACACGGGGCTCCTCCGCATGCTGCACAACTAGTTTTTATGCTTATGAATTCGCGGTGGTGGGCGCTTTGTTCGGCGGCACCGGAAATCTTGGGTTGTGCACGGTCGGTGCAGCTGCACCTGCCTTGCCTTTACTTCCGGACCTTGTTGCAGGACTTTTGTAGCTGGTTGTTTTATACCTTTGCGCTATGGATTATCCGAATTTTCTTTCGTACTAGGCCGTAGTCTCTATTTTTTCAATCCTTGATTATAGTGGGCTTAAATTATTTTTTTTTGCTGACTCAAAGTACCGAAAATAGAGCTAAAATTGTGCAATTCTGACCAGTTCTATCGATTTTTAGCAGTTTAGAATACCTGAAACACGTCAATCAAACGCATAATCGCATTTTCTAACTTTGAGATCCAATTTTAGTAAATTTATTCGGCGCGGAGCGCGGACTTAGACTAAAAGAAATACGATACCTCTTTAACTTGTAAGGTTAGGGTTCAACCGACGTTTTTTTCTACGACTTCACCTTACTGACCTATTGCCAAGCGCAAGCACGTCAACATGCCGCAGACCGTAACAGCAAACAAAGTGGTCACCCTGAAACCCTGAACCTGGCTAGGGGAAGGAAACGGGTCGGAAAACAGAAAAATAGCCTTCCCAGTTCGCGCGGCTGGTAGTTTTTATTTTGCAGCAAATTTTCGCTCATGCTAGATCGTAGTGGCATTACAATTCCATTGACGGCGGGCAGGTGTAGGACGCAATTACTCGCTAATCCTGTGGGTGCACCAGGGATCGATTAGAGCACGAGCGGCCCATGATTTTCAGGTGGTGCTCTGGGTCATTAGCCGGTAGTGATGGTGTTATTCAAATCTGAAAGCTAAACAACTGAAACTGAAACTACATACACTGAATCTATAAATCCGATTTTGCTGGAACTAGAATTACTTTATTTGAATTACCCAATTAGGTACTGGACTGTTGGCGGGGGGCGGGGGTAGCAGGGAAGATAATTAATTTTACTGTACGGACCTATGACAAAATATAAACCATTTTTATAGCATTTTGCGCAATTTTTACTGAAAAAAAACTAAGTAAAGCCAAAAATTTCGAATTTTCAAAAATGTGATACTCTTTTGTAACTTTCTAGCGATCAAAAACTGCTAAAAGCATTATCAAAATACACTATTTACTATTGCCATATAGGTATAGCCTAAAAAGCAAAATTTGCTGCCCCTGCTAAAAATCCCACCCCCCGCTAAGAGTACAGTTCCTAAAATTACTATTTCCGGTCTACAATGCAGCATCCGGGGTCGATTTTGCGTGTTTTGAGGGATGGTGGTGGTGCCTGTCGGTTGTTCTGCGTCCTCTGCTCTTCCCCTCTGCCTGCCTTGGAGATCAGCTGACCATGGAAGGTCGGGCCGGGTGCCGACCCCCATCATGCATTTCCCCCTCCCCCATATAGCTGACAGCTTCAAGCTGGCCTTGAATTATACAAAACCTTAAGAAGTTAGTAGATTCCCTCAATTTGCGTGACTTTTTTGGAAATCCGAAAAAGGTTTGCTATCAAAATTCTAAATTTTGAAAATTTTTTTAAAGTTTTTGGAATAAGTTTCCTTTTCGATATAGCTAAATTTTACAAAAAAGGCTGTAAATTAATGGTTATAAATTTCCGATAGTAGACTGTTAGCAGGGGGGGGGTTAGCAAGGGAAATTAATTTCGGTTTTTCCGTCCAGACCGACCTGTTTCAAAATAAACATGTATTTTTTAATATTTTGCGTAGGTTTTCATTGCTAGAATGTTACAAAAAATATTTTAAACATTTTTGAAAGCCGAGAAGTTTGACCTTTTTGTCATTTTCGAAACTTTTGATGAGTTTTTATTAGCTTTGTACGACCGTACAGGGCTATCCGATCAGTTTGCCCCCTGCTAATGCCCCCCCCGCTAACAGCCCAGTACCAAATTTCGGCTACATAGCCGGACTTACGGAAAAGATTGGATCCCCGCAAATTCAAAAGACCCAGATTACATACGTTTCACACCTCTTCACACCCAGACGTGTCTGAAGTCTAAGACATTTCACATATAGTCACTTGATAACACCGCCAGCAATCGTATATTTTTGGGGCATTCCCAATTCTATCCATTGCAGCATCGGCCGGGCCTTTTCTGATTCAGCGTGCCCCCCGCTCTGCCCGTGTTTGTTGTTTCTTTCCGGGGGTCTTCCTTCTCAGCTGCTCTGTGCGCCCGAGCTGTAAGACCTCCCAATTTTTGTTGCTTGGGAGATTTTATAACATAGCTCCTTTCATTTTCGGTCTCAATCAGATAGATCAGCTGGATGGCTGGTTGCCTGTCAATCGGGGGAGGCGTTTTTTGCCCCCTGGGGCAGCGCATTTGATAAGTGACCCGTGGGGTGGCCATTTGGCTTTACTGCTTTTGGGGGGTATTGCATCAGGCGTGTATTGGAAAGTTTTGTACGGGGGTTACGGTAGTTTTTGGAATGGTGAACATTCATTTTTACGATTGTCAGCTCGCAGATTCTTATTTCGCCGATTTTTCATGTATCCGAATTTTTATTTAGGGATGCTAATTTTAAAAAATTTGGCTTAGTTTGGGATTTTTTGACTTAGAGAACTTTTAAGACTATCTTAATTTAGACCACACACTTAGGCTTAGGTTTAACTTTCGTCTTATGCTTATTTAGGCTTTGGTTCATTCTTAGTTTTAGGCTTGGCTTGGGTTTAGGATTAGGCGTAGACTTAGGGCTGGCTAAGGCTTAGGTGATGCTTGCGCTTGGGCTTGGATCCGGCTTACACGTAGGCTTAGGCTTAGCTTAGGCTTAGGATTTGGCTTAAAGCATTAAATAGGAGTTTCTAAACCTCGAAATTTTACAACATCGCCTCTTCCTCGTAAATTTTGCAAAGAAAAGGTTTCTCCAAGGAAAGAATCCTCCTCGAAAAATCTCCTTGACTTTTGTGGGGAGGGTTGAATTGCCAGTTTGAGAGAGGCAGAGGTGCACAGGATGCTCGCTCCAGCCAACTGGTTACCGGCCCTACCCCTTTCTCCCCCCATTTTCACCGGCTGCACGCTTAGCTATGCGTCCTTGAAAAGCGTAAATACAATTTTTTGTGTGTATTTTGAAGGATTTTTGGTGTATTTACGCTGCCCTCCCGCACGTGTTGATAAATTTACTCTCGAAAAGTACACAAACCGTGTGTTGTTTTGAAGTTTTCCGGGCGTATCGGATATTTTTGTACTTTGGGAAAATGGGAAAAATTCGGTTGGGATCTAGCGAATTTTGAACGTCGCCCTTATCAACTCTGCTGGTGGTCGCCAGTGGGTCTGCATTGGGGGGCAAAGGCGGAAATGCGGCTGGGAGGAACTAGTCGTAGTTGGGGAGGAGCGGGGGGTGCAAAAGAGCGCGGCGTAAACAAGTTCATTTCAAAACGGCGTCCTCAAGTCGTTCGTATCGTGGCAATCGCAGGGGGCCAAGTTTACATTATTTGGTCCTGGTAATTTAGCGGGTGGGTGTAATGTGGGACTTAACTTCCTTCATTCCGCTTAAACTCTATGTTAATAAAAACTAAATTATTATCTAGGGTTTTTGATATTTCCCGAGTACTAAAAAGTGCTAAAAACGTCGAAAATTAGAATTTGGTTTTTTCACATGCACTTGTGTTAAAAAATGAAAATATTAAAATGTTATAACTATTAAAACGGCTTTAAGCCCTAGCAGATCTTTAATGGATAAATATAAAAATCTATTTTTAGCCGTCTCAGACTCTTCCCCCGCTAACGCACCAGTACCCATTATTTTTTTTGAAACGGCGTTCGCTTTAATTTGCTTTCACGTATTTTGTAAATTAATCTTTTTAAAATCCCGCAATATCCATGCATTTTTTGTGTTCGACGGGCCGGCCGGGGGGTCATGGCGGAGAATGCCGAGGTGTAACAGGCGGGGCGTTTCGAGGCCGAAGGGTCAACAAAACAAGCCGTAGAGTCCCGGATGGGGGGCTAACCATGCCTCAACCTAGAGGAAGAGTTCCAGTGAAAAGGGCCACCCGTCAAAATCGATCACGATTCCAGTTGGCGCCGCGGAAATGAGCTGTTGAAATTGGTGGCTACTTTGTCTTCTCACCGTTCAGCCTTGTTGGGGTCATTTTTTAAAGGGACGTGCAAACCAAGATTATGGATTTTTCTGAAATATCTGAATCCTTAAAATATTGAAAATCTGATTTTCGAAAATCTATGTTCCTAATTTTGATCATCTGGATGCTAAATTTGGGCTCTTTCACATTATCGGGGGGGGGGTATCGGAACGGACCAACTTTTTTTTAGGATTTCTTACAAATTTTTGGTTTTTTCAACTTTGCGGGAAGTTTTTAGCTCGTTTTTCTAACGGAAATATAGTTATATTTTACGAAAAAAAACTATCAAAATGCTTCCTATTAAATTATCACGTTTCTGGACTTATAAAAAAACTTCGTGCCCCCTCGGAAAACCACCCCTCCCCCCCGCCCCGACCCCCCGATAATGCCCAAGGACCTAAATTTCCATTAAGTTCCCGATTTCAATGAAGCTGCGCGCGATATCTTATGGGATGTACACATACATACACGTACCACTGCCCTCCCCCCTCGCATTGGGTCTCGGATTTCATGCGCCCGGACACACTGAAGCCGTCATAGAGGGACAGGGCAGCCATGCATTGAAGACACACATCGCCGACCCCCAGCCTCACCCACTAGCAAGCTGCTTTTGGTCTTTATTTCTGCAGAAAATTAAGTTTATGTGTTCTTTGGATGATTTGGGACGGAAGAAATCGTTTTCGAAGCAGATTTCATTGATTCAGTTAGTTGCCTTTAAAATACCTATAATGGATTTTCTTGAATTTTTATACCTGAATACATTTTATTCCTTCGCTTTACCCTGCAAAATCTTGTAAACTTTTTGATTTTCAGGTGAGTTTCGGTGTGCCCGCCCGCCCGCGTAATGCCCATCCGTGCCCAAGTTGAGCAGGTCCCAGATTTCAAGTACGTTTTATAACCATCCGCGAATACAGAAAATAGCGTTCGAATTTTCAAAAACACTGACAATGAACCTAAGTCTTCAAAAAATATCTGACATCCTGTTTTCCCGGCTTAAAAATTTAACTTTCTTCCCTATCCTCCTGAGATCAGGCGCCAATCATACCCCCACCAACAAATCACACCGCCCCGCCCGGAAAAGCGTAAAAATTGTCACATTTCCTGGGCTGCGACTCGATCACGGGACGACCACCAGTTTTTGTAAGCAATGCGAAATGCCGGGTGTCGGGGGGGGGGGGTGATTCGGCAAAATATATCGCGCGCTGCGGGCGTTCATCTTTTCTAGGAAACCCTTTTGATTTGCAAAGGTCGCTTCGGGGGGTTGGATTTTTGTGTTATAGACCCAGCAGGGCTTAGACCAACATTGGGAGCTATAATCTTCAAAAAACGGGCTCGTGATGGCGGGGGTGCCGGGCACCGCCTGTTTTCGGCTATTTATGGCTGGTTTTTTGGGGTAAGGGAGAGAGAGAGAGAGAGAGAGAGAGAGAGAGTGCAGAATCGTTTCGTGAGATAAAGCTGCTTCCCTTGGTCATTCTGGTAAATTCATAAGCTTCTACTTTCGAAAATCAGCTCTGGTCCTCCTTTTTGAAAAGCATTTTGCCAAAATAATTTTGTCGAAATAGCATTTTGTCGACATTTCAATTTGACGAAATTTCAAGGCCTTTTCGTCTCGATTATTCGTCTCAAAAAATCCGCAAACTGAAACTTCAGTGTATGGAAATATCGAGAAAAAATAATTTCGGCAAACTGTTAGCAAATCGCTATTTTCTATTTATTGTAGAATAATGTTAACACATCTTGCATCACACTTTTTTTTGTCACTTCCGCCTCAACCTTGGTCGCAAAACCATAAAAAACCCCGCGACAGTCCATTTCCATAGCAGGCGCCCGGCATGTGACTCGATCAGCTGTTCGCCCTTTTTAGGAGTCGCTGCGGCAAAGGCAGCGACTCCTCTATTTTCTCCGCACTTATTTGCCCCTTCCCGCCTCGTTCTTTCTCTCTCACTTATTCTACCCCCACCTAGCATACACCACCCCCCGCAAATGCACACGTACTTGCGTTTGTTTTCCAGTTTGCTGGCCAGGTGCGCGTTTTTGTCTCTGGCTGTCAATGCCGCGCGCGCACAGCGTGATTGTTGAGCTTCTGCTAGGTTGCGCTTTCGGACTTGGCAAAGATGAAAAAAAGTAATTTAAAACTTTGTATCCTACCTTATATAATTTGGTCGCGTATCTTTGTGTGTGTGTGTGTGTGTCCGGCGCCAGGGAGGGCTACTTTGCATAATTCCAAAAAATACAAATTTCCTCATTCTTGCAAGTTGCACGCGCGGGTGTGGTCGGATGAAGGGAGGGGTCCGAAGGACCCAAGCTATCGGAAAGTCAAGTTTCTCATGCAAAGGCCGCTGGTTATTTAGATAAAAATTTAGATTTTGAAATGCATAAACTCAAAATTCAACAAGCTTATTTTTTCCGAATTTTCGATTTTTGCAGTCTCGCAATTTCCATATGCCGTAAGAGTTTTAAAAATTGCATAAACAACTTCAAATATACAGTAATCCACTGTTGAGAATTAAACCCTGAAACTCAGAATAAGGAATTAAAATATTCTGACTGACTAAAACTTTAATTGAAAAATAAAAAGCTTCAATTTGTGCGCTCTCGAAATCCTCGAAGAAACAACGTTAAGAGCTTTAAAAATTGCATTAGAACGCTATAAGATTCCAGTTTCACATTTTTTAAATTTTTAAAATTTACTATTCTGACGTCTCCAATTCCGGTTTACAATATTCTGACATGTTCCCCCTTGTTCCTACGATTTCACAATCCAAAACCATTGTATGCTATTTTGGCCGTTCCCCCTCCCCCCTTCCCACACGGCTCCTTCAAAAACCCTTTGTATCGATTTCCGAAACCAAACCCCCGTCCCCCCGATATCACGAGATCCACATAGAATTGAATAGCTTCCGCTTCAACTTTCAACCTAACATTTTCAGCGACATGGAATTCCCGATGCTGGGTTCCATGGACAAAGAGGACCTGGCGACGCGGCGCGCGGGAGGGAAGGGCAAGTGGCACGCCGCCGACCGCAGTCTACGGTATGCCAATCATACTGTAGCTCCCATTCCGTACTATTTACAGTATACATGGGTCGACGCTTGCATGCGCCGCATAAGCGTGGCCGGCCACGCTCTTCCGGAGCGTGGATAGCCACGCTGGCGCGCGCGCCTCTTAATAAACCACGCCGAAATGAGCGTGGCCCGCCATGCTCCGGAAACGATTATGCAAAGTTTCTAAAGATGCAAAATCAAAGTTTTCTAAGGGATATGAACGCAATCAACGATCCGCTTTCGAGAAGCTATCTAACAAGAAGTTGAATCACGATCTATCTTATTTATTTATCAACATTTAAAGATGACCCTGATAGTTATGTATCGGCAATTCATTTTTGCAAATCGAAATCATAAATATATGTCCTTTAAATTTTTGATTTGCATCTGGAGTTAAATCGCGCGCGTGAAAAAGCACGCATAAAGCGCCGCATAAGCGTGGTCCTCCACGCTCCGGAAGAGCGTGGCCAGCCACGCTTATGCGGCGCATGCAAGCGTCGACCCATGTATAATTTACAGGCGTGAGGCTGCCGTGCGGGCGGTGATCACCAAGACCATCCATTCGTCCGAGGAACATCCGCTCGGAAAGGTGGGGGAGATATACAAAAAATTGTTTTTGTCTTTTTGTATCGGTGAAGGGCTCGAAAACCGGAGTATCAAGGTATCATGTGGTAGTAGGCAGTTTAAGGCCCAGAACAAAGGTATATAGAGGTAATCGAGGGTGTAGATTACTGTAAGCAAACCAGAATCGCCCGAAAATTACCATTTATGCCTAATATTACTGTTTAAAACTAAAAACCACGGCTTCGAAAAGGGTTTCTCTTTTAAATCCGTTAATTTCCAGCGGCGTATGGCACGCCTCGTCTCGGAGTCGAGCGACGGTCTCGCGGTCGAAGTGCCGTACTCGCTGAACCGGAAGGCCCGCTGGCTGGTTTGTACTTGCCGTCCAACCCTAAATTATGGCCCTTTCAGTCGGGCTCCCCTGAAAGCCTACTGAGCTGCGAGCAGCCGGATGGGGCCCAGGTGTCGGTGGTGGAAGCCGTGCAGGCACGCGGCTCCGATATGGCCACCGCCGTCCATAGGCTGAACGCGGACGGTACGGTGGGTACGGCACGACCCAACGGATATGCTGCTCATCCGAATACTCTTCGTGAAAATGCCGGAAAGAAGCGAAGGAACACGAGGCGTTCGGCTCGCAATTCGAAGGTTGGTGTTGGACACAGAGTAAGACTTTTTTCCTTGCATTATCTACATCTAGATTTGCCTGCTCTTAAACTCGCTTTTAAATGATAATATATTATAAAATCTCTTCAGAATGAGCCCAATGACCTTGCTGAATCTGAAGGAGAAAATGAAGCTGCGGCGGAGCCAGGGCTACGCATCGACTACACCATCCAAAGAACCCACATCAACCCCCGGGTTGCCATGAAGAAGCAACAAAAATGTAGGTTTTTAAGCTCGCATTCAAATCCATTTTTCGTTTTCACAAAATTTACCAGCTGTTTTTTTAGTATACAGCCGCGAACGCCGCATCATGCGCCGCGCTGGCGCCTTCCGCGTCGACCCCGAAGACCTGATGACGAGCAGCGAGATGGAGGCCAGCATCCACGATGACACTGATACCTACAAGCCGAGCCGCGACTTCCGGTATCAATAAACGTTCCTGTATGCAATTCCTTCTACAGCTTCTGCCTCGCCGACTACATGACGGCCCCGGTGTCAAACATCGAGGTGGTGAGGAGGGGCAGTGTGGAAGCTCCACCGGTCCGTGAGGCACATCTCGAAGATGCGCTTAAGGATGTTGATGAGGTTCTTGCGGTAAGGATTTTTTGTTTGAAGTTCCCTATCTCTATTGGCTCTATCATTATTTCGACTTAAATAATTTTTCAGAAAGAAACACTCAAATCTCAACCAACTTTTGTCGACATCACAACGATCGCAAATTCGGCCAACTTCTTCGAGGCGTTCGAGCTGTCCACCTCTCAATGGAAGGACTTCAACTTTGTCGAACAAGTCGATGGGCTGAAGTTTGGGCCCCGGTGGCTGGATGCGGACAGAAGGCGTGTACTCATCGATGCCACTCCGCTATTGAAGGCAGAGCAGTCGGGTCGCCCACTACTGTACATTGTATTGGAACGGACGCGTAGGAATCATATCCGGTATGAGATATCACTTTATTCATAGAGATTATTTTTAGGGCTATCATCAACTCTCTCTACGCAGCACCGGAAAATTATGACAAGCTCAAATTCCAACAACTTCTCGAGAAATCGGGGCCAAATGGGCTGGCCGATCTTATTCAAGCTTCCGCGGCTGAGGTCGCGAAATGGGTGGAGAGGTTAGCGCATGTGGAATCGGTTCCATTACCATAATTTACAGGGCAAAGCCGGTGCGCTCGACACTGCCTGCTGCTCGTCGCCACCTTCATCTTGGTTCTGCTAACAGCCGACATCTGGCAAATGCCGCGCACACGATCGACGAGTACAGTATGGCCGAGCTGTTGAGGAAGGAGAATGAGGTGATTTTTATACGCCGAGATTTAACTTTTTTTAAGCTGATTACGGATACGTTCGAGCGGCTGTCGTCGGATGAGTGGAGCGAATGTGATGATGAGGAGTTTGAGACTGTGGCAGCTGTACGGCCATGCAGTGTGGTCAGTTACAGTCGTTTATGATGTCCCACTGCGCATAAGACCGAACCTTAAAGCCCTTTTTGAAGAGGTATTGCGCTTTGAAATAGACCACTTTATAAAGCTGAAAATTCTGAACCGACCCGATTTTTAAAATTGCTAAAAACAGCTCGTTACCATTTTTGTCAGAAATGCCTCTCCTGCGAGTGCTCCGATCCCGCCGAGCTTTTCGAGCTGGACGATGCCTGGCAATGCCGCGAATGCCTCCGCCACGATGTGCTACACCAGATTCGCTCCAAAAACGTGCCGCTCCACCTCACGGTTAGTATCTCAAAAACCTCAATGCTTACGGTTCTAGCTGGTGACCGCTGCCGGCCAGTCTCCATACGATGTGCTGCCCTGCTTGCTGCCGCTTCCCATCGTCGCCTTCTACACCAAGATTGCTGCCACCGAGGTGGGAAATCCCAGATCTCTTGATAAATATTTCTTCAGATCCTGAAAGACTCCGGAACGGCTATTGGAGAGCTGACGGTCTGCCCAGGATGTATGCAAACGGCCCACATCGATCGCCCAACAGGTATAAAATGTGGTTGGGTTGGGTGTAGATAGTGTTCCTAGATACGACATCATGTGTGTGCGCTGATTGCGGCATCCTATGGTGTTCGGCTTGTATGGCGGAGCCACATTGGCCGCTCGACTGTACTCAGCGAGCCGTGTGGGCGGAGAAGTTCGAGAAGCAATGTAAGAATGGGCTTGGGAACCACTTTAAACTACCTCCAACTCCTAATCATACCAGGGGATAGCATAACTCCTAAATCACTAGGCTTAATTCATATTTCAGACATCTGCGAGTCGATGCGTGACCAAATCGATAAGCACATCCGCCGTATCACCTGCGAGTGCGATACCGTTATCGAGGTAGGATCACTCCTGAAATCTTAAGGTATATTATTTCAGGTGGGCGATCTGACCACATCAGCCGAGTGCCCGGAGTGTCGCCTCGAATTCGACCCACGCACGATGACCCTCTGCAAGCCAAACTTCCCCTACGACTCGAAGGCCCGAAAGGATAACCTCCATGGGGTAGTCAATGACGGCAGTATTCTAAATTGCGCTTAGAAACCGTTGCCGTTCTATCACAAGAAGATCGAGCTGATCCCGCCGGCCCAGTTGATCGCCAAGCAATTTGCTGAGGTATTTGAATTTGAGCGTTTTTAAGGGCTACATTCTTCAAGGTGTGTTCATGGGCGCGTGGGGAGCGTTTGTCTGAGGTGAAGAGCGCCGCTTTCGAGAAGGTGATGCGGAAATGGGATGCTAAGGAGGTCGAGCGGGCTCGTGAAGCTCGTAAAACGGCATGTTTCTGCAGGCCGCGTCATCATACAAAATTTTAGACGCTTTATCTGATCGAATTCGGCAACGCCTGGCTGTATTTGAACCGAAAGGAGCAATCTGTACGCAGTGCTCTCCATAATCTACAGGTAAGCCTAAGCCAACTTGTCTAAGCCTTGGCTTAAGTTTAAACCTAAGCCAAAGTCTAACTACTTTTTATTTTTAGAAAAATTACGAAGAATTGTGTCTGGACGCAGAACGGACCCGCGGCTCCGCGCTGGCCCGTGTCCAAAGGGGGCGGGGGGGGGGGGCCCAGCCCAGGGGGACAGCGGGGGGGCCCCTCCGGGGGCCAAAAAGGGGGCGCAAGAACACCCCCGGGGGGAAGAAAAAGAAAAAAAAATATCCCCCCCCCGGATAATAAAAAATCATCCCTTAAAAAAAAAAATAAATTATTATTTAGTGCTTCGGTCCCCCTTTTTCTTCCAAATTCCATCCCCCTCCCCCCGGCCCTGGAGAAGAAATTTAATTTTTTTTTAATTCTTTCCATTTTAAAATAAAATCCCGGCCAATTCCCCCTTTTTTTCGTGGGTTTCGGGGCCGCGCCGGCCAGGGGAAGGGGGGGGGGGGGTTTTTTTTTTGTTTTTTTTTTTTTTTTTTTTTTTTTTTTATTTTAAAAACCTCCCATACCTTTTTTAGAATGATTAAAAACGGGGGGGGGGGTGGGGCCGGGGGGGGTGCGTGGCCCCCGGGGGGGGTTTTCCCCCCCCAAAAGGGGCCCCCCCCGCGAAAAGAGAGGGAGGGGGGGAAAAAAGAAAAAAATTTTTTTTTTTTTGGGGTGTGGGTTTTTGTTGGGTTGTTGTTGTGGAGGGGGGGAGGGGGGGGGGGGGGGGGGGTTTTTTTATTTTTTTTTTTTTTTTAAACTCGTCGTGGTGAGGGGGGGTGTGTGTGGGGGGGGGGGGTGTGTGGGGTGTGGGGGGGGGGGGTGTGGGGTGTGCAATTTTGAAAAATTAAATTAAAAGAAAAAATTTTTTTTGTTTCCTAGGGGGAGGGAGAAAGGAAAAAACTTAGGGTGGATTTTGTGGGGGGTGGGGGGGGGGGGGGGGGGGGGGTATGGGGTGGGGGGGGGGGGGTTAATTTTTTGGGTTTTTTTTTTTTTTTTTTTTTTTTTTTTTTTTTTTTTTTTTTTTTTTTTTTTTTTTTTTTTTTTTTTTTGTTTTTTTTTTTTTTTTTTTTTTTTTTTTGTTTTTTTTTTTTTTTTTTTTTTTATTTTATATTTTATTTTGTATTGGGGGTTTGGTTGTTTTTTAATTAATTTTATATTTTTTTTAAATATGGTGGGGGGGGGGGTGTGTGTTGGGGTTGTTTGTAGAGGGGAGGGTAAGGGGGGGGGGGGGGTTGGGGGGTGGGGGGGGGGGGGGGGGGGGGGGGGGGGTGTGTTTTTTTTTTTTTTTTATGGTTATAATATGGATTTTTTTTATTGTATTAAAATTTTTTTTTTTTTTTTTTTTTAGTATCCGTTCTGAATGGCTGTCGGCGTTTCCGGTGTAAATTTGGTGTATTGTTGGCCGGATAGCTGAAAGATCGGTTTTTTAGCATTATCGGGGGGGTGAAACTTGTGGAAGTTTTCCTAAGCAGCTTTTACGATTCCAAAAAGCAGATTTGAGGCATTTTTATTAAAAAAAAACCAAATTCTCGATTTTCGACCAAAAATGGGCGTTATTGGTAAAAATTTCGACTTTTTGTAAAATTTGCAAGCATTTAAATGGTTTTTGTAGCAGCTAGGTAGTTTTATTTTATTAAAAGCCGTGTTAAAAACTTTCTTATTAATTTACTAGGCATTTTTTAGATTTATAAAAATTATTCCCCCCCCCGATAACGGGAAAGAACCGAAGTTTTAACTTTTTTAAACCCTTCTAACTCACGTCTCCTGCCAGCCCTCGATCCTCATCAAAATATGCACCATCTCGCACCAAGAAAAACTTGGAAATGTTGAACTGCGGCAAATCGTAGAGTGATGACAGGAAAAGCATCATGCAACACAGCCCAAATAGTAGATAAACTAAAGGTTTTCGGTACTCATTCATTAGGTTCTATCCTTACTTGTTGCCACAAACTTGTAGAAGCCCCGGAACTCGACATCCGGTCCATCACCCGGCTGATAGTCGCCTAGAGCAGCAAACAAAGTCCTAGAAACGAATACACAAACCCAATCCAATTGTCGTCAACGACACGAAGCAGTAATAAAACGCATCCAAGAACGACCAATCTTCTTCGATATTCGTGAAGAACCATGAGGGAATAATGAAGGCGAAGACCAAGAGGAGCCCAAAAACGGCTCCGAGATGGAACAACTTAAATCATCTGAGTTTTTTTTTAATTTACTTCAAAACCCACCTGTAGTTGGCTTTCCCCAAAAAGATGGCCGAGCTTTGCATTTAACTTTGATCTCAACCAAACAGATGGTTGTTTCATTCTTAAAGAGTGTTGCAACCTTAGATACTTCCGAAAACCTAACCTCGTGACCAAAGCTGACAACAAGGCAAGCGATAGTGGAATCCCAACCATACAGTACACAATTGTGAACAATTTTCCATGAGCTGTACGCGGTGATACTCGACCGTATCCTAGGTAATTATGCAGGAAGAGTGGAAAAACCTTACCAACAGTTGTGATCAGGGTTCCAGCAAAGAAAAATGCGGACCCGAGCGTCCAATTCGGGTCGTTGGTGACATTCTTTTCCATCCAGATTCCATTCAGTGATGCGTCTCGGATGTCAACAAAAAGTTGGTCGATGTCGGCTTCTGAGACTTTGTTTTTAAACAGATTTAATTAAAAAACAATTTATTTATGTGTTTCAAATTTGAACCTACCCCGAATTCCCAATCCGACAAGCCGTTCGGTCCACTTCGCGCGATATTCCAAATAAGTTTCCATTTCGATTCTAAATGGGAATGGGTTTTTTTGACGGACGCCCAAATCCACTAGCCTTTCGAGCGGGGATTCAATTCGGCAGAACACCATGGCCCCTATGAAAAGGTAGATGAGCATCACGCCGAGTCCGACGAGGAGGCGTTTGTTAGTTTCTCGCATGGTTTCGGCATTTGTCCGAATTTGCGCGAGTAGCTAGAATATGAAAATATGTAGAGCATAAATAAGTGACTTACCTGATTCTGCATAGAAAATAGTTCGAGACCCATGATACCGCTGCTGGATTCAAAAGTTCTGGAAGAGAAAAATATACTTTAGATTGTCGGTTCTTGCGCATTATCGGGGGAGAAAGACCTGACTTTTTTTGTAAAAGTCCAGACATGCCTAGTAACTTTAATATTAAGTTTGAATAGCGTCAGGAAAACTATCTAAAAACTTAAAAAATGGTTTAAAAGGTAGATTTTGATAAAAAATCTCCAATTTTTGGTCGAAAATTTATATTTTTGATGTTTTTTAAATCAAGTTTCGTAATTTTTTTTACGTTTAGGAATATTAAAAACGCATAGAAACACTTCCGCTTATTTATATTTGAAGAATCGAATCCTAAACACAGCCCCCCCCTCGATAATGCGAAAGAACCAAACTTTCAAATAAATGTAAGGAAACACACATGAACAAAAAAAGCTCCCAGACGCCTGTGGAGACGTTTGTCAATGATGGAGGTCGAATGGCGAGGGGGTGGGGGCGTAGCGCCAGAAAATCGTGTGAAATTCGATTTCTGGTGTTCCTCCCGGAGACGCCGAAAATGGTTGACGGGCCGAATTCTACTCGCTGCATTGGTCGCGCCGCCCTGGGAGGAGGTAATCCAATTCCGAGCCCAGCTGCGATTGACGATTGCACGCTGGGTGGAGGCGTTAATATGGGGGTTATTCAGGGAAGCACCTGGGCTTTTCTAGGATCGGCGCTAGAAAAATAATGGGGGAATGCGAGAAAAATTGGGATTTCTGGCTGTCTTCTGGGGAGATTGGAATAGCTGGCTGGCTAGCAAGCTGGAAATTACAGTATGTTGCGCTTATCGGTACTGGACTGTTAGCGGGGGAGGGGTCGTAGCAGTGGGAAAACTAACTTTTCCAGGGAATTAGTATGGTCCTACAACAAACAACAAAGCGTTGTTATAGCCTTTTACACAGTTTTCGATATAAAAATCTCATTAAAATTTAAAATTTCTTTGAAAATTTTTACTTTTTCTCGAAAATGCATAAAGAGTGACCAAAAGGACAGAATTTACGAAATTTCAAAGCTGTTTAAAATATTTTTGCAACTTTCTAGCAGCGAAAGTTACGAAAAATTTCATAAAAACACATTATTTATTATCGAAAGGAAGGTTATAGACGGAAAAACCAGAATGAGTTCCCCTCTCTCCGCTAGCCCATCCTCCCCCCCCACCCCCCACCCGATAACAGTCGAGTACCCGCTTCGCTTGTGCAGTTTTTTTGCTGGTTTCGAATCGGCTTTCCAAATTCTTTCAGAAGATTTTTAGCGCGACTTTTGAAACTGGTTTTATCGGCAAATTAAAAAAACGGAATCCGCGCAAAACTATGAAAATAATATTACCGTAATCGGCCGGCAAGCGACAAAAACCAATGTAACGAAGCTAAATCCGGCAGCCCAGATAAAGTAAAAAAAACAGCCTAACAATCCCCCACCAGCCTGCACCCACCATTAAACAAACCGATGTCGAAATGGCTGGGGACGCACGTAACCTAGTTTAGCGTAGCAGCCAACTAGAGACGCCCAAAAAAAACGCATTTATCCAGACTTGGACTGGTTCCAAAAAAAGAAGAAACGCCAAAAAGATATGGTGGTGTGGCGAAGGGAATGAAGTGAGCAAGAAGGAAGGAGCCGGAGAAAAGACTAGTCGAGCCCCATCATTGGGCTATGATTCCGAAGAAGAAGCCGAGGGGGGATCCGAGCCAATGGACGTCCCTTGGGGGTATGCAGGCCTATGGGAGAGACCCTTTCCAAATACCCCTCGCACCACCGATGACGAATACTCCAATATACGGGGGCAAAAGCTGGCCACCAGGCCCCAAAGGAACGCTTTTTGGGGGGAGCGAGACCTTTCAGGGGAAGGGCTTTTAAAGGGATGGCGCGGGGAGAAGTCCATTTTTATCTGGTGTTGCCAGATTGGGTACTGGACTGTTAGCGGGGGGGGTTTCACCGCGGGAATCTATTTTAGTTTTTATAAATATGCTTACCTGCTAGTAAAAAATTCTATATATCATATATGATTTCTATACGACTTTTTGATCGGTAAAATTGCCCAAAAAATTAAAACATGTAAACACATTTTTGAAAAGTCGAACATTTTGACCTTTTCTGGTCATTTTTCATGCATTTTTTGCCAAAAATTGTTGGATTTTGTCATAGGACCGTACCTGATTATTGGAAAAAATTGGTTTCGCCCCCCCCCCATTAAATCACACCTCCCCCGCCTAACAGTACAGTGCCAAAACGTAGAAATTTGCTGAATTTCGCACGTTCCTCGAAATGGAAGCGTTAGAAAATTACGCTCTCCCCCGTCAAGCAGTAATATCCAAACCCCGTTTGCAAGCCACAAGCCCCAGGCGCTTCCTGTTCCAGGAGAATGTCAAAAACAGAATCCCCGGATCGGATGGGCTCCGGATAGATGTCGGCCCGGGAAACGGCATTTACATGAATATGGCGGGGATGGGGGTGTCGGGCGTACGCTTGTTATCCTAGCTAAAGGAAGGGGCGCTATATAGAATTGATGGGCGTTCGGCAAATCGAGGGTGGAAAAAGGGGATTGATGAGGTGAAATGAGGGGACATCTACTAGATGAGGCCGCTCCAATCAAAATTGCGTAATTCTTAGCTTGAGTTTCACAAAAAGGGATAGCTAGCGTACACAAATCACTGAATCGACAAGGTTATGCAAATTATTGTAGTTGCAAAATTTTCATGCAGATTTTTTCGGGATAGTAACTCCTCGGAATAGAATTCATAATTTCAAACTTTAAATGACATAGCATGACGTTGGTTTCGTCATGTCGCCAAATCCCCCCGGCCGGTCTGTGGCCACGGGTAACCTAAGACCTTAAAAGCGGTGGGAATCGGAGGGCTTGGAAGGATGATTCACGACCCACTTCTCCTCCTACACTTCCACCCTGCCCCCCGTTTTGGTTAGATGAACCCGGCGGCGCCCTGCTGGAAAACCCTTCTCCCCACAATTACACCCCATCTATTACACCAACCCCCCTCGGAAGGAAGCGCGTTAGACACTGGGCAATGGCTCGTGGATTATGGCCTGCGAAATATATGCAAAACAAATGCTAAAAAAGCGAAGTAATACGCAAAAATCCAGACCCTATATATACGCCATCGCCCACGTCAAATTATCCCAAAATACAAGCATCAATCCCCCCAATTGGGCTATTGTAGCGGTGGGAAATCCGCCCTCAAAAAGTGCCCCGAGTCACCTACACAAACCTGAGAATCTGGCCGTGGAGGGCTGTAAATAACCACTTGACTTTTTGAACACGACGTCAGAAGCTATTACGTTGAAGTGTTGAGGAGGAAGGTATTCAGAAGCCGATGAGATCAAAGACGATTTACTCCGCTGGGCCGAAGTTCGATTCTTTCGCATTATCGGGGGGATCGACTTTTCCTTAGGATTCGATTTTCTAATACAAATAGTGAAAGTGTTTGGAAACGGTTTTTTACTATTCCTAAGCGTAAAAACTTGACAAATATTTACTAAAAAAAAGATTTTAAAATGGCCGATTTTGGCCAACAATTCGACTTTTGTGTCAGCTTTAGGTAGTTTTCTAGCTGAAATACGCTTATAATTTACTAAAAACATTACAAAATACTTCTTGTTATTTTACTAAACATTGCTGCTCGCCCCAAAAAGTTCGCCCCCCCCCGATAATGCAAAAGAACCCAACAATTCACCATATAGTAAACTAGATAACTGACAGAAAATTTCTCTAAATATTAACTGATATTCAACGACCGATGAGAAACAGATTTCCAGAATACTAAATTTACCCCGATCCTAGAACCTAGAAATTGGGGGGAAATCCAAGGTTTAGAGCATAAAGAAAGGGGGGTATAACTGGTGGCCGAAGGGATCCAATGTCCACCGTGGTCCTATCCTAAGAATGGGGGTAGGGCCCCAATTATCCGAAGCTCTATCCCCCCGTTAGGGCCCACCTGGAGCACTTACGGGGCCCGAGAGACAAGTGGCCGGAACAAGGCTTCCCCCTATAACCATCGTATTCGATTCCCCGCACAGCACCACCCAAAAAAAAATGCTGGGGATATTCTTATAAGGGGAGAACGATAAGGCTGGGGTTAAAGGGATGGGCAAGGCAGAAATTCCTATGGATTCCGCCCCTGAGCTAAATCCAAGGGTGTAGAGAAAGCGTGATCTAACCCTGGCGACTAATACCATTTGCACCCAACTACTCGAAAATTAAAAATTCCAGCGTGAACTGCTTGCTGGACGTCTGCATTCGGGGGCTGGAAAGCGTGGGTTACGTGGAATAATTTATCAACTTGACCTATTGAACCTACGAGGCTGCGGGGTCGATGGAGTATAATCTAGAACCGGAAAAAAAGAAGTAAATTCTCGGAGAGTTGTGTAGGAACCCTATGACACAAATAAATCATTTTCATAGCTTTTTACCCAATTTTCAGAGAGAAAAGGCTAATAACAACTGTAGCCTATAAAAGAAAATTAAACTATAAATTTTCCAAAATGTTTCTGCTTTTGTAACTTTTAGCGGTTAAAAACTATTAAAACTTTGTAAAAATACGCCATTGGTCATTGACATCGAGGCGTAGGCGGAGAAACAAGATTTGGTCTCCCCCTGCTAAGAGTCTAGTACCAAAGTATGCTAATTTACGCGTCTGTTTTCGAAATTTCAAAATCAGAATGTCCAAATTTCAGTTTTATTGAAGTTTATGGACATTTAGACATTATCATTAGAATATCATTTCATTATCATTTAGACATACGGTAAGAAATTTTGGATCCTATTTCCTATGCACATCTCGCTCACGCTTCCGTTTCCCCCAAGCGTCCCTTTGATTTTCAAACTTCAAACTAGCTACACGTAGGGTTGATTGAGCGATGATAAGACATTTTGATGGGTGATATTGATAAGTGCACACCCTGTTTCTTTTTTTTGTCTCCGACAACGCCGACCCATCGACCCATCCTAGTTTTCGCTTTTTTTGCTCTTGTGTGTCTGTTGGTCAGTTTACACTGTTATTCGGCCATGTATATAAAGATACAAGTGTTTCATTTTACTAATTGTTAAATTAATTTTTTATCTCCTTACTTTACACTAAAATATTTAATTGGAATGCTTTATTTAAAACGTGAAAAACCCTTCAGATGTCTTGCCGATTCCCAAAAATCCTGCTCTCAAGCGGCCACAAAATGCCCCAAATCGGGCTTGGCACCTGGCTGGCCAAACCTGGTGAAGTTGCAAATGCTGTCGAACAAGCCCTCAAAGTCTGTACATTAAAACTTTTTAAAATCCAGTAGTAGATCGGCTACCGCCACATAGACTGTGCGGTTTCGTACGAAAATCAACACGAAATCGGGCCCGTCTTCAAAAAGGCACTCGAGGCCGGACAGCTAACCCGGGAAGAGCTTTTCGTAACCAGTAAGGTGATCTCTAAATTGCTTCATTCAAATTATCGTAGGTCTGGAACACTCGTCATTCGTACAACAAGGCCAAGCAGTGTGTCGGTGATATTTTGCGAGAATTACAGCTGGACTATCTCGATTTATGCCTCATTCATTGGCCCGTTGGATATTTCGAGGATACGGATGAGGTACGTTAAGGTATCTGCACGATGCAATGGCTACACTCTTAAGGTTTGGCCTAAAGATGCCAATGGAAAAATGCGATATTCGGATGTGCACTTCACAGAGACTTGGCGGGCCATGGAGGACCTGGTTGATGAAGGACGAGTTCGTTCGATTGGTCTCTCCAACTTCAATCACCATCAAATCGACGAAGTACTGACGGTTGCTCGTATCAAGCCGGCTGTTTTGCAGGTACGGAGAAGAGTTTTCATCGTTTTGGGCGGGGGCGGGGCCCGGATTTCGACCGCAAGACGCTCCAAATGTCTCAGGAAAATCTAAGCTATACCCAAGCCTAAGCTTGGCTTTATACAAACGAAACCCAGCCTTAGCTTGAGCCAACTTCGCTTAGCTCTAAGCTAAGCCCTAAAGTACCCCTTTTGACGTCGTAAAGAATTTACAGCTTAATCAAGCCAAGCTTATGCTTAATGAAGTTGGGGCTCCGTCTAAGCGTACCTAAAACTAACTTATGCATAGGCTTCAGTAAAAAACCAAGTAGCTTGGGCTTAATGAACAATATTTCAGGTGGAATTGCACCCTTATTTCCAACAAAGACGTCTCCGGGACTACTGCCAGACGAATGGAATTGCTGTGACAGCCTATAGTCCACTGGGCAACCCTGCAATGGCCTTTCGGAAACAGGGTGACCCGTCCATCCTCAGCGATCCAGTATTTTTGGGAATTGCCGCGGAAGTCGGGAAATCGCCTGCACAGGTGCGGAATAGCAAAACTCACGTAGTAATATAATATCTGGGTATTGCCAGAGCCCGTATCGTCGATTTTTGCAGTTTCGACACATTGGTTCCATAGAGAAACATTTTCTTAATACGAAGACGATATTTATTTTTGAAGAATCAGTCGGAAAACTCAAAATAATAGGCCTTGAAGGTGGGTAGATTTTGGTAAAAATTACCTTAAAATCGCTGTAACATTTTAATTATACCGATTTAGCAAAAATTAAAGCGAATTTGGACTAGGAAAAAATCTGCATAAAATAGACTAGGCCCCATTTTGAAATACGAGCTTATCCCTGGGTGTATGTCTTGTAAAGTGAAGTTTTAGGTTGCTCTCCGATGGGCCATCCAAGAGGGCATCATCATCATCCCAAAATCTGTGTCCGAAAAGCGGCTGAAAGAAAACATCGACATTTTCGACTTTGAGTTGAGTGGAAGCCAGATTGAGAAGATTCGGGGTGCAGACAGGAATTGGCGCATCCTCAACACCGTCGAACGCGATGGGGCACATCCGCTTTGGGGATTTGGGGCTGAATATTGAAGTTGATAAAAATAAAGTTGTGTTTTATTTATTGATTGAATTACGCCCGATCGAAGTCTTTTTCAAAACAATAATCTCATGCAAAAACACAGGAAAATTCATCCTACGCACTCCAAAGATCCCCCCTCACCTTTTTCCACCTTATCAGCCAGCCCAAAAATTCGCCCAGTGAAGCGAGAATTTTTTCCAAATCAAAGGGGCCATAAAATTCCCCGGCTTTCACCGGACAAGAAGAAGCTGGCTGCTGGATTTGGGGCTTGTCGGGAGCTGATTGGGACATGCCACGCAATGGATACACGGGGCTCGCTGATCAGCAGGCAGCTAGTCGCCCAGGTCCGGCAGCTTTTCGGAAAACTTTGCCAACAACTTGATTACTTATTTAATACGTATTTAGTTTTTTAGGTATGGGGAAGTCAGAGGCAAACAAAATGGGGTTATTCGGAGCCATCGGATACCTGACCTGTACGATTATTGGGTCCGGTATTTTTGTCTCGCCCAAAGGTAAGCGAGGCTTAACAAGGGAGTCATGAGGGGCTAAGCTGGCATTTCGAGCCGGGACCTAGTTTGTTTTGTCCAGAATTTTTTGCTGTTTACAGATAGGTTTTCAATTTTGGCTAAATAGCTCAATTTACAAAGTTATAGCCAGTTTAAAATATTGTTTTAGGCCTAGGAGGAGTCATCTGCCATGATGCTCGACTTTTTATTCTGATATTCCAATATGTTTCATCTAGTCTACCTGATAGACTCTTTTAGTCTGAATAGGATCGTATATTTCATAAATCCGTTACGGTCTCTAGACCGCCATTTCCGGGTGTCAGAAATATGCTATTTTTCACCATTTCCCTTATAAAAATCGGGATCCAGACCAAAAATTATTTTAAAATAGCGGGGACCTTTTTAAATAGGTCTATTTGAATGAAAATTAAAACGAAATCAGCAAAAAATTCTGCACAATTTAGGCTAGATCCCGCTTCAAAACACCACGTTATCCTTGAGTGGACACCAAATAAGTCTCAACCTAAATCGAGCCTTTCTATTGCGTGTATCATTACAGGAATCCTCGAAAATGCCGGCTCGGTGGGGCTGTCCCTAGCGGCCTGGGTTCTCTGCGCTGGCATCGCGCTTGTTATTGCAATGGTAATGCAGCTTCTCTTCAAATTACAACCTATATTTATTTTAAGGCCTACATCGAACTCGCAACCTCAATTCCGGAGTGCGGCTCCGACTTCTCGTACATCAACTATGTCGGCTGGACCCCTTTAGCATTCGCATTCCTTTGGCTGGCGAATATCATTGAAGGGTTTGTACTTTCCTGCTTTATCGAAGAAACATTGATTTTTCAGGTCGTGCAGCTGCGCAATAATGTTCATGACCTTTGGACAGTACATCGGTGAAGCCCTACGACCACTCAACGATGAAATGTCGGATGAGATGCGTTTCCGGCTACAGCAACTATTAGGCGTTGCCATTTGTTGTGCGTTTTGCTCGTCCAAAATACTTTTCAAAAAACTTTAACCTTTAAAAAGTAGAACACAGCAAATTGTTTTTGGTACTGGGCTATTAGCGGGGGTCCGCTTACCCCCCCCATAACAGCTCAGTACCCCGCTTTCAGTGGTGATGGCATGGGTGAATCTGTTCTCACTCAAGAAATGGGCGGCCAAAATCCAAATCGTGATGATGGGCATGAAACTGCTGGCACTGAGCATCATTATCGTCACGGGATTCTACTTTTTGATTGCTAAAGGTGGGGCTCTTCCGGTACATTTAGGATAACGTGGAGTTTAAGTAACGAGGGTACTCATTAATCCCAATGTCTTAATTTATATTGGAATTTCGCGAAATTTTGATATTTTTTAAACGGCCAATCGATAGAACGTAAAAAAATACATGAAAGGAATTATTTTCAGGACGAAAAATGTAATATAAGAATTTTATAGCATAAAACTAGGGGCACCACATTATTATATTGTTTATATCGATATTTTCAATATTTTGAAACTGCCATTCGAAAGAGGTTCGAAAAACACACTAAGAGCTTTTCTATAGACCGGAAAAAAGCTTGTTTAAACTATCTTATATAGAAAAACTTAGCCGAAGAGGAAAACTTATAACAATTTCAGGCAGAACCGAAAACTTTATCAACGGCGCCTTGTTCAATGGTTCCGCTTGGTCGGCGGGCAATATTTCGTTGGCCCTGTATTCGGGAGCATGGGCCTATTCTGGATATGATGCTCTCAATTATGGCACCGAAGAGATTGAACTGCAGAATTTTAGCTGGTAATTTACGAGTGTTACACTTGATCATATTTTCTGAAACTAGGATCCTGCCGCGAGCAGTATTTGGCGGGCTGCTACTAGCTACTGTCATTTATTTCCTCGCCAATGTTGCGTATTTCACGATTCTAAATCCGGCTCAGCTTTTGGCTTCGGAGGCTGTGGCTACGGCAAGAGATTTTGTAATTTAGGAAAGACTAGTATTACTTTTCAGACGTTCTCCGAAGAAACGCTGGGCGGCTTTAAATACGCGATGCCAGCTATTGTTGGTTTATTGATGATCGGTTCACTTAATTCAGACATTTTCCAATGGAGTCGGTACGTTTGTGTGGGCATTTAATAGATAGGATACTAGGATGACGATGGCAGGTGCACGTAAAAGTCTGATGCCGACGGCTCTCGCATTGTCAAACCCGGAAACAGATGCTCCTCGCGTTTCTGTGATGTTTCACGTAGGCTTTCTAAAATTTGTTCACATTCGTGTTGGCAGGTAGCCCTCTCAATCGCCTTCTCATTCGTCAAAGATATCGACTCTCTACTAGACTACGTTAATGTGGCTGGTATGGCAAGAGTGGTGAGCGGAAAATATTTAATATCATCTAAATTTAGGCTTGTTCAATGGGTGCACTCGTCTATATAAAATATCGAAAAGTTCCTGTGTCGAGTAGGGCCATAAAGGTGAATTAGAACCTTATTAGAAACCATTAACAAAACCGGTTTCAGTACCCAATATTCTTGCCTATCCTAGCATTCCTCATCGCGATAACACTGATTGTGGTTCCGTTCGTTCAAAAACTGGCGGTAAGTTTACCACAACCTAAACACAAATTAATTTGAAAGCTTTTCAGATCTCGGGCGCCTCATGCGGACTTTTGTTAACCTGCTTCTGCCTTTATTTCGTGTTAATCTATCCAAACTACCGACTGCCCATATTACAATGGCTGGACGGTTAGCACATAGCCGCTACCTCAAACAGCCTTTCCAGAAAAATCAACCATCATTTGCCAGCACGTCTTCCAGTGCGTCGTTGAGGAAGATGTGGATATTTTGAAAGAAGAATGAGCATGTAGAAGTCGTGTCCGTGATGATCTCTGCCTTCGGGTTTTAATAAACAGCCAATCATGACGTGAATGCAAGATATTGGCGCCCGCGAATAGAAATGAGCCACTTGAGAACTCGCCTAAGCCTATATTATTAAGCACTTTCCATAATTCTCACCGATTTCGACGATTTCATCCCCGTAATCACGATATATATCTTCGCCGCGCCTTTCCTCGGCTAGCAGAAAATAGATTCACTGAAAACGACTATTAACGTCGAAAATGAAAAGAAAACGGATCGTGCTACTTCCTAAAATGGACTGCCTAATCGTAATTTAACCTACACGTCTTATAATACCTAGAATCAATAACGACTCATCAAATGGCACCTTTATAAACTCCGTTTGTTTGCAACCAATCTTCCGGAAAAGCCGATTCTACCAAAAATATACGGGATACCCCAAATTCACAAGGACGCTATAACATTCAGCTTGATTACAGGCGAATATAGGAGCACAATAAAACCTATTCCCATTCACCGCGTCGCCGCGCCTCGCCATTAGCAAACGCAAAAACAGAGGCAACTCGCGTTTGGATGCCGTTTCATGTAGGGGTTTGCTGCCTAGTAGAGAGCCGACTCCATTGCTAACCGCGGACGTCTTTTCTTATTGCATTTGGCCCTCTCCATCTGCGCTTACTGCCTGAATGAGCGCCTGAAGTCAATGTCGCTGGCATGGCGCGGGTCGTTGGCCGGAACTTCATGTCGCATCATCATCATGCATCGATATTAAACATCGAAATATATCGAAACGAATAGGGCTATAAAGGTGGCTATTACCGGTCAAATGGGGCTAGCAATCAAAAGGCATTGTTTCGGTACCCTGGATAGCCTAGCTTTTCGCATTTATATAACCCTGAACGTAAATCGTGGCGTTCCGCCGAAAACACGCGAAGCCCACAACGCTGATTCAGCCGCGATACAGTCAATCCAAAATGGAGCTACGAGGGCAAGTTTGCCCCAAGCCGTTGGCGCAGTCCCAGTTTTTCAAAAGAAACTGTTTCGACAAAGTAGTCGCAAGTAAATCAAGCAAAAATTTATTGGCGAAAATTTTAACCAGCAAATCAACAAATTAGATAGGATGTTAATCCATTGGTTCAGCGGTCCGTGCTCTCTCACCAGCTTGCAGTTCACACCATCAGATTGGAGTCGTCCATCGTCCCTCATTTTTTCGTAATCCTCCTTGCCCCGACGGCGATGAACTGGCGGCCAGGGGAACTTGAACTTGGCACGGCGGAAGGATTCGATGGCGTAGTTGACATTCTAAACAGAAATAAAACGTCAGAAAAGAAGCGTACGTTTTCCTTCACACGGATGGAGAAGAGGAAGTCACCGATGTCGACTCGGGCTACCAGTCCCTGCGGCTTTCCGTACGCTCCACGCATTCCCGTTTGAAGCCTATCAGCTCCGGCACACGAAAGCATTTTGTTGATGCGTAAGACGTGGAAGGGGTGCTTGCGGCATGGCAACCATCCTTTCCGCAGTTCTTGACCATGTACTAAAAGAAAAATATAGGATACAAATCAATTAAAATATATCTAAACCTTAAAATTACCCACCTTGTTAGCGCAAATGCGAGCGGCCTCCAGAGCTTCTGAGGAAAGATGCGCCCGTTCATTCGAAATCATGTGGACACATGCTGGGAATTCGTCGACATTCGCCCTCTTCTTGCCAAGGTCGAAGATGCGGATCTTCGGTTCTTGATGTACCGGTAGCAGCGCGCTGGACGCATACCCATCTGAAAATGTAAAAATAAGGTGGCAATGGTGCAATATACTTGAGAGTAATGAGAAAAATTTGTTTTATTTTTTTCGTCCTAATCACGCGAAGCGCGGTATTAGAAATATACGTCGGAACCGGGCGCGGAAGCGCCGGAAGTGGCTTGACTATTGGCAATATCAGACCGCGGGCTGGAGCTGGGTTGAGAAAAGCTCCGAACCCGCGTTGAAAGGCGGGATAAGAAGGGAATCGGCTGCAGGCAGCCCGCGGGTTTAGCTTTCCTGAGGATGCGAACGTTTACGCGTGAAAATGTTCAATCCTCCATGTTCAGGCGTGGAAAGGAACGACGCGTTGCCGCCAAAAAAAATGAACCATTTGAAAAATGAAACTGGAGTAATAATAAGACTTTTCTAATTGCCTTTGCTGGGTTTTTCCTTATGATTTCAAACATTTCTCTCAATCATACACTATTTGATCAAATTATACTTTCCAGCCGTCCGACATGGCGCTAAATGAAAAACTCAAAGAAATGTGAGTTTTTTAATATCTGTGTAAGTTTCACTGTTTAGCGGGTCGTCGATTTACCTCGTCTACCGACGTGGGACCACGGCGACGGCTCGGGACTTCGAGATGCGGGATCTTATCGCTAATTGGATTGAAGAAAAAGTGAGTGACATTTTCGATACGTCAATTGCTTTAGAAAAGAGAAGATGCCGTGGCTGATGTGCACGATGCGGCTGATGTGCCCCCGGCTGCTCCTTTGCAGCCGCGCCGAAGCGCGCGACTCGCCGCCCTCCAGGTATGCAAAGGTTTTCACGTATAATTTTTTGTAGGCCCCTGCTGCGGCTCTATCACCAAAGCGCTCGCCAAAGGTATGAAAAGTTGTTGTCGAACCTAATTTTTTTTTAGTTGAAAAAGAAGGCGGATGCTAGGCCGCTCCGCCGCCGGAAGAGTGTGCTACGCATGGTATGAAAAGCCTTGTCCAATATAACTTTTGTTTACAGAAGAAGAACGAGCAGAACCCGGCCGCCGACGAGGACGTGGAGCAGGTGTGAAAAGTTTTGTTGCATCTGAAAAATGTTTTATAGAAGAACGATGACGACCAGAATAACGCGCTGCTCCCCCACCACCACCACGAGCAGGTGTGAAAAGTTTTGTTGCACCTGAAAAAAATTTTTATAGGTCGTCGACAAACAAGCCGATGACGACATCCACGACGCCCACGAGGGCCAACTCGACGACGACGACGCGTAAGTTTTTCATTACACGGGGGTGATCGCCGTGAGACTTCATGTTATACGGCCATTTTTTAGGAACCCGCCGCCGGCTCCCGGAAGGCTCCCGCCGCTGAACTTTGGGCTCCACCCGATCGACGAGGAGGAGGAGGACGACGACGATCTTCCGGGCCCAAGCTGGATGTAAAATTTTTTTTGCAAGTCGTTACATAGTTTTTCGCTGTAATGATATTTCTCGACCGAACTAAACTTTCCTCTTTCTTTTATTTCGACATATTTCCCGTCTATAGTTTGTCGATTCGCGTTTTAACGTTTTGCTAGAATTTAATCAAGATTTTAAAAAACCCTGAATTCACTCCATTAGATCGCGCAGTATAGTTCCTTCTGTTAATAAATGTCCAACAAGCGGTTGTAAGTACGGCGTTCAACAACTTTGCAGGATGTTTTTATTCTACGGCCGAAAAGCGCTAACAAGACAGTCATCCCAAAAAAAAGAGGCGGCGTGGCGCTAACCAAAAGATTGAGGTGGTGACGAGGAGAGTTTGCAAATTCTGCGTAGAAGTCGGTATTTCACACGTTTTGGCCAATCATTCTCCGTACCGCTACAATGCTTTATAAGCGGAAATCAACAAAAGGAGCTTACAAGGAAGGAAGCCTAGTAATAGCGAAATAAGTTAGTTTTTCGGAAACTTGATCGCCGTCTCTGGGCCATCGCCGGCGACGACAACGACAAAAAGTGCGGGCTGGACGACAAAATCAATAAAGCGGGTTAATTCTTGGCATTTTTTGTATCTGTTTTTGCTGTAACGGATCCCAGGCTCACACGTGTACGGCTACGCGATGCTCCTAATGGCGGGAATCTGAAAATAAGAAGGTAATGTTTATGATCCTCCAAGAATTTAACACGTCATCTGATTCACAAGCGTTTATCGAAGACTTTAGGGATTAGCCAAGGCATTTGGACATTATGGTAGTATCGGGAGTATATAGATGAACAAGTTTCAACGGTACGTTGTGGTATCATGCTGGTAGTTGTTTTTAAAGACTTTTAGAGACAGGGCTTATCGAGAACCATTTCGTTTTTAGCGGTGACTTCACTAAATCTTTCAAATACTTACAAAAGGACCACTCATATGCGGAAAGAAGGACATAATTGCAAAAGCGAAAAAAGGCATCACATTGGAAAGTGGATTTTGAGCTTGGGATTGGTTTTCCAAGTGTTTCTGGAAAGCCGCCTGCGTCCGTATGGAATATTTTTTGATCCAATCCCAAGTAAAAATCCATACGGAAAGCCATTCAAGATAGACGATAGAAGTCAAGCAAATACACAGGGGTTATTGACATCTCAAACCTCATTGAAGTGGCTGATGACTTGCTGCAGTCCCAGCTCTACCTTACTCCGCTCCCGGATTTCGAATTTTTTTACCTGAATTTGTCCTCTAGAAAAATTAGATTTTTATAAACCTTTCCGGTAACTGTCAATGGGAAGTCCTTTTCGGTTTTGAAAAGGATGTAGCGTGGCACTTTGAAATGAGCAATCTAAATGGATAAGTTAGGATAACGCTTTCGTTTCAAATGATTACTTTGCCCTTGCAGTAATCCTTTAGCTCCTGCTCAGTGACCCGTCCAACGGCTGATTCGTGCAACCGGATCCAGGCACAAACCACCTCACCGTATCGCTCGTCCGGCACGCCGACGATCTACAACGATAAGCATCAAGTCACCGAAACCGAGCGGCACTTACATGGACATCCTCAACTTTTGGATGCTTGAACAGGAACTGCTCGACCTCGGTGGGGTAGATGTTTTCACCTAGGATTTGAGAGATTTTCGACTGTGAGAAGGTATTTAAAAAGCCGCGTTTGGAGCATTTTGTAGTCAAAATCCTGACTTCCCCCAGTGCATTCGTGTCCTTACTTCTCGTAATGTTTTGAGTAGTTTTTCTTACCCAAAAAAATATAAAAACGGTTCCGAAAAGTTGAAAAATGTAGGATTTGAATTTTTACAAACGTTGTAAGCAATTCTATGGATTTTTATACCTAAACTATCAATTTTGTTTGCCTAGAATAGTGTAAAGCGACATATTTGGTGAGTATTTGAAGTGCAGAGCCATTCGTGTTTTTCTGGTAAATTTACCTCCTCGGACGATCATGTCTTTGCTGCGGCCAACGATTGACACCGTTCCGTCATCGTGCATCACGCCGATATCGCTAAAAAAGACAATAAGGGATTCGAGAAATACAGAACGTGCATCAAGAAAAAAGAGCCTACCCAGTATGATACCACCGGTCAGCCGTAATTTCTTGACGACTCTTTTCCTCGTCATTCCAGTATGAGCGCATCACCTTGATTTGTAGGAGCATATAACAATTAGCTCAAACTTACCGAATACCCACGGACGATCACCTCACCCTTGTCGCCACGACCAACGATTTGGCCTTGCTTGTCGACGAGGGCACTCTGAACATGGAAAACGTTTTAATTATTAAAAACTAGTTTTGATTAATCATTTTGTCGGAAAAAAGTTTTATCGATCGATTTTCGAAATTCGTTTTGTCCAAATATATAGTGTCGAAATAACAATTTGTCGAAATATTATGTTATCGAAAACCATTCTCTCGAAAATCAATTTTTCGAAATTCATTGTGTCGAAGTATAGTTTGTCGCTATTTCAATTTGTCGAAATTTCAGTGCCTTTTTCGATTCGATTATCCATCTCAAGCATTTCGCAAATTGAAACCTCAGCCTGAGGGAATTTCGGCAAAATGACATTTCGACAAAATTATGGCAAAAAAGGGATAGCAAATCCCAAGCAGTCTCACCTCGAGATGGTCCATAACATGTCCAACAGACCGGATTCGGCGCTCGGGCGGATCTTCGCGAATCGACATGAAGGAGACGGGGGAAGTTTCCGTCGTTCCGTAGCACACCTATGCACAGTTAATGGTTTTGGCTTTCCAATACCTTTTTAATCAATTTTTTAATCAATTCTCTGATTGAATTACCTGCATATCGACCATGTTCATATCGGTGACAAGCCGTTGGCACAACGTGATTGGGCACGGCGCTCCTGCGATAAAGCCTAACACAGTGTCAATAAGGAATTCAATTAACAGTCCTCACCCGAACGAATAGTGGAGTAGTCGTATTTGTTGTAATCCGGATGGTTAAGCATATCGATGAACATGGTGGGAGTGCCGTAGAGGGCCGTGCATCTGATGGTCTCACTTAATTCCTACAACTGACAAGACTTACCCCTCCTCATGTACGGCCTGCAGTGCTGCCAAGGCTTCGAAGGATGGTGCTGGGAAGACGCAGGTCTGTAGTATAACGTTTAAAGTGCTCTGCAAAGCTACCTGCGTGTGCACCAGCGCTGCTAGCACGCCCATCACACATCCGAAGCAGTGGTACAGCGGGTTCGGGATACAGATGATGGTGCGCTAAATTTACGGTAAATGTTGCTTCACGGGGGTGATGCCCACGGAGGACAAATTTTGTATTTTCATACAATATCTTATCGGTTTGAAAACGCCATCGGGTAGGCTTAGGCTTAGTTTAAATTTAGGCTTGGCTTAAGCTTACATGGTTCTTTACTTAGCTTAGGTTTAACTTAGGCATAGCTTACAAGCTTGTTAGGCAGAGATTAGGCTTAGCATAGGCTTAGCTAAAGTTTGGCGAGGTGAGGCTGAGGCTCAGCTTAGCTTTAGGCTTGGCTTAAGCTTGGACATGGTCTTGACTTAACTCAGGCTTGGCTTAGACTTAGCTTAGGCTTGGCCTGGGCTTAGCTTAGGCTTAGCTTAGGCTTCGGGGTCAACTTAGGCGGTAGCAGCCGGGTTTTTTTTATGCTCCGTCCAATCAAATGATGTGGTGCTCAAAAACCCGACAAGAAAAGTGGAATATGCCGAAAATGGTCACATCCGTCGAAGTACGATTTCAAACCTTCTCATGATAGCCAGCCCGTCTTCCCACAAAATAAGCATTGTTGAGTACGTTGTGATGGGTAAGGGTGGCTCCTTTTGGCTGTCCGGTGGTGCCCTAAATGCCGTCACAATAACTCGTTGTACAAAACGTACACTGGTGTACTGAATGTTCACTGGATCATCGGGGCGATTCTCCTTCTCCATCCGGCGCAGCTTGATGTAATCCTCTTCTTTTCCAAGGTTCATAATGTCTGTGTATCGCCAAGCGCCCCTGAAAATGAACAAGCTCAAGGGTTTTGTAAAGTTTAAGGGTTACTAAATGAACTACTGAACTTACTGATAAGCTTTATCCTCGCGATCGAAGATGATTAAGTGGCGGAATTCCGGGAAAGCATGTGTAGAGAGCGAAGAGCGGCCCTCAGCCTTTGTCACCACTTCAGGGATGATGTCCTAAAGCCAATTGTTAAAGGGTTCGGCAGGGTTCCACCTTGACGCTCTGGTAGTAGTTACTCTTTTTGAAGCCCGGGGCCATGATCAGGGCCTTGATGCCGACTTTTTCGATGGCAAACCGAAGTTCTTCGGATTGATAGGAAGGGTTGATATTGACCTATAATTCAATAGTTTTTTGATCTGTTAAAGGTCTAGGTTATGGGGTAGCTTATAGATATGCCCCTATATAGCATTACATGTCCCGGATAACCAATTTTTTTGTTGCTACCCCTTTAACCCACCAAAATATAGCCAGCAATGGCTGCTGCAAACATGGCGACCACCCATTCTGGGGTATTCGGGCCCCAGATTCCCACCCGGTCACCGCGTTCGATCCCTAGATGAACGAGGCCGGCAGCCAACTTCTCCGCCTGAAAATTTGCTGTACTTTACGTATTGTCGACGTACCTCGACCAACAACTGTGAATACGTCATCCTGACGTTGTCGCGCTTGAAGATTACAAATTCGCGGTCGGGCACCTGAATTCGGTGATTGGGCCAAATTGACTTCCGGCCTACCAACTCGACGGCCACCCGTAGTCGCTCGGAAATTGTGTCGAATAGTAAAGGTAAGCTAAATTTTACTGAATTTTCCAATGCGTTGCTTCGCTTACTCAGAAACCCCGTGGACGTAGCTTTTCATGTGGCCGCTGATGGTGATGCCGGCCATTCCCTCGGGGAGTGTTTCCGCTTAAAAATAAGATTTTTAATGGTCAATAATTATTGATATTACCGCCATTGTCACGACGGGCCGCTTTCGTTTTCATTTTGAACGGGTGGGGGGAAAGCCTAATTTTGGAGGATTTTTTAGAAGGGTAAGGCGGGAATGAAGGACATTGAACGAGTATGGTAGAAGTCAGGAGTATAGGGGATGTAAGTTCTTGAGGAATCATTATTAGCTTCCTCAGTTAGTCTTAAAAATACCTTAAGAGTTTCGAATTCTGCTAAAACCAGGCTGTCTGGTTTCTCCTTCTTTTCGAGCTTTTCGGGGTTCTTTTGCAGCATCGGGGGGACGACTTTTTCTTAGGAAGAAACTTTTAAACATAAATCGTAGAGCTGTGTTTAAACGGTTTTTTACTATTCATAAAGATAAAAAAAATCACAAAGTTCATTAAAAAATATCAAAGATATCGATATTGCGACCAAAAATAGGGCTTTTTTGCCAAGATTTCGAATTTTTCAGAGTTTTTATACAACTTTTCTAATTCATTATGATTATATTTTACTGAACAGACTTATGAGTAAATTACTAAACATTTCTAGACCCATGCAAAAAAGTTTGGTCCCCCCGATAATGCGCAAGAACGAACAATCAGACTCCCCATGAATTTTATTCTTCTGAATTTTATGCGACACGTGAAATTTCAAAGTTCAGCCTTAATCAAAGCTCTAAGTTGTGTGTCTTGTCTCCAATCCATCTGCCCCGATCGTGTTGCAACATTTTGATTGGATTCAAGCGCCCCTGTTTCCGTTTGTTGCCGAAGATCTATTAGTCAGGGGGCATCCCCAGAAGTCAAGGCCATCCCTAACCCCCCTAGATGGACCGAATGAAGCACAAATCTTTGCCACGGATCTGGCCCCCGTGAACCGCGACAACAAACTTCTCTTCATTTGTTTTTCACGGCCCGGCGCCCATCGTTGATACACCAACACAAATATTGATAAACAACGCTGGATATTGCGGGGGGAATAAGGGCAAAAATTGGGTATAAAATAACGAGAGTGGAGTTTAGGACGGAGGTCCGGATATTTTTATTTTACTTAATTTTCAGCTCATCGGGTTTTTATTTACAAAAATTCAAAAAATTCAAGTGAAGCCATTCAAAAAAATTTTCAAAATTTGTTTAACCACTTACCTGAAAAATTTAACAAATGAATCTCTTAAGAAATTTTAATGAGCTAAAAATACAGAAATAAAATTTTGGCAGAGGGAATTTCTTAAGATCAAATATCCCGGCAAAAACAGATGTCGAAATCCTCTCAAAATTACAGTAATCAAGACTACGGTAGATGCCTTACTACCTACAAGACTTTAAAGGAACAATCAACCCTCCAGAATACCCCCCGCAAACAACACAACTGCTTCTTTGATCCCTGCCGAGGATCGCCTGATCAAAATGGCTTACACAGCCCCTCCAGCCCTCCGGAAATCGGGTGATAATGGCCCTCGAATTACGAATAGCCAGCCCCCCACCGGCTGATAGCAAAAAATGACTGGGCAGATACGATAGCCCAGCCGAGGGGGTACTTTGAATTTTGTGTGCGGGTAGTCTAGCAGGGAAAGAAAAAGAGGAGAATAAATTATACATAAAGCATGATCAGGGATGCTTGAGAACCACGACACGCAACGCCTTTAGCAGGCAAACGGCATGCGTTGCGTATCGCGGGCATTTCAGAATCTGTAGAAAATCGGAAATTCGAAAATTGACGAGGTTCTTACTCTATAGAACTTTATAAATTAATATTTTTCGTATTTAAAGCGTTTTAAGCTAGAAAGTATGCTTGGGAAAAGTAGTTTACTAATTACGGTATGGTATTAAATCGTCTAGCTTAAGATATAGTTATAAATGCCACAGAATTCGTGTGGTACAAAGAGCCCTCTTTTAAGATAGCCTAAAATTTACGAAAATCTAGTAAAAATCAATTCATTTTTAGTTTTCGTATTTATCGTGACAAGCTCTAGTTTTAAAATTATTAAAGAAAATGGTACGAGTTACAGCGTTAATTTGAAAATTTGTTAATAAAAAGAGAATCTACAAAAATCCAAATTCCATCGCCACCCTCTCTTCCCAGTCCCTGTAAACGCCCACCAAAAGCGGAAGAAACCAACCAACCCCCTCCCCAAACATCCAAGTTCACCGCACAAAACTGGGCAGTCAAGAGGGAAGGGAAAGGAGGCCGGCCGGTCGGGAAGAGGAGGAGGAGGATGAGGGTGAAATCGTGTGTGGGACCCGGGGTTCGGCCAGTTCGGCCAAGTTCCATTGCAGCCCTTCCACCGCCCGCGGAGATCATTATCGAGAAGCGCGGGGGCAAAAATGGAGTCTCCTTGATTTCACCCCAGCATCCCCCTCAACGGCCTGTCTTTTCCCCGGTTCGACGCACAGTCCACCGGGCGCCAAAATATTTTCGCCGAATCCGGGGGGAAGGGGTCCAGCGAAACGAGGGCCAAAAATCTACGGTGGAGGTTGATGGTAAAAAAATGGACTCATGGGTGAGGAGGAGGAGGAGGGAGGGATGGTTTCGAAATTCAGTCCCGTGAGGTTTAAAAGGACATGAAGGTTTTGCAGCACGTCATTTGGAGTGTATGGTGGGCTAGAGGGTACGGTGGGGTTGGCTTTGAAATTCTTGCGGTAAGAACGGGTAGTCAATTTTGGGTATTTCAATACAAGGGAATACGACTACGTCATTTGTATCGTTGTGTAGGGAAAGAGAGTACGGTAGCATTTAATGTAGATTCGGTACAGTAGGAATAGCGAAGACTACATCATTTGTATCCTCGCGTTGCCTAAGATAATAGTAATCCACCGAGCAAGAGAAATTGGATCTTAAAGGGGCCTGTAAGTCAAGATACCGTATCTTTTGACTTTACTAGGATCAATTGTTCTCCATAAAAACCCTGCAAAAAGTTCTTATAGACACTTAAATATGTATCAAAAACAAGATCATCCACAAAAATCCATTTTTAATATTTTATAGAAGCCAGGATGTGAAATCGTGTTATTCAAGTTTTTTTTATTTATGGATCATGAATGTTCTGAATTTCAAAACACCTGAAAAAATTCTAGACGCTGAAATATGCACAAAATAGAATAGCATCTCCCAAATCTCCAATTTTTAACCCCTTAAAGATACCGTATTTCTAGTTATTTTTGGATTTAACGAAAGCTCGCGTCAACTTCAAAAGTGGAAAATTCGGATCATCTAAATATACGCAAAAAAAAACAAAGCAATCATCAAAATATTCCAAAAAAAATCCGGGGTAAACATTAAATTTCGAAAATACCACTAAAATCAAAAAATTTGACAATTTGTATGTGTGTGGGCGGGGGAAGGGGTGGAAGGTCGGGGGGCAGGAGTGAGAGAAAGTGAGAAATGGGCCGAGAGCCAAGTTGCACCCTGATGAGACTGGGGGTGGTGGGTTTCGCTCTTTAGCGCAGATATCGTCCGATCCGTCAGATCGTCAGGCCTTAGGTTCCGGCCATGATCACTCGCCTATCTCATATCCACAACAGATCTTCGGATTATAGGACGCTTATTTGCGGCGGGTGGGTTTAGCTGATAATGCACGAAAGGACGTTATGCTCCAAATTACGCCGGTATTAGAATTACGCGGTTTTAGTGGGCAATTTGAAAAGTTGGCATGCTGTTTTAACAATAGCTTTACGCCACTACCAATTATTATTTATCAAAACAAACCCATTTTACCTATAGACTATTTTTTTCGTTTTTTCCTAAACCGCAGCTCCCCCAGCCGGCCCGCCTACTGTAGCTCGGCTATCCGTTGTCGTACAGAGTTGTAACGTTTACCAAAATACTTCCCAGAGCAAGACGAGCATTTTGATATGCCTTACACAACCGTAGACAAACGGGGAGCCATGATAGCAAAGAATTTTCCTGGATACGGTAGTCTATTTACACTTTTCTCAAAAAGCAGAGACTTACTCAGAATTTAATCGCTACTTAATAAGTAAATTTATTAACCATTCCAACCCACCATTTCCGCGCATCCTCCTCCTCCCGAATAAACACGGAATATTCCCAAATAGAGACTTCATCCCCGGAAGCGCGCGTTTTAGAGCCCTAAATGACATCCCGCGCACACCCCTGTCCCAGAGCCCATTCAATTACACCAAATCCGAAACGGCCAGAACCCCTGGGATGGTTGACACAAATGATGGGGGATTTGAAACTTCAAAAAGCTAAACCAAAGAACATCGCCTGCAATTTTGGCGAAACGATTTTTTTCCTACCATTTTTCGAATCTTGTAGATGTTAAAAGGCTTTCCAATCCTCGGTAACAAGCTTTTAGCTAAAAATAAAAAATGAATTTGTGCAACGTTAACAAAATTTTGTCGAAATGAGGCTCAGCGACGTTATATTCAGCAATAACAAATTTGTCTGTATAAAATCTACTTCCACAAACGACCTAAACAAAAAAAAAACCGGAAAAAGCAAAGCAACTGGTTCGGATCTCGACGCCGACAAGACGGGACGGCTCGAGGGGGGTTGGCGAAAAAATTTAGGTTATCCCATTTTGCGATCTGTCGACCGAGCGGTTGCTCTCGATGAGGAGGAAGAGGAAGGGGAGGACGAGGAGGAGGAGGAGGAGGAGGAGGACCGATCGGGACGCTAGATGCACAACGTCTGTCTCGTCTTGACGAGCGTGGAACGATAGTGAATGTTTTAAAGGAATGTCGGCAGAATTTTCATCTGCACAAATTGAAAACAAGATTTGAAATTCAAGGTTAAATTGCAATAAAAAACGATTTCAAGGTGTCTAAAATCAAAAATCACTTGTATCAGAGTACGTTTTTGTACTCTGTACAAGTTTTAGGGGGAGAGGGACGGCTGAGGAATGAGGTGGATGGCGAAGGTGAATAGGGTCCGCTTGGAACCGGTATCTTTTCGCCCAATCTGCCCGCTACGAAAATGCCGACCGTTCGCCAGACGGAATTTTTAAATCTGTACAGTAATTTAAAGGAATTTCCTTGATGTCTTTTAAAAATCAAGATTTTTAAGCTCGAAAACCGGGATAAAATAAAGAGATTTAAATATGTATGAAAAGTCGGTATTTTTAAAGATCCTTTGCACGTCCCATATTTGGATGAATGTCAAGCTAAAAAACCTGAATAAAATTTTGCACCCAATGTCCCGGACATCCGTCAAAAATTCAGTGCTTAAAAGATGCGATTTCAAAAGGTTCAAAAATCCCCTATCCACCGCCACAACATAAACCACTTCTCGGAGGCATTTGGCGGAAATCGTTGAAGCCGAGGGGATAGATTGGATATAGAGACGGCCATTATTTACCGAACGCGTCTATACCACTACATTTTCACAAGACAACCGGTACGGAAAAACTACAAACTTCACAAAATTACAAAAATTTTGCAATCTGCCAAGATCTGAATATGTTGAAAACACCTTATAAACATTGCCCTCCCCAAAAACACTTTAAGGAAGTGGCTCCAATTTCCCATTTATTTGTGTGGGTGTGCTATGGAGGGGTGTGTTTTTTGTGCATCTGGGCCCCCCTCTTGGCCCATAAGAAGTCTTTGATTGTGGCCACTTTCCCATGGAACGCTCGACTCCTAGCCACACACACACACACATAGATATATCCATCCACATCCGGGATACTCTTTATTAACCCGTGAAAGTATCGTATCGTATCACAATAAATGATATAATTCATATTCGACGCGGGTCGATCAGGGAGTGATCGTCAATTTCCATATTGAGCATGTCGAACAGCTCGAGGAGGGCCCACATCTCGCCGCGTTCACGTTGGAGAAGCTGGAATGGGTTTTGGAGTGGGGTAGGCTAGCAGAGAAGATTGAGGAATTAGAAAAGTGCTGGGTTATTAGGGCGTCCAGGTATCATACGGCAAGACTGCAGATAGCCCCCTCTGCCTGTCTCGAATTGTGGAATCTCGGCTCCCTGTGGTACACAGGTGTGTGAAATATACCAAAATGTTCGTCTTGATCTGGGGAGTATTTTGGTGTACTTTACAAGCCTGTAGGTCAACGAGTAGCCGAGATACAGTAAGCGTGTCGGGGGATTCGCAGTTTAATTATTACTATACGACTTTAGAAAAAAGGCGAGAACATTTTAGTGAAGACGACCATAGATAAAAAGAACTTTAGCAAAGATCCTTTAAGTATTCTCACCTCATTATCCTGCACCAATTCCATTAACCGTATCATTCGCGGAGCATAGCAATGCGTTTCCACATTTACATAGTATGTATGCATTTCTTCCGCCAGCCCAGCTCGGAACCGTTCTGCTGCCAATTGTGCTTCTTCTGAGACGCTTAACCCTGCAAAAGACGATTACAAAAATTTTCTAAACCTCCTGCTAACACACCTTTAAAATTCCATAACGTCATCCCCAACAAAAATGCCAACTCAAAATTTGTCGTATCCATGTCGAACATCGGCCGTGCCAACGTCTCCAACAAGTTTATCGTTGATTTGACGAAATTGCTAAATTAATTAGAATCTTATGAAAATTACAGTAATTTCCTACTTTTGTATATAAGCCTGGGTGGAGACTTCTTTAGAAAATTGGCTCGTCTTTGCGGAAACGGCTTTCTTGCCAACAACTAGGATCTGAGAAAAGTTATAAGTTGCAAAATGGATGGATTTACATATTCATTCAAGGCCTCCTCTCCAAAAAGGTCGAGCGTATCGGAGACGCTTAATAATCGGTGAATGTTTCCCCAGGAATTTCGTAGTATTTTTATCTGAAAAACAATATCAAAATGAAATTATATGAAAATTAAAAAAGCAAAGGAATAAAATGATTATTTCATAAGTAGCTGGAAATGCTTACCTTGTCTTGAAAAGGAAGTCTGGTAAACTCGTCCATATATTGCATCCATCTGGCGACTTCGCAGAGGACACGCATCCAATAATTGCCAATTTCGTTAAAATCGATTGTTTCTTCAATCTAAATCAATAAAAAATTAATAGATTATCCATTAAAATTAACTCTATAAATTAGCAAAGATATTGAATTAGTAAAGGTACCTTCATTTTATGGTCAACCGGTGTTTTCAGAGCATATGTAGCCATCGTAAGTTGATGGATCCGGTTTAATCCGGTTTTTCCTTCAAGTGGGCGGAACTAAAATAATAACAAGGTTCTTTTTTTACGCTTTTATACCAGACTCCATTTTACACCACTTCCCGCCCTTACCTTCTTAAATATATCTTTCAACTGCTGTGCAGCCGGCTGTACAGTGATCCGAAATTTTTGTTCAGGTGTAGCTGATGAGGTGGACGGAGTATCGGCCTGGAATTTATTTTTTTATAGCAATTCCCAAAAAAGCTTACTTGCTCCAATTTGATCTCAGGACTTTGGGGCTCCTCTTTAATCCGTGGCATCTCCTCCATCCCCTTTGGGTAGACGACATCGAAAAATATTGAAATTCAGGCACTAAAACCTCTCCTTACTGTCAGGCGTCATGCCGGCGTGGACACATTTTTGAAATCGGCAATATCTACATAGGTATCGGGATTCTAAATTTGGTATCAATATAAAGTTAGCTCAAGACTAGCATACCTTTAGAAATCACACACTTTTTTGTATATCTTCTACAAGGGTAGTCCTTTTTTAAGACGACAGTTCTAAAAAAATAAATTTAGAGGGTTTAAAGGGATGGTGACATCATTTCTTAGGTTTCACGATCTCGTTAAAGTGGGTTTTGGTTACCTTCGGAAAAAAGCTGCACAGGCACGGCAGGAGACGACGCCAAAGTGGAGGCCATGCGCTTTTTGCTCGCAAATTGCACATTGTGACGTGTCGAGTTGCTAGGCAGATCGGGATTTTTGATTTTTTAGTACAAAAAATTACCACTGGGTCTGGCGGGGTTCCGGAAGGGCTGGGGCGAAAATCGGCTGGTTTTCCGAGCATAGAAATAAAGCTAAAACACGCCGTTTGTATATTTATTAAGGCTCAATAACGTCAAAAAGTTATTAAAGAGAATATTTTTACAGCTTAAACTTCAAATTTTGTAAAAAATGGTAAAATGGCAACTTTAGAAATCAAAAATCTTTAGTATCTAATTACACTTATTAACCACCGACATTAAATTATAAGAATTCATGTTCTCAGGTGGAATTAGGGAAGACAGCACAGCCCCAGCGGAGGGTTTAGAGAAAATGGCCGAGCGAGAGCGTGGAGAGGTAAAAGAAAACGAAAGGCACACACCACACACTCTCACGCACTTCAGCCTTTTTTCTGAAACGTTTTCTCTTGTGTCTCCCATTTCTGGCAACACACCGGGAGAATCGATAAACCGGGGGGCCACCCACCGGGAGGATGGAATCCAAAGCTTTTCCCTCTTCCCATGCGGCCAAACTCATTTGGTACAGGTGAGATGATGGGGTGGTAATTAGGGATGGAGTGGCCGCGGCAGATGGAGGGCGAATTAAAGGGCGTGGGAATCATGGCACTGTTAGATAGATATCTGATGACCGCATTCAAGGAAGATGTTTTTAGGGCAAGAGGTTACGGTAGTAGTAATGATAGAAAGAGGCAACGGACAGACGATTGCTAAAAATCAAGATAGGGTTGTATCTTCAGAATCTAAAAACAAATTAAGGGGCGCAAGAAGCAAGGGGGCGCTATATCGCTGGCTAGCGCATAATTGGCTACAGTATTTTTAGGTAGGAAAAAGGTTACGGTAGTTTTCGAAAGGTTAGAAAATTTTGAAATTTGTATAAGCAGAATACTAAATATCATGTAAAGCTCTCGGTTTTCAAGGCGTTAAAGATAGCATTTAGCTGCAAAAAGGTACGACAATGCCATAAATGCGATAAAAATAAAAACATGTATTATAATACCTTTAATATTAATGGAGTCAAAACGAAATGTTCCTCTTATCAAAAATGAGTGTCTAAATTTGAAGATCGAATTATCAGAAATTAAAGGAGCGTGTAAGCTTGAGAAAAAAAAATTTTTAAGTGCGTTAATTTTCATCTCGAAAATTCAAAAAACCTGTTGTTGCGCAAATGCATACTCTACAAAAATAAATGGTTTCTGCAAGACAGCAGTGAACGCGTATTAATGACAAGTGATATCATAAGGACATGCGTGTTCTGAAGCCATAGATATTTTAAAATTAGTTTTTGAAACCGGAAACAACGTCACAAATCAAAAATTCAGGTCCCACCATCACCTGGCCCAAAAGCAGACCCAAACCACAGACTCGTCGCTGAACTGTGGCTCCGGAGATTAAAAGACAAGGGCTCTGGTCGAGCAACAGTACAGAATTCCCCAGACACCACGCCCTGATTGCCCCATCCACTTAATGGCAGCTGTCCGCCAAGCCATATTAGTTGTTGCGCGCTAAAAACTAAAATTTGTTCCCTGGTCTTCAGGAAAAGAAAATCGATGTTTCGAACACCGAGCAACGGGATGAATTTTGGATTGGGATTTTAGTGCTTTGAAAAGCCTTGAAAACGTATGGAATTCGAAGGCGAGGATGTACCGGTAAGATTTTCAAAAACCACGTACTTAATCGAATTAAATAATTTATTAATTTCAACTTTATTCAAAAAAGTTCCAGGCAATCTGCTTATCCGCTGGCATTTGGATAAATTACGAAGAATTTGCCGTTTCCTGCCTATATTGTTTTTATTTTGGCTTTTTTAGCTATTCCCTCTTTGCTCAACGAAAGGCCTTCCACCCTTATTTCAGGTGAAATCTAAAATATTACATTAAAGAGCCTCTAAATTACAGTATCCTCTTCATCGGCACCGTTTATTTTAATTGGATTGTAGCGCTTGGCTCGTTGCTTGCATCGGCATTTTTCTTTCTTGATGTAAGGTGTTTCCTATTCTAGGTCTGTAGGATTTACTTTAGATTAAATTAACTAAAAGTTAAACTATTATAGTTAGTAGAAGCGTCAAATGTTACGGTGCTTATACTGTGGCCAATGTATTTTGGCGCCGTTCCTCTAAGCATTACATGCATCTTCGAACGATTATTAGCCACTATGTTCTATCAAAAATATGAGAAAATGCGTCCTTGGCCTTTATTGTTAATCCCCCTAGTCGCACTTGTATGTTATTTTCATTCTGAGCCATTTTTATTAAAAATCTAGATCGGCTTCATCTGCGTTTTTGCCGTCAAAGGATTTGGTGAGAATTATTTACATTTTTTCTAAAACTGATATTATTTAGAACTTACCGAGTTGCCGATTCCATTATTGACTCTGCCGGCATCTGTTTTATCGTTAATTGTAAGTCCAATTCATCATTTTAAATTTTTTAGGGCATAGCCATCGTTATCGTGCTAAATGTACGCTGGACATTATCCCATAAAAACACTCCAACCCAGCTCACCGCCAAATATCAATTGGCTGAAAATATAAAAAGTAAGCTGCAAGCTTACTTTTCTCAATTCTACCCCAATTTCAGCCTCAAAAATCGTGCTCCCCTACATATTCTTCGACACCCTATTGAAAATCGTCGACCTATCGTGTACCTATTTATTTTCCATCGATTTGGTGTACGTTCCGGAAAACTGTCAAAAACAGCCGGTCCTTTATAATACGGTATTTCTTGCCGTTTTGGTGGTGAGGATTTAAAGCTTTTATTGTATGATCTACGTATTTTTATTTCATATTATAATGCGTTAATTTTAGTTTCGACACATCCTCGTTTTTGCCATCCCAACCACGGCCGTCCTTTGGAGCTCGATCTTAAGAAAACGGCTCCGAGGTCTTGTCGTCACGTTATTCGGGGTGCGATCGCGGCGAATAGACACATTACTCCAGAAGCGAGAATTTCGGAATGCCATCGGGCAAAAGGTCACGCTCAGCGCATCTCAGGATCAGTATTTCAATCAATTGGCCGGATTATGGTGATTGGTTGCTGAAATAAAGCTTATTTTAAAGGTTGTTACTAATTAAGTTATATAAATAGTTATAAAAATCAGCATGAATACAAAATTTAAAAAATATAAAAAATGCTTTATAGATTTTTAAATTTTGTTACTTAAAAGAATTTTGGGGTTGGCGTCGATACGCAAGGCGTAGTACCTTTTACTAGACGCATAGCTCAACTTTACCGCGCTGCGCAGAGTGGGCGCGACAAAACTCTTCCCTTCTCCGCCCCTTTAATACACCGCCATCCCTTATTTACATCCAAACGAACACGACATGAACCTCACCAAACACACCACAAAAATAATATGACAAAATGGGCCCCCATCGGCCAGTTCAGGAGTCGCTTTTGAGAGAGGATTGGATTTCTTGGGGTACCGGCGTTTCCAAAGTTCCGTCATGCCCAAATACGGCCCCCCGGCGCAGCTGTTTTATGTAATACTCGCTTTGATTGCATTTCTGCGCCCTCATTGCCCCACCGGCACATGATTATTGCAAAATGGAAGTCTTTTGAAAAGCAGCTGTCGTTTGGAGTGGACTGTAGTCTGAATTTCCGGGCTATACAGTAATATAGAAAGTGTCAATTCCTAATATCAGAAAGACCAGGGCGCACTTTGGGTGCTTACCGAAGTGATGTTTGCTAAAAAAGTACTTCAATGTCCACCCTGGGACCACTTTCTATACTATTACTCTTTCCAATGTGCACCTTTATAGCCTTTCCACAATGTTCCAACTCCTATTTACATTATGTGTCGGCGAGATTTTAGCCGAATATACAAATTGGACGCGCCTGGACATTAATGGTAATTTTTAAACAAATTAAAATAACTTTTAAGCTAGTGAATTTTGATTTTAGAAACCGAACGCAACTACCTGGACGCGACGGCCGAGCTGTACAAGGAGCTTTTTGAGACTCGATTTTATCGAAGAGATCTATCGCCGGTATACTCGAAACAACCAGCGAATTTGACGCGTGCGTACCTACAGTAGTCCTTGAAAAATTACCATTTTTAGAGAGTAACTACACGCGTTTTAACGTCGAAATCGAGTTGGGGTATTTGAAGATTTTTGAGATGGTAATTATCATTAATTAGCTACAGATAAACTATAAAATTAGAACGCGCAGAGTCAAACCGTAACAGTGATGCTGGAATTTATTCAGGTAGGCTACAACCCACGGAGCCTACCTCAATTTTTACAGTTTTGGGTGGACGCGAGGCTTTCCTGGGTTCCGGAAGACTACGATGGTATCAGAACGATCTGGTTGGGCTACGACACGGTGTGGATTCCGGAATATTCCGTGCTAGACGTGTGAGTCGCCCTCAACACCGCAACGACTTTCAGGGGCATGCCATTTGAAGGGCATACCCGGGGGAAGGAATGTGTGTTAATAATAATTGTTAATAAGCCAAATAGCTTGGACTTTAGTGTTTTTATAGAAGATATAGTTTTGTATAAGCTATATTAATGGAATTTAGAAGCGCGATCAGCGAGGCTTGGCCGGATTATCGACGTCCGGTTCGGGTACAATCTTCGGGTCGTGTATTTTTGGATACACAACAAATTGTGACGATTGCCTGCCCAATGGATGTAAGCTGGATTTTTTATCAAAATTATTAAGATTTAAATCCTTAATGCTTTACATTTAATTTATATCATTATCCTAGATTTTTTACTTCAACAACCCTTTAAAACAGTTCAAATCTATGTAAAAAATCGAAAATTGATTCGAACAGCTTAAATTCCGAGCTAAAATTTCCCTTCCACGATCGTTTAAAACACCTATTTTCAGCTTGGCACCTTCCCATTTGATTCCCAAATGTGCCCAATCAATTTTGGCCTCCCCAGCTATTTTGTGAACCAGGTACCGTAGCCCTTTTACCATAATTTTCTATATTTTTCAGATCACAATGACCGGCGCTCTCTTCGACTTTGACTACAAAACGCTTTCGGTATAATGACAGAATTCAACCTTAAAATCCAGCGCTGATTTTTCTAGGGTATGGGCGAATGGGAGGTGCAAAATATCTCGATGGTGCAATTCCAAGTACCGAGTGAAATTGCGCCCACCGATCTGGTAATGGGGCATAATATACCAATATACCCTTTTAGTTACGCTTCGAGATCTTTGCTAAACGTGAACCACACTTTTACATCTATGTAATTGTGCTCCCTTCATTTATCCTAACATTTCTCTCGGTAATTGGAATGTTCTGGACGCCAAATACAAAAGATGAGCAGTTAACGAAGGTACGGTAGTGAATTACATACCGTAATCCATTACACTACCCCTAATTACAGTTAAGTATTGGCCTAACAAGTATGATGTCGATGACAATCTTTGTTCAAATGGTTTCCGAACAAATCCCACGTACATCAACATTTCCTCTGCTTGGTAGCCCTTATTTCCGGTATAATACTAAAGCCAATCACTCCAGGAATTTTTGTGATTGTTTGTGTGGCGATCATCTCCTTTGCCTGCGTCGTTCTCATCATGTTTTCTGCTAGACCACGAGAAAAAGAGCGTAAAGTGGAGCAGTAAGTTTTTAACCATTGTAAGAGGACTGACAAGGCTGAAAAATGGAAAAGTAACTTTAATTTTGCAGAATCTGGCCTCGACTTCGACGCTTCATCTGCTCCCAACATTTTGCCATTCTGCTCCTCTTCCAAATGGCCAATATCGCCAATTTTTGTGTGTTACTGTCGTATTGGAGATGAATTTGAATGTGGAATCCTGATCTCTGTATTTGGTGTGAAAATAAACAATTTAAAATTGTATTTGCGTTCTGTTTTGGAAGTCCAGGAAATCCGAGCTGCGCGCTGTTGTGATTAAGTTTCAGTCGATGGGTTGAAAGGTTAGCCAAACGAAGTACGTCGACAATCAATTTACACTCCTTATTTATTGCTATTTTAGCTGCATTTTAGATGCTAATACTACTATTTTTAATATCTTTTAAAGAGATCGCTACAGAATATACAAATTGGAGTCGCTTGGCCGTTAATGGTTAGCTGGGAATTTTGGTATTCATGAAGCTTGCAGAAACCCACGCCAAATATCTCGATGCGTCGAGTGACTTATTTACGGAATTGTTCGAAACGCGAAAGTACAGGAAAGAACTATCGCCAGTGTATTCCCAACAGCCCCGAAATTTTACATGTTTGTATTAAGCACTTATCTTTTTTTTAAATTCGACTTTAGTGACCAACTTCACTACATTCAATGTCGATATTCAGCTGGCGTTTTTGAAAGTATTTGAGCTAAATGCACAGAGCCAAACAATGGTGGTACTACTAGAATTTTTACAGGTAGTATTTACTTAAAGGATTTGTAAGTCGTGCTATCTTCAGTTTTGGACTGACCCCCGGCTTAGCTGGGTACAAGCCGACTTCAATGGTATCGAGCGATTCTGGCTGGCTTACGACCAGGTGTGGATCCCGGAGAACTCGATTCTGGAATGGTAATGACATCGAATTATCAATTCATTAATGTGAATTTGTGCAGCAGTTCGGTCAGCGAAGCTTGGCCGGATTATCGACGTCCGGTACGCGTACAATCGTCAGGCCGTGTATTTCTGGATACACAACAAATTGTGACGATAGCATGTCCAATGGATGTAAGTGAACCTTTTGGGTTATTTTTAGACCCTATAAAATCCGTTTTGTTAGCTTGGCACATTCCCATTTGACTCTCAGCTCTGCCCAATAAACTTCGGCCTCCCGAGCTACATGGTAAATCAGGTACCGTAAGCCTAACTGCCCATTTTCATCCTCCTTTAGGTGTCAATGACGGGAGAGCTGTTCGATTTTGACTACAAATCCACCTCGGTAATATTTTACTTCATAAAAATTTTTTGAAACCCATAATTTATAATAAATTAAGCTTAATTAAAAATTACACACTTGAATTAAGCTTAATATTAATCTAAATAACCTTACAAAGCGCATTTAGGGAATGGGAGAATGGTCGGTGACAAACATTACCATGATACAGTACCAAATTCCGAGCGAAATCTCCCCTATGGATGTTGTAAGCGCTTGTGTAGTACGGACCTTTCCAATGAACATTTACAGCTACGCTTCGAGATTCATCTGAAACGCGTGCCACACTTTTACATCTACGTAATTGTTCTCCCGTCGTTTATCCTAACATTTCTCTCGGTAATTGGAATGTTCTGGACTCCAAATGCAAAAGATGAGCAATTAACGAAGGTATTTTACTTATTTATATACCGTAATCCATCACACTACGCTCAAATTTTAGTTGAGTATTGGCTTAACAAGTATGATGTCGATGACAATCTTCGTCCAAATGGTTTCCGAACAAATCCCCCGCACATCAACATTTCCGCTACTCGGTAGCCCTCATTTCCGTTATAATACTAAAGCAAATCTCTTCAGGTATCTTTGTGATTGTTTGTGTGGCGATCATCTCCTTCTCCTGCGTCGTTCTCGTCATGTTTTCTGCAAGACCACCGCGACAAAAAGAGCGCAAAGCGGAACCGTAAGATTTTAGCCATTTTAAAGGGATTGATACGGGTTCAAAAGCGGAGTAATTGGCTTCAATATTGCAGAATCTGGCCTCGACTACGGGGCTTCATCTGCTCCCAACATTTCACCATTCTTCTCCTTTTCCAAATGGCCAATATCGCCAACTTTTGTGTGTTACTGTCGTATTGGAGATGAATTTTTACCTTATGGTGCGGAAATAAATTTTAAATCATTATTTATTATCATAAAAAGGCTGACTTATTAGCCACTAATGAGATCCAGTTTGCACCGATTTCGCCAATCCGTACCGCGAGGATTGGAGGTCGTGGACACCACAGTATTCACTAAATTCATTTTAAATGCATTTTATAAGCCGTGGGTTTTGCATGTTTACATACACTTAAAATACTGCTATTCTCTTACCGAATGAAGGGCGGTCCAAGCATCCACGACGGGTAGAAGCCACCACCGCTCAGCGGGAAGAAGGCGAATTGGCAGAGGCCGGGTCCGGCCTAAAATAGTAGGTGAATCATAAAGCTATGCTCAGCTCACCGCAATAACGTAATTCTTCGCGGTGATGTTATAGAGCTTTCCATTGATGGTCAACGTGATGGCGGGGGCCTCGGCGTCGCAATCAATGAAGTACGACTTGAAGAGGTCGTCGTAGCGGGCACCAACGCTGAAAAGAAAGGTAACTCCTCTTCCAAGCGTGGTCTTATATGGTTACGTAAAGAGTGATGACCTTAGAAGAGAAAAAGAAAGAGATAGAGAGAGAGTGAAAGAGCGAGAGAGATACATACAGACAGACGAAACAGAGACAGAGAGGGAGATGAGATACACAGAAACAGAGATCGCGCGAGACACTGAGAGGTAGATAGATAGATAGAGAGAGAGAGAGCGAGAGAGAGAGTTATTGAGAGCGATCAAGCGAGTGAGAGAGACTGGCAGAGAGATAGAAAGATACAGACCGCCGGTCACGATCATAGTCTCTACGTGATAACTGAAAAAAATACTTACACCTTGGCGAGCCCATCAATAACAGCCTGCGGGGCTCCAATGAAAGTGGAAGCCGTGTCAGAAATGGCTTGCCAACCTCCGTTCGGGGCCGCCGAGTAGCTGCCGGATTTCACCCTAAAAATACTCTCCGTATTATAAATTAGCCGGCACCTACCCATCGAGCTTGAACTGCCAGAAGGTCTGCGAGGTGAGGGGTACCCAATCGATGGTCGATGCACAGTTTGTTGAATCGTAATCCCCAATGGTCAGCTGGCCACCCTGGGTGATTTGGGGTCCAACGCCTTGGAGGGCAACGGTGAAGACGGGCTGGAAATGTATGAAATTTATAAGTCTTTCTTGTGCAGAATTTTGCACTGATTGCGAAGCTGGGTAAGAAATTGCGTAATGTCAATATATACGAGCAGCTACGTCTAAAAAATACGGTAGAACGCCAAAAATATGAAAAAGCACAACATTAAGCCTTTTAAAACCCTACCTTGTCCATCAGCTTCTGATTCCAGGCGTTGAACATCGGCGGGTTAAGGTTATTTACGGCAAGCGACGGCCATCCAAGTCCCAGCATACCGTCCATAGGCTGTGCGGCTGAAATGTGACTTTAAAAACAAAAATAAAAAGACTTAAATAAATTCAAAGTTTTCAAGAAAACGCTTGTTTTCCAAGGATATATCTAAAGGTATTTCTTGGCCTTGTATGGCCCTTAAATAGGTTTTACTTACCGAAATCCGATCCGATGGTGGTTGCCTGACCGAAACCTTGGCCAGTCACGCAGAAAGTGCTGTTTGTGAGCTAAATCGGAGCAATTAACAAAAAATAGAGGAGACGTACGCAGAATGTGTCGGTGGCCAGGTTTCCCTTGACCTCTCCGGTCTGATAGACGATATCGAAGGATTGGCCCAACGATTTGTAGGTCGACGAGAGGGTCGAGTTGAAGGTGCGCTTTGAGAGGCATGGGTTGCTACTAAAACCTCGATTTTCATACTTTCACTAGGATTTTTTATTGTTTATTTTATAGTGGAGAGAGAGAAAGGGAGAGAGCGCGAGAGAGTGAGCGACACCTAGACAGAGACATAGAGAGAGAGAGAGAGAGAGAGAAAGAGAGAGAGAATGAGAGAAAGAGAAAGGGAGAGAGTGCGAGAGAGCGAGAGCTAGCGAGAGAGTGGGCGAGACATAGAGAGAGATAGAGCGAGAGCGAGAGCGAGAGAGAGAGAGAGAGAGAGAGAGAGAGAGAGAGAGAGAGAGAGAGAGAGAGAGATTGAGGAGTTGCCCTGGCACACCATCTTCGAAATATTGCTAAAATTACTTTGCTCAGAGTTTCAGGATTTTAAAAAAGCTAGTGAGCGTGAGTGAGAGAGCCAGAGAGCGTTAGAGAAACAGAGATGGTGTGTAGGTCGGAACGCCGTGCAGAAGAGGTAGTTTCTGGTGTAATTAATAACGTACGCAAGTTGGAAGGGCGAATTGGCCTTCTGGGTGCAGCATTCAGGTCGGCAGAACGACAGACAGTTGTCATGAGAGGTCTGCTTGCAGTAGAGACCGCACGTTGGCTGGCCACCACCTCCGCACGTCGCATCCGGCACCCAGAGGGTCGATGAGCCGGAGTCGATGAACACCATGAATGTCTGACGGGGCGTACCCAGGTCGATGAAGTCTAAAAGAAATTTATATGAGATTTTGGGTATCCGAAATTATTGGCCATAAGCTACATACTCTACACTTACTGAAATAAGCCATGTCATCGAAATCCAAGATCGGCTGCCCGGCCGAAGCAAGCTTTGCCGACTTGGCTAGCCTGGCTTCCTTCCTGGCCAAATATTCAGGCAGCCGGCCCTCAGTCAAATACTGCTGCTTCAACGATGGCCGGTGTCTAGACACAATCACAAGTCAGAAAAGCGGAATAGGAATACCCGATCGGTATCCGGTGCACCTCAGCCAAAGCAAACGCCACGAGCACGGTGCCCAAGATGAGCTTCATAGTTCTGTAATGATGAAAAAATCTCTAGCAATCAAAAACACGTAATCTGTAAAAATAATGCTTTTGAGTTAAGGGGGGAGGGGTTGGGCTTTTAGCTACGATACGCTCCAAAATACGTTTCATAACAATCTACGTAGGCGGCTATAAAACCCGTTTTCAGGGAATTTTAAAGCTGGTAGAAGCTTCGCGTAGGTTGAAACTTAGCTTCGTCCTTAAAATAAGCATAATTGAAGTAAGTTAGAGGCTAGGCTTGACTCCAAAACAAAGCCATTTAAGCGGAGCGTCTCGTAGCTTCGAGTCCGCCTCAGCAACAAAGTAATACAAAACTCCTTCAAAACCTTGGCCAGATTTTTCGAGTTTTCTGTGTGATCTTGTGAAGCTAGCCCAGACCGTCCCTATATCTACGCTCGCTATCGGTTTGTGGTACGGGCTCTAACCCCTGCTGATAGCACCAAATCCCGGCACGCTCAGATGACGAAATGTTGATGGGTTCACGCCCGTATTCCGGGAAGTTTTTTTGTGGCCGGCTGATTGCTTGGGGAAAGATCAAGGCACGCAAAATGTGGGAGTAGCATAGGCCTGCAAATTCGAAGACTGGAGGACACATTTCGGTAGACCAAGCCTGAAACTCCAAAATTGCCAAGAAAGCTAACTAGCTGGTATCACCAAAACTATGCAAAATCGTCCAAACCCGAAGGTTTACCAGGTTTCTCACTTTTCGTAGCTAATTTGCGGCGATTGCTTTATTTTCGAGCCCCCCTCCTCAACGCTCGCTCTCTGCCCCCGAAACGCGATCAACCTGGCTCACTGCCGGGAGCTGGGGTATATAGGCAACGTGGGTGGTCCTAGTCCGGATCATTCGCCGGTGACGATTCAGTGTTAGGAAGTGCCGTCTGAATACCCATGCTTATAACGAACACACCGAGGCTACATTTTGATCTTTTATCCTAGTACCTACTTTTTTTGTTTATTATGTTCTTGTAGGAAAACCGTTTTGCTATTTTATTAATTTCTCGGCAACAATAACAACCCCTCTAAATGCAAAGCGCGATAACGAACAGCGACGTGATTCTCCTGAAACTAGATTGCTTTACGCGACTAAAGCGCTCGCATACAATCATGCGATAATATCTTCTTGATTTTTATGGCCTTTACCGCACCGAGAATAGCGACGGGCGGTAGCGGATTATGCTAATGCGCAAATCGAGGCGCTGCCATGTACATTTCACTTCCAGTCGAACAATTCGCGTCTTGTTTCGGGCTCCTACAACTTGATAGGCTTGATTTCCCATGGCAGAGCCAACAAAAAGGCGACTCGACGATTTATTGATCCCGGGCAGGTTGGAAGCTGATCGCTAGAACGAGAGTTTGAGGTTTCTGAATGTTGCCGCATTGCTTTTGGAGTTTTCCGTGTTCTCGCAGGCGGCTTTTATGTATTATATGATGTATGCTGGTACGTTGTAAATTCCGGCTGATCCAGAAAGGGTTGACTTGTCCAATTTATTCAGGAGCTGCGCCGAAGCTACAAAATTGTGGTAACGAAGTGGGCACCTGCTCCCAATTCGATGCTGGAAACTGCAGCGAGCCCCACTTCAACGTTCAATTCAATTCAATCAATGTCGAGGTTCTAGAAAATATTGCTTTTACAAACTTGAGGCAGTGGGGCTATGTATGCGGTCTGTCACGCATTGTCAAGAAGTCCATTTCATACCAAATGGTCGGCGTGCTCGTCGGTACCGTCGTGTTTGGGCAGCTCGCTGAAGATTTGGGCCGAAAAATTGTGGGTAGTTCACCAGCATATATACTCAAAAACAAGGGTTTGATAAAACAGCAAGCCAAACTTTTTTGGAGCATTTGGCTTTTTTTCAGGCGTTGTTGATGGCAATGGTTGGCAGCACGATCATGTTCTTTGCCACCGCGTTTACGTTCGACCTCACTTCTTTCACGCTCATCCGCACGATCGGTGGCTTTTTTAGCGGTGGCCAAATAGTGTAAGCTATATGTGTTAAGGAAAAGTCCGGCGATACCTAAATACGACCTAACTATAGATTGGCCCTGGTCTTCATGCTGGAAACAACCCCAAAATCGATGCGAATGTGGATCTCATTATGCATTTCCTGGTCGCCGAATATCATCATCTGTCGGTTTATTCTTGTTTCTAAATAAAAAATTTCAGTTTCGGCTCTTGCTTACTGGACGCAAAGCTGGCAACAATTGACCTTGGTGGTTGGCATAATTTCAGTAATCCCGATCCTGATACTGCTGTAGGGCTAAAGCGAAGAAATCCCATTTTCATGTCCACCGTTTTTAGCTTCCTAGTTCCGGAATCCCCGAGATGGCTGCTGCAGAAGGGTCGACTCGGCGATGCAAAGAATGCATTAAATTGGGTAGATTAGACACTTTGACCCCTAAATCCTCAGATTTACAAACTCAACAAGAAAGTTTTGGATCCCGCCACCTTAGAAGAAGTCCTAAACTTGGAAATCCAGGTGAAAGACACAAATTTCTGGAAGTAACGAGACGTAGGCACGCCAATCTTCAACCAAAAAGAGCAGCTACACGCTCCTCGATGTTTTCAAGCACCGAAGTCTGGCTGTTCCGATGATAGTACTCTGCACGACGATGTTAGAACCTCAGTCTCTGCAGCCATTACGCACCTAAAATTCAGTATGTTCACCGCCATCAACTCCTATGGCATCATCTTCAATATTGAGGAACTATCAGGAGTTATTTATGTAAACGCCGCTCTGAATGGGATTTTACGGTAAGCGCGAGAAAACTGAAAATGTCAAAACGCAGCTACTCCTTCAACATCATGTTCGCAATCCTCGAGCCACGAATCCCGAGCATGGGCAGGAAAAATATGCACACTTTTTCCGTGTCAGTTGTCTTGGTCGCGCTAGCAGTCGTCATCTACGGACAATTTTCAGGCAAGTGGAGTCGCGGAAAAAAACTAAAAAATCGTTATTCTTTTAGAAATAGCAACCCTAAAGCCTATTATTAGCTTCTTCTTAGTCCTAGCTGCGTCAATGGCTTCACAGGTTTAGTTATGGGGGGTTTTTAATTTGCCCAGCTTTTCCTAGCAATATCAGTTACGGCCAATGAACTACTACCTACACCCGTTCGAACAACTGGTTATTCACTGGTTCAGGTGTTTAGCCGTGGAGGTAAGAATGTAAATTATCGATCAGCATCGTAATCACAGGAGTAATCGGGGCCCCGCTGATCTTCTTCCTCGCCGATATATCGCCACATCTACCATTTCTTATGATGTTCACCTTAGGGATTCTACAATTAATCCTATTTCAAGGTGATAAAGCTCATTGCTAGATCGTAATCACATTTAGTGTTCGTACCGGAGACAAAGGGGCAAGCCATGCAAGAGCATATGCCAGTGAAGACAAATCAAGGCTACATGCTACCCCCAGAACAAGGCCTTGTCACCAAGATGTGAGCAATGGATAGGAAAATCTAATAAATACTTATTATTTATCCCTGACGTTTCAAAAAACAAAGGCGAGGAACATGGGTCAGCTCTTCGTAAACTTTAGGATGTAGAGATGTTCGATGCCACAACGTCGTTGCATGACCACTTCTCCTAAAAAATATAGTTAGACGGGGTTAGTTTCACAGCGAACAAAATGTAAAAATAAATCACCTTTCAGCTCTTTTTCGTTGTGGGCCAACAAGGCGGGAATGTCGTTTTGATGTAGGGCCACTAGGTAGAAAACACCTCGCGATGACAACAATCTAGGTACTGAAAAAGATGGTATTGAAAGCGCGTAAGGAAAAGTACCAACCATGTGGGAGTAATCGGTCTAAGGTTCCGCGGCCGCTTGGTCCTCCAGCCCATGTACGTTCCTAAAAAGAATTTTATACTAAATTGAATTCATCGATGCGCTTTCTTGGCGGTATCAGATTCTCGAAAATTTACGTATAAGCGGCACTCGTTTCACTGGTAAAGGAAAATAACGGTTTTATCTTTTTCTATCGTTAAATTGCGACTAATTCGACTATTCAAATTCCGCCAAGAAACACGGGAAATGGCAGAAAAATTAACTATACAGAAAATAGGCAAAAAATTGTATTGATGCAAAAAACCCTATAACCCATAACCTCCTGTTTTTGCCTTATGCTGCCAATCCAACATCTAGATAAATTCTGAAAGAGTTTTTGCACAAATTTCCGGTAATTTATGCCACTTCGGGGACTTCAATCGGCTCATTCCCTACCATTAAAACGAGTGCCACCCCGTTAGGACAGAACTGAAAAGAATACTCACGATATCGGTGCTAGCTTCCTCTTCTGTCGGCACGTAGGGCGGGTTGAAAAGCAGCACATCGACCTAGGAAATCTGGATAATGAAACCAGAAATGAAAATACCAGATTAAATAGCCGCAACCCTGAGACCAGATCCGTCCACACCGTGTCCAATTCAACTTTGTTCAAGCGGGCTGTCTGTCGAGCACATTGGGCGGCCGTTCGATTCAAGTCAGTTGCCAGATAATGCGCTCTTCTTCCCAGATTCTAAATATACATTTAGCCAAGAAAAAGGTTATTTTTCGCGCCGTCGGCAGTTCAGTTTTCAGTTGGGATCAAGCCCCGCTTGTGAAGTATTTTGCGCTGAAACCGAATCTATCTGCGGAATCACGATCTTACGAAAGTTTTGAGCCACTGAAGTCAGGAAAACCACAGAAAGTGGGCGTTGACAGGCCATACGCAATCCAGAAGCTTCACAAGATAGCGATTCCGAAAATTTAGTAAACATTCTCAGAATCAGCGCAAAATCCTTCCCAAGATAGGCTCCGTCTGCTTTCGAAACCCCGATGACTCGAAAAACGCCTCCTTTAAAGCTAATGCAATACCTGAGCTACAAAAGTTGAGACGACACCGGAACCGCAACCGACCTCAACAACAAGCGTCGCCTTGAGTTCACGAATTTTCTAGAAAATATTAACAACATCGCGAGCAAAAATTACCTTTATATCTTTTTCCAACGCATCTAGCAGCAAAAACGTATCTTCTGCCGGCTCATACACAGACTCCCTTTGTTCTATGCTTAGCTGGTAGTCAGGGGTCTTCAGAGACATCCACGTTTACCTGAAAATAAATTATGAATACTTTTAGCTCATTCCTTAAAAAAACGAAATCCAGAAAACAAAGAGTAGCGGCCAGAAAACGGAAGGAAAGGAGGGAGAACTTTCGGGCGAAAAAAGGGAAATAGGCCGCTGAGCCTTGACCTCCAGGGAATTCGCCATTTGTCATAGATGGCAGGGGTAAGATGGAAAATGGAGAATACGCTACGCAATTCGCATATCTGGTAACTATTAAAATCAAAGAGAATTGACGCCCTATTTCTGCATCATTAGCTAGACATCGGATCTATCAAAATCACGGGGAAGAATGAGAAATCGTCGCGTTAAATTTGATACGGATGGCGGATACGTGCTAGATTCTATCTTACTGGATAAAATAGCTGATGCTAAAGTCTTTTGCGCAAAAAAAAGAGATTCGCCTTGGAGCAGAACGGAATGGTTTGTCGATACCGGAAGGAGCCCAGTGAGCCCAGAGGACCTGGGGGTGGAAGGCCGGCTTCTCAAGACAAAAAGGGGAGCTTGACAAAACGCCCCGCTTCTTTGCAAAAAAGGCCTTAGGCCCGTTTGGCCGCAACATACACAATCGACTTGCCGGGGCACATCTGCATTGCCCAAATTGCGTTGGCAATGGATTGGGGGCATAAAAACCGAAACCCCCAACCAGTGCGAGTGGCAGAATTGGGCTCACCACTTGGCAAAATAAGTTATCAGGGGAAAATAGACTAAATATTTGAACTCGAAACTTTTTGGGGTCGACAAAACTCGGTAAATACGTTTTTCCCGCATCAAAACACTCTGTCCAAACTTCTAAGCCTGTAAGGTATTTAAAACTAAACAGAATCCCAAAAACCTTAATATCCAACATGTAGACTGAACGGAGACGTTCTAAAGACCTTACTTGTATGCAAGAGCTCTTCGTTGGGTACGATTCTGATATTTAGCTTTTCAAATCCAATCTCTCTGGAACAATTAAAAAACCCCAAATTTTTGGGGCGCCTGAACCCATATAAACGCCTCCTGCCGCGCCGGCTAAGCCTCTTTTTTTGGCCTGTTCGATTGGCCATGTGCCAGCGTAGTCTCAGCGCATGCGATGTTGACACCTAGAAAAATTCCCAAAGCTTGCCCAGCCCATGAATTTGGCGGGCATATCGTACCAGATTTCCGTTGCCCAAATTCTAGTCTCGTGCTCTAGTAAATTCGCGTCGCTCCTCTGACGAGACATGGGACATGACCCTGGGTAGCGAGTAATTGCGCTGCAATAGTCCCCTTTGGATTCACGCCTGAACGCACTGTATCTGCGTTGGATGCACTCGAAAAATGCGCCGGCTCTTTTGAACGGGGGCGAGGGTCTGGCAGAGACGAGGAGATGTGGGGTGGGTCAGCTAGGGTAGAGAAATAAAGAAATGAGAGACGGGTCAGCTATGGGGCTTTGGCAGAGAGAGAAAAAAGAAATGAGAGACGGGTCATCACGATGCCCTCTCTCGCGAGGCACACTTGGGTCCCCCCTCGGCCCAGTGCACTAGCAGCCTCCATACTGCAAATAATACCGAAGCTCTCGCGCTGGCCTCTGCTATAACTATTCGAACGAACGAAGTCTTCTATCTTTGAAATGATATCTCTTTTGGAAATTACCAATTTTCCTAACTCAAAATATACAGGCATGGCTTTGCTAATTTGGAAAAAACATCGTATTTCATCATCGTACCCGATAGATGCCAAATCTATTATAATTTCTCTTACATTAACGAGTGGTCAACCTTCGTCGTCCAAGGGACATTTCGGTAGACACAACATTCTTGCCCGAGCTATTTCTTGAATACCTCCTCTGGAACCAATAGATAGCAGGGAAAGCCGAGAAACAGCTAGCACAAAGACAGAAAAAAGGCCGTCCCGCTGGTTTGGCAAAAGTGTAACAGGGACCCTCTGAGATATGCCCCCAGAATGCGCTTTTTCTATTCTCTGGTCACTTGTCAAAAAGTCTAATTTGTTCGAACCTTCTTCGTAACCTTAAACTAATCGCTATGTGCTGGTATAAAATGAAAGGTATGACCTTATAGCCACCATGCCGGACGATGCAGGCGATAGCCTGAAGGTTGCAAAGCCTAAACGCCTTGATGAGTTAATAACTTCGGGATGGTGAGCAACTATTAAAAACAAATAACAACAAAACAGGTACTACTTCCGCATCAGTTTGCTCCTGGAGCTCTCGGTATTCATGCAGACCGCATACATGTTTTACATGCAGTATTCTGGTAAGTGAATTCTAGCCAAAGCTAAAAATTAAGTAGACCGAAACCAGAGAATAATCTTTCAGGTGCTACCCCAAAAGTGAACTGCGCCGGCGTCACGATGGAATGCAAAAATTTTGCGAATTGCACAGCTACCACTAGCAACTACACTTTCGATTATCAATTCTACTCAGTGAATGTGGATGTAAGTTAGAGATATCCATTCGATATACATATACTATATCTTAGTGGGGTTATGAATGCGATGAAGCCGTGAAGAAATCGATCAGTTACCATATGCTCGGAGTGCTGGTCGGGTCGTTTATGTTTGGGCAATTTGGAGAGACCTATGGACGCAAGAAGGTACCGAGCACGAAAATCATGCACACTTGATTTGAGGCTCTACTTGCCGCAAAGATTGTGACTGCCGCTTCATTCCTGTTGACACCTTTTGCCTGGAATCTGCTGACCTTGACGATCATCCGAGTTATTGGCGGCTTTTTCATTGGGGGCCAGATTGTGTAAGGCAAACCAAAAGTCGAAAATACCATTTACAGGCTTGCCCTTGTGATGTTCATCGAAAATTCGCCAAAAGCCTCGCGGATGTGGGTGTCCTTGATGCTGTCTTGGTCACCAAATATCATGCTCTGTTCGTATCCCTGCTTTTCTTCTTTTAGAATTCCTAAAATTCAGATGCAGGACTTGCGTATTGGGCCCATGACTGGAAAACATTGAGTTATGCCATCGCCGTCATCGCCATTCCCGGGATCATCCATTTAGCGTAAATAGTCGAAGCCGAATCGCCATCCGTTTTAAGGTTCTTCGTCTTCGAATCACCACGCTGGCTGCTACAAAAGGGACGTATTGATGAAGCCAAAGCAGTCATTCACAAGGTTAGTGCCTAAAACACGCCATAATGAAGAACCTTTCCAGATCTATAAAATTAACGGCAGCGATATCGATGAAGAAACTGTCAATGCTGTTTTCGAAAACGAGCTGGCTGTAGGCTGCACAACAACATGTTGAACCAAGCTTTTTAGGCACGAAAATCGAAGGCCAACAAGATGTACTCCCTTTTCGATATTTTGAAGTCGAAGGAACTGATCGGCCCAGTCTTGGTACTCTGCATGTGCTTGTAAGCAATTATTCTCGAATTTAAACCCAAGGACCTAGTAACTTCACGGCGCTGAATGCCTACGGAATCCTATTCAACATTGAGAAGCTCTCCGGGTCCATGTATTTCAACGCAGCGCTGAATGGGTTTTTGCGGTAAGTAAAAAAACGGCTACTGCAATGGGCGAGATATTGCAGCTATATCTTCAACATCATCTTTGCTATCGTCGAGCCAAGAGCAGCTTGGCTGGGACGTAAGGCAATCCATGGCATTTGCTTGATGATCGTGTTGGCCGCAGTATTGCTCGTTATCGTCGCCAACTTCATGGGTAGGTCGAAAATGGAAAACTAATTCCGTTATAGACGTTGAATGGATTTTAACTGCAAAACGCTATGCATTGATCGGCGCCGCAGCAATGACCTCTCAGGTAATCTTCGCTATCAATGGAGAACCTGGAAATTTTAGCTGTTCCTCGTTCTCGGGGTAATCGGCAATGAAATCCTCCCTACTCCCGTCCGCACCATCGGTTATTCCTTCCTTCAGGTTTTCAATCGCCTTGGTAAGCCCTCCGATCCCTGGAAATGATCGACCTTTAGGTGTGGCAATGTCGCCCTTCCTTTTCATGGTCAATACAATCTGGGAGCCACTGCCATTGTTCATCATGCTCACCTTGGCCGCCTTGCAACTCAGCGTTTTCACACGTAAATTCAGAGAAGAATGCTAACGAACCCTATAGTTGCTATCCCGGAAACCCGCGGCAAGCCGATGCCTGAGGAGATGCCAGGGCAGCACAAGGCCGAAGACGTTGAGCTCGTCGAGAAAATTCAGGAATAACCGAGTCAGAAGACACTATGAACTCAATACACAAATTACAGCCATTTCATGCGTTTATTCGTTCAAAGCTTTGTTGCCCTGAATGAATTCTTAATTTTGGCCGTCGAAAACTCATTCGACTCGACTCGACGAAAACAAATAAAAACTGACACTAGAACGAACTAGACCAGTAAAGTCGTATTAGAAGGAGAAACGTGTGTCTGGCGGATAGGCGAGCTTGTCAAGGTTTGGCGTACAAGCGAAGTTGAGCATAGGCGGTGGACCACACATCAGAACGCACGTATTTTCAGATGGAGGGTAAAGGTGTTCTAAAAATAGTCTATTTCGCTTGAAAAAAGCATACCACTAATCATCTTCTCGTTAATAAAACCCGAGCTGTATTTCCACTCAGCTGGCGGTCGATCAACGGTGTACCATAGCCGAAAACGATCAGGATGAGCTTTTTGAAGTTCTTCGAGCTCTTCCCTAAACCAAATGATCAAAAAAAGCCGACTAGTTACCGGCACAAGATATCGTCTTCGGTTTGGTTCGCAAAGAGCAGCGCGAGCCTTGTCGAATCGTCTGCGACTCGCAATATTGCGTCAATAATCTGAAAAATATGTTACTAGGCAGCATTTCAGAGCTTGTAAAACGATTTCTGTCATTTGAACAGAGCATAGTCACAAAAGGTCGACATTGCGAGAAGAAAGCTAGCAAAGTAATCTTACTCGATGACTTTCTTAGCTACTCTAAAAACTACCTGCAGCATAGGGGTGATCCCAGTACCACGAGCGATCGCGTTAACGTTGTGGAACACGAACGATTTCGCGGCCGCTTTCTTGTCTGCTTTCACCTAAAGAATCAATATGAAGGCCAGGGCATAAAAGCCTACCTTGAATTCACCTTGGCCATGGTAGGTGATGAGACCATTTGGGCCGCGGAAATCAAGCTAAAATTGAAGAGTTGATATAAAAAGGAAGCACAAGCCGTATCGCCGATTGCCATGGCCTCCAAATACTGGCTCATCTTTCCACCATCTGGGAATTTCGGATTGACGTCTCGGAAATATACCTGAAAAAGAGTTTTCGAAAAAACTTGGGCAAACCTTGATCATCAAATCGACAAAACCTTTATCATTGTCGCTGCTCACAGGTGTGTAGGGCCGTACGACCAATTTGCCATCAACCTGCCGCAATATGTAACAATTTAAAGTGGATATTACCTTTGCCGAGATGTAAATATGTTGTCCGACCGGCAGCCCCAGTATGTGGTTATTCGTCGGCAGCGCGAACCGGAATTTCCTCGTGTCATGGCCCCGTCTATCCCTCGCCCATTCCACCGCTGAAAAAAAAATATGAACGCCGCGAATCAATTACTTTTTAGAAAGCTAAAGGACACCTAAGGGAGCATAGGACGAAAAGCGTAACTTCACGGTACTCAAGAAGGTGACGACACTGCAAGTCGACACGTGTCAAAGGGTTGGAAAGCCAGGTTTTCGCATCGTTTTTTTCTTGCGCGTGGAGCCTATGTCTAAGGAAGCCAGCGTGGAGCTAGTCGACTGAAACTAGTTATTAAGACGCGAAGAAACTACAACAGCATAGCAGGTTTTCTGCGCTCTTATCTCTCGCAATCAAATTGGGTTCTCAATTAATCAGACATCGCATACGAGAAAGCTTTGTGGTTGCAAACCGTTCGCAATGGAACCACGATAAATACGAGAAATACATTTATTACCCGAAAACCGAAAAAAGACCCGAAATAAATTATGAGCGGTATAAATTCAAGTGAAATACAAAAGGAAAGCGGAAATGTGACAAATAAGTTATGACATCAAAACAAAAAAAGAACGCAAAAATATAACCCGGAAAAGAAAGCAGTCGTTGTTGTAGTTGCATGTCGTGAAGATCTTGTCCGGTTGTACGACGTCGTGCTACTTCTTCGGCTGGATCTTGACACTCGACCTAAAAACAAAAATTTAAAAAAATTGTTGCAACCAATTGTTGAAGCCAATTGTTCAAAAAAATTTACCGGGTGTTATATTTCTTGGCGATAGTCGACGTCGACGGCCTAGGGTTTCGCAGCGTGGCGGAGTCCACCTAAACAAAAAAAAATGAAGGTTATACCCCTAATGCATTGAAAAATCTAACAAAAACCCACCTCGCGTGTACGTCGACGGGCAGGTTGCGGGGGGGCGCGATTGGCCGCCGGGCGCGGGATCCGTTGGTTGAGCTAAATATTGGCAAGTAAGGGTTTGAAAGTATATTATACGAGTTCGATGCTCTCCTTTTTGATAATCTCCAGCAGCTCCAGGGTTCGACGATTGAGGCGGTAGCCCGCCTTAACCGTGATGATGATACCGACATCCCTGTAAAAGAAAGTATTCAGATGCCTCAGAAACTTACTCTTCCTCGAGCTTCACGTTCGTGCCCCTCGCGACAGACATTACGTGGTTTGAGGCTGAAAAAATGTAATGAAATGGAGAATTGTAAAATTCACAAATATGAGAAAGGGGGCCCGTTGGAAATTGGGGCAATTAGCAAATGTCAGACGGTTGGGACGCTTGTAATATTTCACATAACCATAAGAATTTGGACCCTAAAATAACCGTTTTTGGGTTGTTAAGTATGTCATCATACTTCAGATCACTAAATACAGTTTATTAATACATAGTTTAACTTAATGACTATATTATACAAAGTTTAATTAGTAAATTCCGCCATCGGAACCGTTTGACATTTGTTAGTTGCCGAAATTTATTAAAAGATGCATTTATCAAAAGTTTTTATTAGCTAATGTTAACATTTGTGGGTTCCCTGCAAAAGCATCAGTTCTTGCCGTCCGTAGTAAACCATTGGAAAACCAACTTTGCACACCCTCTTCGTTCTCTTCGAACGCCCTCCCCTTTCCCATTAAAATATTCAGGGGAAACAAAAATTCAAGCTTTAAATACGTTTGGCGTACTTTGTAACTAATTGAAAAAACAAATTAACGAGATGCATGACAGATTTCAGCTATTTGATCCTAACTTTATGCTTTCCCTGGCTCCGTTTCAGTGGTATGAAGTAGAACTTTTCAGGGCGGAATGTTAGTGGCCTTCCGGAGATTGACGAATTGTGTTGGATGTTCCTACCCTTCATCATCTAGGTGCATTGCGTTTTCTAATTACATTTTTTTTAGAACATTTTGCAGTGCAGTTTTCAATAACACCCTACGCACTGGCCTGAAGCAAAATATCCAGCGGCGTAAGGTACGTCCCGTGTTTGAGGCCTCATACACCTTGCCTTTTTCAGTTGTCATCCGTGGAAACACAACGCGCGTCCAAGAAAATACGACAAGCCACATGGAAAGAATTGAAAGAAATTTTTTCTTTGGCGGCACCGTTCAAGGGGAGGATAATACGTAAGATATTATTGCTTTTCTTTATGCTCCTTTTTTAGTGGGCCTATCGTTTCTCGGGATTTCCAGCACTGTTTTTCTATTAACACCGCGCATACTTGGCAAGCTTATCGATGAACACGATGTCACGAAGAGGGGCAAAATGGAAGAAGATGCCACCTTGAGATTTGCAAGGTTTTACTTTTGGGGAAAACAACGACTTTCTTCAGGTATTTCAAGGAAAATCCGTTGGCGCTCGTGGCTGCATTGGCGTTGGGTGCCGGTGCAATACTCGCAAGAGTGTATTGTATGCACACAGCTGGTAAATTTATCGAACTGTTCCCTGTTACTATTTTAGGCCAACTTATCATTAACAATCTCAGAAAAGCGGTTTTCGGCTCTCTGCTCAAACAAGACATGGCGTTTTTCGATAGAAATAAGGTTTGTTTCTCTCTTTTCTACGAATACTGCACATCTTCTAGGTTGGCGAGATGGTATCTCGTCTCTCAACTGATGCTCTTATTGTCGGTTATTCAGTGTCGATGAATTTGAGTGATGGTGCTCGCGCCCTATTGACTTGCCTCGGTTCTGGATCTTTGATGGTAACCAGGGCGTAGAAATTACATTTGGCGTCTAGGTCTATACTTCACCTGCCTTATGCAAGATGATGGTGATCGTTATACCGATCGTCGTCGGAATTTTCGCGGTTTTCGGTCGATTACAACGCAAGTACACCCTCCAAATGCAAGATGCGGTCGCTGGTGCCAACCAAGTATGCATTTCACCCGCATTGAGTCTGGGGACTAAACTGATCAACTGTAGCCTTTAGGTCGCGACTGAAAGATTGGGTGCGGTGAGGACTGTTAGGATGCTCGTCGCCGAAAACAAGGAGGAACGTGCTTATGGAGCAAAGATGCAGGTACTCGGAAATTTTATATGCATATCCTTTCTTCAGGACATCTGGAATATCAGCAAGCGAGAAGGCCTTGCCAAGGGAAGCATGTATGGAACTGTAAGTCTTGCTTAATGTTATAACATGAATGTGGTTGACTTTAGTTTCAATTCACTGGATATATGGGGATGTCCGCCGTGCTTTTCTATGGCAGTACTTTGATCGAACAAGGGCTTCTCAGCTACGGTCAGTTAATTTAGCTCTTTACAACGGTTTAGGTGATCTTTCATCTTTTTGCTTGTACGCGGTTCTTTGTGCTGCATCTATGTCGAATTTGAGCGGATTTTTTACCGAAATAATGAAGGTATGCGCTTGCGGCCTGAATTGGCCTTATTGTTGTGGATGTTAGGAAATGAGGTAGATTGTTGGCATTTAGGGGCTCGGCGCATCTTCACGGCTCTTCGAGTTGAAAAATGCTCAACCCGCTATCCCTCTGCACGGGGGTGTTTTGAAGAACGGCGTCCAGCACGGAATTCGGTGACCTTTTTCTATTGGGGTTTTGTATTAGCTGCTTTAGATTTGAGGACGTTTCTTTTGGCTATCCAGCTCGTGATGAACTATTCCACGGACTTTCTTTTATGATCCCCGCGGGAAAGGTTCGCTTCTATGTAATGAAATTGAAAATTTGCGTATTACAGGTCACGGCCATCGTCGGTCCTTCCGGAAGCGGGAAGAGTACAATCGCAAATTTGGTGTTGAGGTATTTTTTATCTGACGCTTACATCCTTGTTTGTTCTAAAGAACGGCGCGACCATGTGTAGATATATTTTCAATCGGGTTTTTATTTAGGCTGTACGACCCCTCAGTTGGTCGAATTCTGGTTGATGACGTAGATCTCAAGGATCTGGATCCGTCACACTGGCGCCGTCAAATAGGCACTGTTGGACAAGTGAGTAATATACGAACTTTTCCGCATAGTTTCCGTTCTTCAGGAGCCGGTACTGTTTTCTACAACGATTCGGGAAAACATCGCTTACGGTGCCGAAGAGCCGGACAAAGTTGCTGACGAACAGGTAGCGCGTTCTATTATTTTGACAATCAGTGCTTGCAGATTCACAAGGCCGCGGTTGCTTCCAATGCCATGAATTTCATTTCGGAGTTTCCACAGTATGTCGTCGCCCGTGGCTGTTTTCAACAATTGCATTTAGGAAGTTCGAAACTGTCCTCGGTGAAGGAGGTGGAATGCTGAGCGGTGGCCAGAAACAACGTATTGCGATAGCTAGGGCTCTTTTGAATGTAGGGTTTGGCATGTATTCTGTAACTTTTTTCCAGCATCCAAAAGTAATGCTTCTCGATGAGGCAACTTCGGCACTCGACGCGGGGAGTGAGCTACTCGTTCGGACGTCTTTACAGAAGCTGATTCAGGAAAAAAATAGAACCATGTTGGTCATCGCGCATAGGTGAGCAATTTCAAATGTCGATGACGAATCGGCAACGTCGTTCCCTGCCTCATCTACTTTCGTAATATCACTTATTCCTAGGCTTTCAACCATCCGTAAAGCGGACCAAATCGTCGTCATTGAAAAAGGAAGTGTGGCTGAAAGGTATTCCTATGGCGGCGCTAACTCTTATTCTTTTTTTAGTGGTACTTACGAAGAACTGATGAAGATCGAGAACGGCTTCTTCAAAAAACTCGTTGAGAAGCAACATATTGGACTTACGGAAGAAAGCTTCTGAAGATTGTTGTTTGTCGGTTCTGTTGACTAGTGTCTCGCTATTGTTAGTTGCTTTTTAGGATTTTTTAGAGCTCATATGTTCTTTGTTGTTTGTTAGGTCGTAGACATGATAAAATTTGACATTTCATTGACAAATAATCACATATAATCCTCTTCATTGTCGAACTCATCTTCGGCGTTGTTCTACAAGCAGTATTAATGAAGAACGACACGCTGCCTACAACTGTTTGGAATAACGGCGCTTCTGACTCTTCTAGTAATCGAGCTGCCGGTGCCGTCTGACGTGTCAATGACCCATCACTAAAAAGCTTTTGAGCCGAATTGGGTTCTCACTTACTAGGAATATGTGTAAATTGCTGTAGCGAATAGCGGTATCCACGCAATCAGAAACCACATTGGGGATATGATATGCTGCGAGCCGGATCGATTTTACCGGTAGACCGCAACCAGTCTCAGGTGAGGATTACAACAAGTCGGCGGATCGGAGTAGTGTAACGATTTGACGAAATCAACGCGCAACTCTTGGTATGGAAACTTGTAACATGCCAGCTTTGGGATGAGCTTATTTGAGAGAATAAAAAGCAGGTCGATCCGGCTGAACTCAATCGACTGACTGGCTGCAAACGGGGAATGCCCCCCGTCCCCAGCTGACCCAATTCTTCTTACCTTGCTACCCCCGCTCGGATTAGAACTTTGCGGTTGAGAGTATCCGTTCTCCCTCCATCTACTAGTTGGTCCGCATTCATATTGGACGTGGAATTCCTTCGCTAATCCTAATGACAAAAATATTTATTCACACAATCTTTATTGACAGGAATTTGTTGGGCGACGAACACAAATAAAAACTGACACTAGAACGAACTAGACCAGTAAAGTCGTATTAGAAGGAGAAACGTGTGTCTGGCGGATAGGCGAGCTTGTCAAGGTTTGGCGTACAGGCGAAGTTGAGCATAGGCGGTGGACCACACATCAGAACGCACGTATTTTCAGATGGCGGGTAAAGATGTTCTAAAAATAGTCTATATTGATTGAAAAAAGCATACCACTAATCATCTTCTCGTTAATGAAACCCGAGCTGTATTTCCAATCAGCTGGCGGTCGATCAACGGTGTACCATAGCCGAAAACGATCAGGATGAGCTTTTTGCAGTTCTTCGAGCTCTTCCCTAAACCAAATGATCAAAAAAAAGCCGACTAGTTACCGGCACAAGATATCGTCTTCGGTTTGGTTCGCAAAGAGCAGCGCGAGCCTTGTCGAATCGTCTGCGACTCGCAATATTGCGTCAATAATCTGAAAAATATGTTACTAGGCAGCATTTCAGAGCTTGTAAAACGATGTTGTCATTTGAACAGAATATAGTCACAAACTGTCGAATTTGCGAGAAGAAAGCTAGCAAAGCAATATTACTCGATTACTTTCTTAGCTACTCTAAAAACTACCTGCAGCATGGGGGTGATCCCAGTACCACCAGCGATCATGTTAACGTTGTGGAACACGAACGATTTCGCGGCCGCTTTCTTGTCTGCTTTCACCTAAAAAACCAATATGAAGGCCAGGGCATAAAATCCTACCTTGAATTCACCTTGGCCATGGTAGGTGATGAGACCATTTGGGCCGCGGAAATCAAGCTAAAATTGAAGAGTTGATATAAAAAGGAAGTACAAACCGTATCACCGATTGCCATGGCCTCCAAATGCTGGCTCATCTTTCCGCCATCTGGGAATTTCGGATTGACGTCTCGGAAATATACCTGAAAAAGAGTTTTCGAAAAAAACTTGGACAAACCTTGATCATCAAATCGACAAAACCTTTATCATTGTCGCTGCTCACAGGCGTGTAGGGCCGTACGACCAATTTGCCATCAATCTGCCGCAATATGTAACAATTTAAAGTGTATATCACCTTTGCCGAGATGTAAATATGTTGTCCGACCGGCAGCCCCAGTATGTGGTTATTCGTCGGCAGCGCGAACCGGAATTTCCTCGTGTCATGGCTAAAAGGTTGCGATGATGGTCAAAGAAATTGTTAAAGGGATGCCGACGGCATAGTCAATCGGTTACGCGCGGAAAAGAAAATGTCTCGGCGCCTCTCCCCTGGGCGCGCTCTCTGCCCTGTTGGCTACTTGCCAATTTGTTGATGAGGGGGGATCGACACATGCCGTCGGCAGCCCTTTAACATAGACAAAAAAAAGATGAATGAATCGAGAAATATACCTGATAATCTTCTTCTCGATCAAAGGCAGCGCATATTTAACGTCTTCCTGTTGAAGCGTGATCAACACCTTCTTCTAAAAAGAGATATTAGCTAGAAATACAGACACGCAACTGACAAAACCAACCTAGATCATCGATATTTTATATCGAAATGATTTACCTTGCCTCTGCCCAAGAAATAGTAGAGCGCTGCCGCCGAGAGCGCTGCGACCAGGGTGCCGGATACGATGACAGTGCTCGGCGTCCAACCCTCGCCCATTCCGCCGCTGAAAAATAAACAATAATCGAAACAGGTCTGTTCAAAAAGCGACACTGAAAGTGAAATTGCAAGAGTATTGAGCAGCGTAATTTGTTTGTGGTTGCGTTTACGTTACACATTGTACGAGCAAGCAATCAGGCCCTGAATCAGCAAACTATGATAGCTATTAACATAACATTCCTAGCTGCCAAAAATCCCGAAACGAGTAACTCGACATAACCGAAGAAAGGGGTCAATATTTCATAGTTTCTAGCAATAATCACCCCATCTAGTCTCTCTAACAGAGCGGTCGCATGGGTGACAGTTGGGGCCCGTTTGGGATCGACCCGCCGAAAGATCGCCACTTTTGATAAAATTAGACAACGCCGTGGTTCACACCAAACTACGGGTTTTCTGTAGCTTTGCAAGAAGTTATGGCTAGCATCTTCTTGTATAAATCCGAACCACTTATGATTACTCGCTAGCCTACAAAATCTATGAAGTGACCATGGCATAATATTATTCGTGATTTTTCTGAGAATTTCGTTTACGTTTCCGCGCTTGTTGTCCGAAAATATGCTATGGCTATAGGTATTGAAGCAATGCGGTTCTGAATATGAAAAACCAGGATATGCGCCGCCAATGTCCGGGGCACCAATGTTTTACGTTCAATCCTATACCCGCTTACGCACTGAAAATAGACTAGTTTTAATTCTCCATATTTTAATATAAAAATGTACAATTTGTTATTGTAGGAGGGTAAAAATCTCGCTCGCCCCGTTTGCCGCGCGAAAAGACATACGACAGCTAACGATGATAGACTGCAGTTCAGAACTGGATAGTGCACGGGATAGCGAGAAGCCCATCGTTATCCTTTCTTTCTCTCTAAATTACCGGCCACAGTCAGCCAAATTTATTAAAATAACGATCAACAAGGGAAATCACAAAACATGACCCGTATTGAGAGCCAACGATATCAAAGTATGCGACATCTATAACGAGAAAATAGGTTTGCCATTATTCGGCGCCGAGGGGTATTGCGAGGCAAGCGTAGTAAAAAAATTTCGTTCTTTAATTTTAAGGTTTCCGCTTGCGTGATAATTAGTTTAATAATCATCTAGGTCTATTCCGTCGAGTTCATCAGTCATGTCTTGTGCTTGGAAGTCGACCCGGTAGCGCAGTAAACCTGAAGTGACTCTTAGTCAACGCACATTTTGTTAGCCTTCTCGCAGGCTTCGTAATGGTAAGCTCCCCTCACCTCCGATACCACCAAATCCTCGAACGAACTGTGCCCCCTCTTGCGACTTGTCGGTGATGATCTCGAGCACAGTCCCAAAGGTTTTATAATTATTCGCGAGCCATTCAAGTAGTGCTGCGGATTCGACCAGCTCCAATTCGGTATTCGTTTCTGGGTCTGTGAAATAGGACTTGTCCTTTTCCTCTTCTGGTCGCAGATGGAGGACCGTTTCGACGCCAGCGTTGTTTCTCAACTTATATCTGCAACAGAGATAAGAACAAAATGACCCGGCAAACCTGGTAATATCCAAATTTTCCCAGCAAATCAACGTCTCGACGGCTCCCATCTCAAGGCCCTGGAGCGTGTCCTTCACCCCATACACATAGCGGCCGGTATCCTAACATTGAGCATGAACTTCTAATTTGCGACTTTCATACCTGACTGATTTCATCGAAATATGTCTGGATTAGCTTCTTCTCCTGAATAAATTTGACGTTTGCCAAGGAGTCGGCGGCGAGCTCAATCGCTTGGTTGAATCCGTTTTCGCCTCCATACGAAATATCAACAGTTTTAATTATTTTCGCTTGCAATCGCTGAAGGGATGTTAGAAAATTGAACTTTCGAGTGCCTGCCTACCTGGTCAAACATATCCGACTGTCCGAGCTCCGTTTTGAAATCAGCTGAACCAGCCAGAACAAGGCCTGCCACGGCCACCTATTCGTGTTGATCAAGTTTTATGAACGAACCTTGTCATTTCTGATGAACATCTCCACCGAGATTTCGGCGACCTTTCGAACGTAATTATGGCGTTTCTCCATTCGGAGACGCGCAAAACGCAAGGCTGACTGACCACCCCGCCATGAAAACGACAATAGCATTTCTTAGACTTGACTTACCATGCTTTTTAGGTAGTTCGACGGTAAATTTGTGTAGCACTTCCCTCGTGTTTCCTTGTAGCGTGCCAAAAAGCGTGCCGTTACCATCCATAATGATGAAGCCGAACTTCGTATCGTCAGTAAGTAGGGCTGAAAGCCGCAGATAAATATACCGAATACAAAATCGCACCTTGAAGCGCCTCCGTGTGGAACTTGTTGTCACAAAGGTACAGGGATGTGTTGATGGGCTTGAATGGCTCGAAGTCGATATTCACTTTCTTTTCTTTCCCTTCATCGGTTAAAATTGTACCGCAATAAATCACAAGACCATTAGGTGGAACTAAAGAGTTGTTGATTTTAGGCATTGTACTCACCTTTAGTGTACAATTTTAACCGTCCTTGTACGGAAGTAATGGCTCCAAGTACGGATAGCCGATTGACTCGCGATTTAATGTTTGATGCAGTCCCATATTCGTCAGCCAACATCCGGGCAACACGAGCGATCTGGTCTCGCGGTGGGATGATGAGTGAGATCATAGATGTCCCATTGCTAAAAAGTCCGTTAGGATCCGCTCGCTATTTTCGGATATCATTTAAACAAAAACTTACCCTCTTGCTAATTCTAAGTTACGAATGAGCTTTTTGATCTTCCAAATCTCCACATTGCGGTCGCCAGCATCTTCCTAAACACGATTGTTTTAGCAACCTAACTTGATACAAAGTTCTAAAGTAGACAAACCCCGGCTACGGCTGACATCTGTGATTCAGTCGCGCCGGATGCCTGGATAACTGAAAAAATGAAACGTCGATTAGGTCGGCAATCTTGGAAATGTGCCCGGAAAGGTTGTTAACTCATAAAGCGGACCCGATTCGGAGCATTTAGCGAAATAAGAGCGACGAAGGATTTTGGTATCCAGCAAGGACATAGTACAGAAATATTCTCGGGTTGTCCATGATGATTGTTGTCAACCGTTCGTTTTAAGCCCATCCCAGAAGAAAGATTGCATAAGCTCAGAAAAATTGCACAATCAGCAATATTGCCCAAGGCTATAAAAGGGGTTCTTTGAAAGGGCAAAAGCGGACCTCCCCTGTTGGGCAAATTCGTAGGCCTAAACTCGTGCAAGGGAGCCCGGTGGAGTGTCCTCTTCCCGCGAATACCCAGTGTGAGCGGCTCGAAAACTGAGCGCTACCATGTCGATCTGCAAGAAATCGACTGCCTGTAATCGAGGCCAAAGGGGAATGGGTACGTCAATTAAATCTACATTCGGTGAGAAGACACATGCTGGATTTACAACAAAATTATTGCACTAAAAACGATCCAACTTCGTGTCATAAAGCGAAATCCCGGTGCATAGCTTCTAAGGGCCTCTAGGTGAGAGCAGAAACCAGGCGGAGACGCTAAATTGGTATATTCTTTCTACTTTTCGTAACTACCAGCCGGCCCTCACAAAAGTTAAGATCAAGGCCGATTATGTTTAAAAAAGCTTTTCCTTTAATTTTCAACCTTTGATTTTACCTAGTTATGGCTACACTACCCGTTTAGCAACCCCAAGTTTAGCCGTATATTTGCTATTTCTAGGAGACCCAAGTGTGAAAAGGGAATGGTTGCTTGGCTGATGGCAAACAGACTTCGTGGCCACTTATTTGTTCTCGCTCAGCCGCCAATGGGTTGTATCCCCCTGCGATATTGTCACTGAAGCACATGCTCTCGGTCCATTTCAAATAGAAATCGGGTATAAAATGAGCGCGCCTTCTGCTGCAACCACACTCACTGCCAAAATGAGCTCCACCACCACCGTGTAAGTCTAACTTGGCAATAAAAACCTATTCGGTTTTAGCATCTGTTTCCTCGCTCTGCTCTGCTGCTTCGCAGTCATGACCGAAGCCCAGTATTACGGATACGGATACGGCGGATACCCATCGTACTATGGCGGCTATGGATCTTACGGATACCCGTCATACTATGGAGGCTATGGTGGATACGGCTACGGCGGATATGGGTAAGTCTAAGACGCCGAAATTCCTCGCGCTGGTCCTAATTGCGCAAAGAGATGGCAAAACTTTTCGTTTAGTTATTATGGAAAGCGCGAAGCTGGGTTCGCTCCGTCCGACAACAAGCAGTAAGGCTGTCACGAATCGTCACATGTACTCAAATGTATCACCGACACCTGCATTCCGCGATAAATATATTCCATATGTCAAGAAATGCAGATTATCTAAAAAAGCAAAAGCCAAATCAACCTTAATGCCAAGCCACGCAAACCACTGAGTAAAGGATTTATTCAGGTTTTTAGGCCCGTGTCCAGTGTCGAAACAAATCAAAAACAACTAACGAGGCACTTGCATAAATTCAGAAGTCATCGACATTCTGTAGTTTGACGGTTTCGCCAGGTTTGAATGGTGGCATCCCGAGGTAGGGGCAAGTGGCACATCGGAATGCGTCGCCGAGAGCGCACTAAAAATTAAAAATGCATTCGAACGAAGGTCTTCAAAGTAGAGCCAGTAACATCGGGTAACCAGAAACTGAAATAAGATGCTCACCGAACCACAGCCCTTGTTCGACTTGCTTGCTTCAACCCGCTCGGCTTCTTCTTCATCGGCCAATCCACACGTGCAGTTCTTGCAAGCTCGCTTCTTTTTCTCACCATCAGCGGGGCCGCACGATGCTGAAAGAACATATAAAGAGAGAAAATCGCGTCAATCGATTGTTCCCAAATATCTGTTTCTAGAGTGCTAAGGAAAACTCATTCCTAAGCCGAGAAAAAAGTACCCTTTAAGCTTTCAGCTGTTGGCTTTTGGAATGGTTCATCCTCCAATAGGTCGTCTTCATCAACCAAGAAATTGTTGCCAGCAGCCGCCTGAATCAAACCTCCGGTACATACGAAGAAAGTTACCGCGGCGTCCAAATTCAACGACACTTGACGGCTAAAATCCGGCTTCTCAGCGGACGCAGAAATCTTATCTGGATGTAACAGCAGGATTCGTTTCTAAAGAAGAACTAACCGGCCTGATTATCGTAAGAAGCAGTGACCGATGCAAACCCAGCCATCCTCAGCTTCCGAGCAACCGCCTCGGCATCTGATCAAATGCTGTTATTTTGAGAAATTCCTGAATACCATTGCCGGTGCAATTCACAGAAATGCGGCCGCCATCTTTAGCCGACCGAAACACAGCATCGAGCACGCGGTCCAGCTTGTTGACATCAGTTGCCGAAACCATAATTTTCTCATAGAACGATTCGGGCGCATCTAATTTTTTTATAAGCTGTAGAAAACAAGTACCGGAAAGTTTGTCGGCGAAATAAGTTTTCATAGGCAACTGTTCCGACTTGTCCACAGTTTCTGAAAGAAAAAATAGAACCGGAGACAATGATACCTTTATCAGAAAAGCAAACGGCTGTCGACGGATCATTCGCCATTGTGTTGCTTCGCGCCTGTAAACTTGAATTGAGCAAAGTATGAGCTATAAGTGCTGCAGGAAAGAGGCACTTTTTTCGAGAATCCAGGCAACGTGATTGCCCTTCGATTACGTCAGTGAATGAAAGGGTTCATAGGATTTGAGTGGAGCCGCTAGAGCAAAAGCACCAAGGGACCATGAAAGTTCGAGCCAGACCCCGATCAGTTCAAAAATTTTCCGTTTAAATGTTCCGCGGAGTGTCTGGCAGTTGTGCAGTATAAAAGGGATGCATTGCTGCGGGCAATATACTGCACAGCCGTAAAGAGCTGCTTGTGCACGACGAAAGCATGGATCAGAGTGGCTGCGGAAAGGAGAAACGATGATGACTTTTTCTACTTTAACTCCAATTAAAACGTACTAAAAACACTTTAAATTGTATTACTAGGCCAACCGGGACCGCCAGGAAAAAATAAAATCTTCCCCCGGAAGAAAAAAGAAAAGAAAGAACCAAATTTTCTATAGTTTATAAGTTATTTTAGAGCTCGACTCTCATGCCTTTCAAACAGGTTTACCTTTGAAATTTCCCAAGGAGTGTCTGCCGTTTCTGCGTTATAAAAGGCACATCGACCAGAAATTTTTATTCACAGTGCGTTACAACCAGGTTGCGCGGGCGGTCAATAGAAATGATCAACACGAGTAGCTACATATTGCACAAGGAACTAGTTTGGTGGGACTATAGGCAACGTCGCCATGAAAACCACGGAAATAAAACAAACGACCCGAAATACGGCAAGAGAAGACAGTGAAAATACCCATAGAAGAGGCTATCACGATTATTAGGGTTATCTTTGGGAGCAATCCGAGTTGATGCGACAGGTCGAGTAAATCACTTCTGGTCGGCGAACCTGAAAAAGCTCAATTAGGTAATTTCATAGATCAGCCGGAAGCTTTGAATCGCTAAGAGTTTTTAGGCGTAATAGGCGACCAAATTAACGCTTCCAAAAGCCGAAATACCAACAATGGGAGAGAAACATACCTAGCCAAGCGACGCTGGCGGACCTCTTCGATCGGATTCGGCACGGTGTTGGCACCATCATGAGGGCCACCCTGGCCCAACACGCTCTCGTCGCTCATGGAACGAGACGACATAGTGCTGTGGGAAGCCTAAAACAGATATTCGAAAGAACATCAGCAGATACCGAAGCATTCTGAGCGTCGGAAGCCTCGCCCCAAGCGCTCATGTTGCCGGCGGAGATGGTGCTGTGAGAGGCCTAAAACAAATGTCAGAACCAATATGAGCAAATACGGAGGCATTCTGGCCAGCAGAAGCCGAGTCGACGAGACTAAGGGTGCTGTGAGAGGACTAAAACAAATGAAAGAAGAAGCCATATTAGTCAATACAGAAGCATTCTGAGCCGCCGAAATTTCGTCCTCATCAGTGATCGTATTGGGCCCAACAGGGCTGTGTGAAGCCTAGACAAATGTAAGAAGCCGTATTATCAGTTACGGAGGCATTTTGGACGTCAGAAGCCGAGTCGACGACACTAAGGGTGCTGTGCGAGGACTAAAACTAAAGTGAGAAGCAATACTAGCCGATACCGAAGCATTTTGGCCAGAAGAAATGGTGTTCCCGGAGCTAATGGAGCTGTAAGTTTCCTGAAACTAATGTTAACGGACATCTTAGCAATATACCGAAGCTAGTAGAGCAGTAGAAGTTGTGTCACCGGTACTAATGGTGCTAGTGGTGCTAGCGGTGCTCAGGGTGCTGTGTGAGGACTAAACAAGTGCAAAAAGTAATGCAAGCAAACAAAAATCTTACTGCAGCATTTTGGGGCTCCGAGATCACGCTCTCATCACTGCCCGAGCTGCCTGTCAAGGTGCTATGCGAGCTCTACAAAAAAAAAATCCAAAAAATATGTTAGCAAATACCGAAGCATTTTGGGCATCCGAGATCACGTCTTCTTCGACAGGGTCCTCCTGTGCAGGTGGTGAGACAGGAGGGCTCTGGGCAGGAACATTGGCGTTTTGACCGGGGTTGAGGATATTGGCACTAAAAATGTTTAATAAAGCAATAAAAAAACCAGAACCAACCCGGTAACCAAAGTATACTGCTGCATCTGAAGCACAGCAGCATCGATCAAAGTAGCGATATCGGCCAATGTTTTAATCCTGGCTTCAAGGGCGCGGCGAGAGTTTCCTGGAAACCATACTTTGCAGGAGGAAATGAGCCACGCACCTTCCATGGCACGCAACTCGTCATCTGACAACTGGGCAAGATTTGGCGCTTGTGGGTTCATCGGCATGAACGGTGGGAACATGGGCGGCTAAAAACCAATATGGAAAAGGTCCCAATAATATACCATCATAGGAGGCGGTAGGAAGAACGGAGGCACAAACAATTCGCCGGAAGATGGTTGGGGCATCTAAGTGAGCGTAATGTACAAAAATGATTTTTGATACCGCATTCGGGCTAGCAGCTGCAGAAGGCCCGGGCTGAGCGTTGTTGGCCGGTGGCGGGGGCATTTGCGGTTGCTGCCCAAGTTGATGGGCCATGAAGGGAAAACCATTGGCCGGGAACTGAAACTAAAAAAACCAACCCTATACACAAACAAAAGATTCCTGCCTGGAACAAGCGGCCCGCGTTTTCGGCAGGGTTGTTGTTGGGTGCCGGCACATTGTTGTTGTTGTTGTTATTATTATTGTTGTTGTTGTTCTGAGCGCCAGGCCTTGGAGCCGTCGCTAAATGTTTGCTTACACAACCTAAGTTAAAATCGCCTACGAGCCAAAATATTGGTTCGGCATGTCGGGCAGGTCTGTTGACGCTGGAACCAATTGCGGAGACACGTCGCATGGAAAACGTGGTTGCAAGGGAGGCGTTTGGGTTGTGAAGCCGCCGTCATCTCTTCGCGACAGATGATGCAGGTGGTGTCCAGATGAGCCAGCTCTTCCGCCGTGACAACCGGGAAGCGGCTAAAATGCGATGAGTGAGCTAGTTCTCCAAGAACAAACGCCAAAATGCAATAGCACCAACTTATTCATCGCATTAATAGCCCGCCGCGAGAACAGAACATCTGAGAACGCCTTCTTGAAGTCGCGTAGAGACAAATAGAACGGTCGGACAGAGAACAAAGGAAACGTGTTCGTTCGCATCATCACGGCCGCGAAAAGGAAATACAATCCGCAACGCAATGTACCTAAAGTCAATGAGCTAATAGGCAATCCCAACAGACTGATGAAAAGTTCTGAGTAGAGCATGTAGACCGTCTTGTTCTCCCATTGATCCGTTGAGCGGAGATCGTGCATATGCAGCACATATTTGATCGTCACGTGGAAGACAGTTAGCAACAGGAGTGCATACCTAAATTTTCCAATGTTGATCAGAAATTCCCACCCTCTAGCAAGCCGTAAAAAAACTTACTCAAACCCAAAAACGACTTGAGCTGTTGGTCCTCGTAGAGCCACGCTGAAGTAAGCGTGCGATACCATATAGGAATCAATAGCAGCAAGTACCATAATCAGCCCTAAACCGAAAATAATTTGTAGACAACTTGGTATATACCCATCATACGCATGTGAAACTTGATCGTAATAACAGGGCTTCGTTCCATCATATCCACACGATCTTCCGACAACCAATGGAAAGCCTTGATGAAGAGTAAGGTTCCAAATTGGAAAACGAAATAGGCGTTGAAATCGTCCCTGATGCTAAATAGAATCGTGGAAAATTCTAAAGTCGTACCTGAAGACAGTGAATGCGAGACACGTCTCCATCACGGTATGCCATGTGCGCTCCGAGAGGTGCTGAAAGAAAAAGAAAAATATCGCGACATAGCAACAAGAATACACAAAAAGCTTCAAAACCTTACCTCGGTTTCGCTAGCACGCAGTTCGCCGAAGAACAAATTGCGTAGCATTTGGAACAATAGATAGAGGAAAACCACAGCTTGAAGATAAAATACCTAAATAATAAATGGAGCTAATGGCAAGAACCCACAGCCATCGAGGCATTGCTGCGGGCAATATACTGCACAGCCGTAAAGAGCTGCTTGTGCACGACGAAAGCATGGATCAGAGTGGCTGCGGAAAGGAGGAACGATGATGTCACCACAACCACCGTGGTAACCCGCATCGCTGCAGAAGTTGTACAAAGACCTTCGACCTACATGTAAACGTAAAAATACTCACTAAGCAGATTCGTCAGGCATTCAAAAGGCCGACAGCCTTTGATCAAGAATACATAGTTTACAAAAACATTTATCAAGTGTGAAAAACACAAATTTTATTTTGCGGAACAACAAAGCAGGATGTGGAATCCAAAAACGAGAAAAAAGCAGCTAAGGTAGAAATCTGCAGAATACAGTTTACAGCGTGATCTATTGGAAAGCCCGTTGAAACCGGGAATTGCCGTAAGTGGCGTTAGATGCAATCTGACGCATATCACAATTCAACAGCCTGTAGCGTTAGAGTTAATTATCATTATGTATAGACAGACTATCACAGCATGAGTAAACACCAAGAAACCTGTTTTTTTTGTTACCACTCTCCCCCGAATCCAGCTTGGAGAGGCTTTCGGACAAGACTTGTAATCACCGCGAATTCGTGTTAATATAATACATCCGAAACTGCCCCTAGCCTAGGAATTCAGTCAACCCCTACAGATTAGCAAAGGAACCGGCAGGGTATTTAGATACGGTGTATTTTGAAGGGTGATTGGTCAAGCCGCGAAAATCATGTCAAAAACATCACAAACACGATGAAAAACACCATTAACACACCAAAAACCTTGATCATCAACCAACGATTCTGGCTGATTGAATGGAAGTAACGAACAATTTCGGAATGAGCAGCATCAATGTTGATTGACGTTTCTTCGACGTTTGAATCGATTCTAAAATGGAAAGATCGTTGAACATAGCAATCGAATACACGTACCTTTCAATCATCTCTCCCTGCTCGGTAACCAGTCTCGCTAACTGCGAGAAAATCTGCCCGAGCTCTGATACCGAGCCTTCAATCAATGCCATAGTTTCGGATCTCGATTGAGCGTAAGCGGTAGATTGATCAGCATGCATCTAACAAAAAATATCTTAGCCATACAGGTAATACCATTTGCTGAGATTGGTGATTCGCAAGGAGGTCCATATCCAAAGCAACGCTTCCGCCGGCGGCTAGATCATCTTCGACCAGGCGGGATCGCACTAAATAGGGAGTGTGAAGTGGGAAAAGAAGTATTACATAGCTCCTATCGTATCAAGCTAAAAATTACGTACTCCCAGAGTTCTTGCTAGATGTTGGGAGTGAGGTTGGAACGTTGTCCGCGGTCGAAAATTTATCGCGTCGAGTTTTTTGATCTTTCAGATTCTAAAAAGCGATATTACAAAATCATGGATGAAGACACCTGAGTGCGGACTTCGAGCACCGTTTGGAAATCCTTGGAGACATTGGCCAGTTTCGATTGGAGGCCGACGACAACAAGATTGGAATGTCCTTGCTCCTAAACAATGCGATTGACTTAGCTCTCGAAATCGATACCTGTTGTGAGTTAGCCTGACCACCGCGGCGCCTTGAGTACTCTTGTAAAGAAGCAATTTGCCGATTGAGATCTTTGATATCCTAGACAGATTATGATAAGGCTTCTTATCCAAACTCACATCAGTGATTTCACGTGAGAGTCCCTCAACTTCAGTTCCATCAATGAACAAGCTTTTCTTTTTAGCCAATTCGGCCAACCGTTCCATCTTGGCGCATGTCATCGTCAATTGCTGGCCGATTCGCCTAAAAGCGCTTTAGAACCATAGTAGTAGAATAAAGTACTTGGCGATGTCATTGAATCGTATCGATTCACCAATCATCCCATTGCGATTCGGCCGCGTCGAAAGTTCATTAGCCCGCACTTTTAACTAAAAAGCTTTGCCGTTAAGAGCACATTCAATACCTGAAAGGATTCCGAGGCCGCTTGAAACTCGCGCGTGCGATCCCTGGATGGCATGTTGAGAGGAACCTTTTCTTCTTTTCCGAAAAACAGAAATTCAACCTCTAAAAACACTAAATATAACAGAATGGCAATAACCTCGTAATTCGGCGGGTTCGTCTTCGACAACGGGTAATTGCGTGAAGCTCGCCGACGTAGGGATGTACTGCGACGGTTGAAAGCCCGAAAACGCCTCCTAAACCAAAATTTAGCAAGGATGATAACGAAACCTGGGCCGAAGTCCACAACTGGGTTGTGGAGGTTCCAAAAACTTTGTTGATAGGGTTGTAGAGATGGCTCTGCAAAAAGATATGGATTGTGAGAAACAAAACCGAATTCATGCCGGAAAAATGGTGGAATGGTCATCCCGAGGAAAATGTCGAGAGAAATCGAGAAATTTTCAGAAAATGAAACGCTGCCGCCCTACAAAACCAACGGCGCAATTGTACATAGTGCGCCGCGTACTCAACTAAAAACGATTTCATTTACCTGAAAACCGTGCTGCTTTTGCTCTTCAGGAGAAGGCTCAAAATCGATAGTAGTGTTGGAGGGAGCGTGGTAGCCTTCACCGGCTGCCTCAGTTCCCCTGTGTCGTCGTCGCGATCGAATCGCAGATAAATCAGACATCCGACATCCAAAAAGACGCTGGAATGGAAGCTTTCCAAAGCAAATAGGCAATATATTTGAGGTTCATAGGAATAGATTGATAAGTAAAACTTATGGGATATATAACTATTGATCTTATCATAAATTACCGATCAAGCGGAAAAGAGAAAAGGGCGTCGAAGGGAGTGCTCAAGAAGAAGCTTTTATGCTTTCAAAGATGGTCTACATGAATGATCATCAAGCGATTTCAATTGGCACAACTGTCAAGGGCCGAGGCTATTTCTTTGTTTCATACGATTTCAGTTTCAATGAAGATAGGCCTATTGGTGTTTCCAGAGTTCGAGGAGAGAATACTGATCCTAGATAATCGATACATTGGCTGATAGATAGCGATTTCTCTGTTTCAGTATTGTTGAAAACAGTTAGTCGGGATACACGTAGCTTTCTAGTTCTACGTAGTTTGTAGGCCATCCACGGGATAGGCGGCATTGCAAAGCAGCCAGCACGACCCGGGTCCCGGGCCAAGACCAGTCTTTGGAGCTCATTCTAACCTTAATCCGGTGGTAGTCATCGATTTACAGCTCTTATTTCCTTAATATAATAGACTTAACCAATTTTCAGGTAATGAAGCTGCGGTTACTGCTGTCGGCCTTGCTGGTGGCGTCCGTTTGTGCCCAACATCAAGCACAACCACAGGTTCAATAATTTTTCATCGTATTTGTATAAAATGGACAAACAGGTAGCTCATGGACTTTTATAGGCAAAGGCATAACATTGTCTGATCCCTCCACGTTGATTTATATAGGTCATCGAAGTTATTATATTAAACACAACATTTTGCAGCAGCCAGGCATGCATGCCCAACCAGCACCTGCCCAACATACTCAGGAGTTTGGAGGGAAAAGCGCCCATGATGCCGAGTGAGTTTTTTTCCACAGCGCGCAGTATTTTGTTAGGCATATCAAGGAACATCTTGACGGTAAAGTTGACCCGACCTCCCAAATGACCCCGGAGCAGCTTCAATTCCATTACTTCAATATGCATGACCTTGACAAGAATGGAAAGCTGGATGGCGTCGAGTTGATCAAGGCCATAACTCACTTCCACAACGGTTGGTTGATAAGTGCTTTTACCCACAGCTTTTCCGCAGATCAGTAATAGTGGTTAGCTGGTAACGGCGAAATTTAGCGTTTTAACCTAGATTTTACTAAAGTGTTTTGATAATCTGAAAAATTTTTGATCAATGCTAAGCTGATTTTCAGAGAATCCTGGTCCGCAACATCAAAACTCCGGTGCCCCGCCTCCGCTTCCAACAGAGGTAACAAAATATGCCCAAGTCTAAAATAACGGGTCTACAATAATCTTGAGTTTTCAATTTTGTTTGTCAGTCTTGAAATAGAAAGATAAACATTCGCGCAATTGCAGGTCGAACTTGAGTCAATGATTGATTCGATTCTGCGCGAAGACGATTTCAATGGCGACGGCCTCATCGATTACGGCGAATTTTTGAAGGCTCAGAAGATGAGGGAGGATGCCGCAAGGTAAACGCTGCTTTAAATTATTAAAAACAACGATTTAGTGGGCATGGAGAAATTTGAGGTAGGTTGATACTGTCGTGGTTGAACTAGTTGTTATTGAGTGAAACAGTTATGCATCAATCAAGGCGCCTACTACAGAAACTAACTTACGAATTTGAATTCTAGAAACCACCAGCAGCAGATGCAGAACCAACAAGCTCAGGGACAACAGGCCCCTCCCCCGCAGCAGCCACCACAGCACTGATGAAGCTCGTTAGGCATTTCCTGGATTCTAGGTTGCGATTTGTTTCATATATTCCCGCTGTGATACCATCCCTCACTAAAAAAAGCCAAAGTATTGTAGCAGCATAATACCCAGATTTTCGCATATTCCGTTGGCATCTACTTTCCGATTCTTTGGGTTTTTTTTTGGTTACTCTCTACATTGTGGTTTTCCCAGACCGTCATGGGCATTTTTCCCTTTTTGTATAATGCGTTGTGAATTGTTTAATCCTGGCCTCTGTGATTGCGTTTTTTTAATAAAATATTACAGAACAAGTAAAGACGAGAGTGCGTACGGGAGGGAACCTGGAGTTCAGCGGAGGCTAGGAAATTTTTTGATTCCGTTACATTACGCAATGACCATCAAGGATATGACACCCTATAGCGAGTTAAGCTAGCGTCTTCAAGCGATTCATCTAATTTCTTCTTTCTCCTCCTAAAGTCCCCTAGTCCGCCGAATTCCTTGAAAGAAGGCTGAAAAGCATCTTTTGTGGCGAAAGATGTGCGACTTGGGGGCCCTTCGTCCCTCATCATTCTTCAGCCCCGGAAGCCGCTTTCCAGCCCCGCAAAAACCCGTCTTTTCTCCCCCCAATGGATCCTCCCCCCCTCCTACGCCCACCAACGAATTCTGAAGCGCGACCCGAGATCCGGGAGGGGCCTTGTTTTCCACTTGTCAGAACCGAATTTACCCGGCCGCACATCTAATGTGGCCATTTGGAGGCTAGCTTTTTCAGCTTCTCCCTCTGATCCGGAAACTCAAGCATTGCGCGCTTAACAAAAATTCGAGGTTGTTTTACTGTAGGTGATGCAAACGGGAAAACTCGACAATATCGACATCCAACCTCAAAATACCAACAGCCAAAATTCCGATAGCCAAAATCCCCGACAGCCAAAATCACGACAGCCAAAATCGCGACAGCCAGAAACTCCATATCTTAAAATCGTTTATGGGCCAAACGACCGGAAATATCCCCTTTTGGATGTCAGGATTTTGAATGTCGGGATTTTGGCTGTCGGGATCTTGGCTGTCGGGATTTTGCATGTCGGGATTTTGAATGTCGGGATTTTGAATGTCAGGATTTTGGCTGTCGGGATTGTAGCCGGAATTTGAGCCTAGAACATACTGGCTTGTCACTACTGGCTTACTGACTACAAAGAAGACACTTGCTTTCTCATCTTCCCCCTACCAAACCTTCCCAACGACAATCGTGCTGCTGGAGGGGCCCATTTCAAGGCCGGGAAATTGCCCCCACCAGCCATTCGAGCGTCAGAAGGTCGTGTATGTATGATGTGCGTTGTGTACGGCAAGGCACAAGCATACTTTTTTTTGTTCTTAGGAAAAGGTTAAATAAACCATAGTTTACGTCCACGACTCCCACAACCTTTTCTTGAAACCTTCCGCTTTTACCCAAGTTTTGACGAAGTTTCAGAATTTTCAAGTGATGGATCCAGTGGCTTCTCCCTCGAGATGTGTTGTAGAGAGGACAATTCGGTCTGCAGTGAAAGCAGTGTACGTTAGCTGGTACTGGACTGTTATCGGGGGGGGTGGGCAGCAGGGAGAATTGATTTTGTTTCGGTAATCCTGTACGGTCTTATGACAAAATAAACCATTTTTATAGCATTTTACTCAGTTTTTAGGATTAAAAACTTCTTAAAATTAGTCCCCCGCTAACAGTCTAGTACCCGAAAGTTTTCCGTTATATTATTTTCTTACAAGGAGTCGCTTTTAGGTGCTTTTGGAGTTTCGGGACGGGACCTAGCTAGTTCGATAGAGAAAAAAAATTCTGAGCAACATCCCGTTTTCAAAAAGTGCTGATCGATAAAGGACTTTAGAAAATTTAATTTAAAGTTCGTGTTTTTTTTCTAGTTTTCGGGTCCATTTCCTCGGTTCGCGTCGTTGTCGGGGCTAACCGGTCACCATTCATAACCCTCCGCCAAAGCGTCTATCACAGGTTGCATTGGCATATTGGTAGCGCGCTTGCTTACCAACTTTTTAACATTTTTTTGCTTCGGGTTCAAATCTTCGCGTTGGCTAACCCTTTGCTTTTTGTTTCTTGAACCCGTTATCGGTGCATAAAATTTTAATTAGCAAAAAAGCAAAGAGTTAACGATAAATAAGAATCGAACTTGTGGCAAAAGGTCAAAAAAAACTTCGTAGGCCAACGCACTAGCCACTTGGCCATGCATAGGACGGGATGCAAGGCGCGTGAAGTCCTCATGTGGTAGGGGCGATCGACAGCCGCAAATCACCTCTAATCACCACAAGGGTCCGGACACCGATAACATTTTTAATTAAATTCAATTTTCTAAAACAGCTTTATCGATCAGCACTTTTTGAAAACGGGATGTTGCTCAGAATTTTTTTTTCTCTATCGAACTAGCTATGTCCGGTCCCGAAACTCCAAAAGCACCTAAAAGCGACTCCTTGTTAGTTGCCGGAACAGCTCCCCTCAACGACTCAGCGGCCATCGCCCTCGTTTCGCGCAAATGCTGAAGCGCTGCTCGAAGGCATCGATCAGCGATAATGTATATATCCTTAGCAGGTAGCGAATAAGCACTATCTACAATTATTACACCCGTTTTTGTAGCTTTTCCGGCCGCGCCTTGTTGGCAGAAAATGAAGAAATCGATCGGATATGTGAAGATTATTCGAAAATTGCCGACAAGTACGGGCTGTTCGAGAAGATGTTTATCCAGCTCTTCATGGTATGCACTCAAGTTTTTATTGAACTTGTGGACCTGACCATTCCTTTTTTTTTGAATGTTTGTATAAGTCAGCAGACAACAGAAGGAGGGGAACGGCCACCCGCTTCTCAACGGACCCCTAGGGAACGACAAAAAACTTCGGGATGCCCCGCGGGGGAAACAGCTATATTTTAGCCATTCACTTCCACTGTGGAGTCAATCCTCTTTTCTTGGAAACGATCTGAACGGAATAGAGAGGGATAGGGAAACGTGTATGTTTCAGGACGATGACTTCGAATTCGCTGTGCACTTTGGACTCGAGAAGTTGACGGTTGAGACGTTAAGACGAGAGCAGAAGTTTCGGACGCATGTTGGTAAATTTCAGAGGTTGGTTTTGCACGTGGTTGCTTGATGTTACACTCAGGTTTTGCTGGCTTTGCTTAGCCTAGACCTAGCGTAGGCTTAACTTCGGCTCAGCTTGGACTTAGCTTAGTATTGGCTTAGGCTTGGCTTAGGCTCAGCTTAGGCTTAGCTTAGCCTTTGGCTTCGTCTAGGCCTGGCTTTGGCTGAACCTAGACCTAGCTTAGGCTTAGCTTCGCCGTGGCTTTTTTATATTTACAACACATCAAAACTAGGTTTTCATTATAGATCAAGGTCATGCTCAAGTCTTGCTCAACGTATAGACAGTTAGACCCCTTTTTTCAGATTCATGAACTCCTTGATGGACATGCTGTCGAAGGGAGCGCAGAACGGTGAACAAGTCGTGCACATGCTGAGGTCGGGTTGCATCTATTCAGCCAAACGGGTGATGACGGGTGGCTATTCCGGGACTTCCCCCGAGACACCACATCAAGGCTCGGCCTCCCCCCGTCGGTCATGAGGGGCTGCTGCCTCACTGGGATCGAGAACTCGCCGCAGGGCCATAAGTATAGATGTCTTTCACCAAAACTTTCACCGCGCTTCCGTTTTGGCATGGAAGATAGCAAGGACCCCTGGAGAATTCTAAAGACAACGCAAAAAACTCAAAATTATCTTAAAACCTTCAGAATCATCGGCCGTCAGCATACCAATGTACGCTCGATGTCGTTTACCGCCGAGAAATGGCTGATTTTCAAAAACGTCATGCTGACGCTGCTGTGCCCGGAAATTAATGTGGGTTTTAGGGAAGTGGAAGCAACCCTTGGAAGCCATTGCGGTTCTTTCGTATTATCGGGGGGGAGGCAGCCTTTTTTGGATCCAGTTTTTCAAATATAAACAATTCAAGTGTTTCTAAGTGTTTTTACTATTAATAGACGTCAAAACTTTCAAAATATTTTATTAAAAAATGTTAAAAGCATCGTTTTTTCGATTAAAAATGGCCAGTTTCCCCCAAAATTTCGACTTTTTCAAAATTTTTGTATAGTTTTTGCATAGTTGAAATATAGTTTTTTGCTTTCCTAAAAATACTACTAAAATACTTCCTACTAAGCTCCTGGACATTTCTCGACTTGTACACCCCCCGATAATGCACAAGAACCGTCATTTCAGATAACCTACCCCACATGGAGCAAGTTGATCAGCTTTGTCATCTACGAAATCAAGGACAGCTATTTGGAGCATGTGGGTTTGAATAAAGAGATGGTGTAATCTGTGTTCCTCAGGCACCACAAGTACGATTTTTCCATAATTACAGGTGCGCCAGCTTCGCTCGTCTTCGTGCCCCCAGATTGCCCAACTGACCATAATCCGTAAGGAACAATGTGTTATGCTGGTGAGGGAATTAATGTTTCTGTGAGCTATGTTTTAGCCTAAGAAATCTACCTCACGTAAGGAATCGTTTGCCGGAAAATAAGCTTTTTGTGTAAATGATAATAAATTTTTATGTATATTTGATTGTTTCCGTTCGCAAGCAATTTTATTTTGCGTAAAAATCCGTCAGAAATAAATACAGCGATCAGATCATGGAAGGGGAAGCGGGGAGTGAGGCTCATTTAGAAAGGTGAAGCCATTTCGGGAACACAGTGCCGTGTGCAGAGGTTGTTTGAGGGGAAATTGTTCTCGTTTCCGCCGCAACCCTGCCACCAAAATGGCTCGCATCGCTGCAGGGTTGGGGAGTAGTAGAAGCGATGTTCCCTAAATAGCGTTTTTTCACTTTCAAAATTTTTTAGAGCTATGAAACTAGCTCCAAAAATTGAAAAAAGGTGTCAAAACCTATAAAAATTGGCTTTATGAGGCTTAAAATTCAGCGGAGAAAAACATACCACCTTGCCGCCACACAGTCCTGATGGCCAACATCCCTTGGGAGTTGGCAGTTCGCCACGTCAAAACTATTTTTCATTTCTAAAACCTTTTTCGATTTTGTGGGACCCGTATTTGAATAGATGATCGCGACATACTATAAATCAAAATCAAATAAAACGAGCATGCAAAAAGGGGGGCAATTTGGAGGTATTTCCTAAAGGAGTACAGAATTCTATATATTCATCTATTTTTAATAGCCATCACATACAGCCGATATCTAGGGGTAAAGCTTTATGATCCGTTTAGAGTCAATATCTCGACATCGCTACAAAAAGCTGAAGCGCCCAGAAGCCGGGCCAAACAGGCCTGGGCCAAGGCCAAATTGGGACAGCCAGTTGTGGGCCTGTTGGGCAGCAACTTGAGGAATAGCTGCGTTGCCACCCTGTTTCAATTCTTGGGCCGTCATTAGCCCTTGTTGGATGAGGCCCAGTAAGTCACCACCACCACCCTGTCCTCCTTCTCCTGTAGGTGGTGGTGGCGGGGGAGGGGGAGGTGGAGGAGGACGAGGTCCGAATCCGGATGCGCCCCTAGGTGGCGGGCCATCTTCGTCTTCTGGATTCGGTATTTTTGGCCAAGGACCGAGAAGTCCATTTCCGGAACGGCCAGGCTGGGGAGGCCATGGCGTTGAAGTCGGAACTACACGCCGCGGATGGGGCTTCGGCCGGGGCGTTGTAAGCGCGGCAGCCTTCTGCTCTTCCAGTTCTGGAAAATCGCTTAGGCTTAGGTTCAGGTTTAGGCTTAACCTTAGGCTTATGCTTAGCTTTAGGTTTAGCTTAAGCTTAGCTTAGGCTTAAGCTTAGGCTGCGCTTCGGTTTCTTCTAAGGCTTAGGCTTAGGCCTGGGCTTCGGTTTAGGCATAGGCTTAGCTTAGGCTTAGGCGTAGACTCAGACTAGGCCTAGCTTGGGCTTAGGCTTCTGCTTAGACTTAATCTTAGGAATAGGCTTAGGCTTAGAATTAGGCACGCTGCTTTTTGGCTTAAAATATTTCGATCTTTTACCGTTGCCAGGGATGTAAAAAAATTGTAAACAAGCTGGTTAACTTATACGAACCAAAAGTAAGTGAATATTTAAAAAAATATCATGCAATGGAAGCAACTTACGGACACATAAATCGGCAATCCGCTCACATTCCCTGCGTGTGTTGAAGAGATTCGCGTTCGTTTCATCGGTGCGACAGCCGGGGAACCAAAATTCGTCGCATTCGAAGGTTTCTTTATTGTAGACGTATCTGAGAGGGAGTTTTGCACGGTTAGGGGAATCTGGTTTTAGATTTACTTTTGTGAGAAGCCACAAAATCGTCCGGTTGGTGGGCCCATTTCACAGATGTCGCGTGGGCGCACATTGATAGGGGCCGGACTCACTTTGGGTGCCGGAAGAAATGGGCTTGGCGTAGCACCTAAATTCAGCTTTTTTTCCGTTATCGATTAGGTTGGCTGGAAAGTTTTTAAAACGTTGCTGTAGCTGTCAAATTTCGATATTAAATGATGATTTTTCAATATTCCCTGATGATTCACATACGAACCGTTGACTCCGAACGTTCACGGAGTCTAGAAATGTCTAGTTACTTGTTAGAAATTATTTTGATAGTGTTTTAGTAAAATATAACTATCTTTTAATTATCAAAACTATCTAAAAACTTCACAACATTTTTGAAAACCTCGAAATTTTGGTAAAAACCGGCCATTTTGGTCAAAAAATTTGATATTTTTGGCGTCTTTTAATAAAAATTTGGAAAGTTTTCACGTTTAGGGATAGTGAAAAACCGCTTAGTAACCCTCCACTATTTATATTTCAGAAATTAGGTCCTAAGAAAAAAGTTGCCCCCCCGATAATGCGAAAGTACCAATCTATAGAGATTTTATTAAAAACTTTCTAATTCTAGCGTAATAATCTGAAAAAGTTAATTTCCACAACCTATCAGCTTCATTAAAATTTTTGCAAGCTACCAAACCCCACCAAAACCATTTGCATCAACAAACAAGAGACCATCCAACAATAACAAAGCCGATGTGTCACCCAACCTTCTCTATTTCCCTTTTTTGATACTTCCCCCATTCATCCCCGGTGAATCACCCCAACCGAGAAGAAATTGGTGGTAGCGTGGGAATGGGGGGGGAGAAAGCTCGTGCTCAAAGGATTGTGGAGAACTGGTTGGTTTTGGGGGATCGCATACACACAGAGACGCACACATTCTTTTGTATTTGTTGCGCACGCGAGACGGCCGTTATCCCGGGGGCACGGAAAAACGCGGCGAACTTTGCATAAATGCCTTAGAAAACGGCAGCAAACCAAAAAACGTTTGATTACCTGGGAAAACGAGGGGAGGTGGTGTGTTGGATGGTGGAGTTATGCCAAAAATCGAGGGTGGCATCGTGAATATAGGGGCTGATGTGGTGGCTACGGTACCAAGTGGGACGCCACCATTCAGCGCTGTTACACACTAAAAAGTTAGAATTATTTTAAAGAGTTGGGTTCTGTACTCTTAACGGGGGTGGGGTGGGGTTGAGTGGGGAAACCAAATTTTTGCCAGTAATTCCGTATGGCCCTATAGCGAAATATTAACCATTTTCATGACATTTTACATGGTTTTAAACTTACACCCTAAAAACCCATAAAAAAGTTCGACAATTTTCGATGTTTTGGTCAAAAATCCAGGAAAAATGGCTAATTTTCCAATTTTAAAAATAGTTAAAATATTTTTTATATCTTTCTAACAATCAAAAAAACAAAAAAAACCAGGATAAAATGCAGTAAATATTATCAACAGGTAGATGTAGATGCAAAAAGAAAAAAAAGTGGTTCCACCGGCTAAACCCCCCCCGCTAACAGTCCAGAACCAAAAGTTTAAAGACTTTAAAAATATAGTTTCGAAGTCTAGGGTACACTTGATAGCCTAAAATGCACCTCGAACGGTATGGCCCGGCAGAGATTAGCGGTTTTGTCTTGGTATTTTGCCGCTGGTCTCGAGCAGACTTCCAGCGGAAAATTGCATGTAAATGGACTGCACTCCCGGGTGGCCACTGAGACGTAGCTCGAGTCGCCTACCCATTCTTCGCCTAAAACAGAATTTTTTTGGCAGCCAGACATCTTTTAAAAAATTTCGATCTTCATAACGATCAACCTAAAAACTAACATTCCTCAAACTCGAACAGCTTCTCAAGAAATTTGTCAAGCTCCTTCGGCACGTCGGCAGAGACATAACACAGCGAGACGGTGAGAATCAAGGTGAGCACGACGGATGTTGGGGAGAGTGGATGATTGGGCGGCGGCATTAGAGATTGCCGTAGATCTTCACTCCGCCCGTTCGATTCGATTGGCGCGTGGGCTTGGTGGGAGCGCTGCCGCGCCGGGCTGGTTTGCACGCCCACACCACGAAACACACACACATGCATACACCCCCTCGGGCGGGCATACCGGGGGTGGCAGACGGGCGGAATTGTGAGTAGAAGATGATACCACTACAGTATAATGAAGGGTCTGGAACCAGGAAATGGGTTTGCATATGGCAGATTATTAAGATGTGAACCTGTAATAAGAATTTTAAATGGTTTTTTTCAGACCTTTCAGTTATGGTTAAACCTACCCCTGCAATTTAAGCTTAACAAATTTTCATTCCCTGTCAAGAAAACTTCCCTGGAACTCTATTGATCACCCCACAATGTGGACTATTTGGTACTCATGCACTTAAGGGGGGGAGTCCGGTTTTCGACTACAAGACGCTCCAAAAGCCGTTTTTTTAAAACTCTAAGCCTCCGAAAAAGATAAGCGAAGCCTAAGCCAAGGCTTAGTTTCATAAAAATGCTGCCTGAGCTTGGCTTCGTCCAATCTAAGCTTGGCTCTAAGCTAACATGCTGAAGCTTATGCTTAGGCTAAACTCAGCTCTAAGCTAAATGACCCCATTTTGACCTTGTCAGGCAATTTAAGCTTATCCCCTATCACTATCAATTTCCAGTTTTCGGCTGCCCCCCCCCCCCAACTGCATTAGTACCGACCATTTTCTCATAACCAATTTTTGGTGTTTATCGGCGGTTTCGGCATTTTGTTTCTTCGGCATTTAGATGTTTTGACATAACTGACCGGATACAGCAAAGCTAATTTAGTACAAAATTAAGTTAATGAAAAATTAACACCACACCCGAGCTTCAGTCAGCTATCAAATCACGATTTTTGGGAATTCTTCGAACCGTTTGACTTCGACTTCGACTTTGACTTCAAACCTTCTTCGAACCAAACGGAGTAGATCTACCGCGCAGCTGCATATAACCCCCCCAGCTATCTCCCGCCCCGGACTCTTTGCAGTGCGATACGGTGGAGCTATGCTGTCCTCTCGCTGGGTGGGCTATGCATCGATCCTACGCCTCCCATATGTAGTACTCAGAAGCCCATTCCCCCACATTTCCTACAGCCTTTTCTCTTTCTTTTTGTCTTCATTTTATATATCTCTTATCATTTTTTTAATTTTCAGAATCCCCCGCTATGGACCAAGTACAAGCCATCGTCGAGCCGGCCAAGCAGTTCGCCAAGGATTCGATTAGGCTGGTCAAGAAATGCACAAAGCCCGATAGGAAAGGTTAGTTTTTTAAGTTAGAAATTTTATTGTCAAGATTTTGTCTGATTTTATAAAAGGCTGGCCAATTTTTAGTTTTTATGAGTTTTGTCGACAAATTTTCCATAGAAAACCGATCGCTGTATTTTTCAAAAATGCCCCAGGTTTTCTTATAAGCATCTAACTTTCAAACGAGCTTGGAAGTATTTAAATTCCGCCTTTTCTAACCTTACAAATCCTCATTTTTCAGAATACCAGAAGATCGCCATTGCCACAGCTATTGGGTTCGCCATCATGGGCTTCATTGGCTTCTTCGTCAAGCTCATCCACATCCCCATCAACAACATCATCGTCGGCGCCTAATTTCTTCTAGCCTACCATGCACATCGAATGCTATATCTCCAACAATGTGATCGCGTCAAATTGTTTCTGTTTTTTTGCGGGTGAGGATTTGTGAGTATGCTCTTAACAATTCCATTGTTATACGTTGCAATTCCTTATCATTTTTTGTAGTTTATACATTGATAATAAAATATTTTTTCTGATGAGGCTAGTTTCCACAACAAAATTACGTGTGATTCTAGGTACCCGCGCTATTAGTGTCAATTTTCCAGTTTTCATATTCCGGGCGAGCTTTTGAATTCCCGCGCCACATTTGCCTCCGGATATGCAGGCAAATTTTCGAAGTCAACGAAATAAGGGCCCATCGCTTCAATCAGGGCGGGCTCTTTTTTTGTTGGAAGCCGATCTTATCGGAGTGTAATAGATCTAGGATTCTTGCCATCTCCCCTTCTCTTAGTCTGCACTGAAACTATAATGTATTGAACTGTAATGTATTTTTAAATGCCCCTCTTCATCGATTTCCACCTTGGAGGCACGAGATATCGCGTGACCTTACAGTGACCTTTGTTAGAATAAGCTAGCTTTCATCACCTGAGGCACTTTCTTCCGCCCGGTGATCCTCAGCTGCCCTATGTATGTCTTGTAGTGTGACCTAGTAGCTCACCCGCGCAAAATAGTTATAGCCTAGAATGGTGAAAGTCGTGATCTTGGTCGCCGGAAAGCGGAAGAGCGGCAAGGATTTTGTCAGTGGACGAATCCAAGACATCTTGAGCAGACAGTGTGGCGTGGAGATGGGCAGCGTCAGCCAAGGCTTGAAAAAGGAGTACGCAAGGCTACACGGTAAGTGGAGCCATACAGTAAAACAGAAGCTTATATTTTTAGGGTTGAACTACGAAGAACTCTTGACCGATGGGCCATACAAGGAGGAGTATCGCAAGGATATGATCCGATGGGGTGAAGAGCAACGGGCGAAGGACCCACATATATTTTGTAGGTGGGTTAGCTAGCTTGAATTGAAACGTGATCATTTGTTTAGGGAAACATTGCGGACCGAGTCTTCAGCTGCCGATGTACTGATAATTACGGACTGTCGCCGGGAAACGGATATGCAGTTCTACAAATCTTTGCCAGATACGCTAGCCATCACTGTTCGCATAAGCTGCTCCACAATAGAACGAGTTAAACGAGGGTAGGTCCAAATCACGGTAAAGGTCGCTTAAAGGGGGGTGGAAATAACAAAATAGAAACAATTTTTGTATTTTAAAGAATATCCTGCTATTTCGAAAACGCCATCGGATAAATCGCCAAAAATTATACTAAGAAATTTAATTTCAGTCCCAAAAACCACATTTTTAACGAATTTGGATTGATTAAACTATCTAGGTTAAAAAATTAATAATCTTAAATTATGGTATTTCGGGCTTAAATTAAATCTTTTAGGATAATTTTTGGCGCGCTATCCGATGGCACTAATGAAATCCCCACGAAAAAAAACTGAAAAACGCCGAAAATCCCGAAAATTACGGTCATCTTATGGTTATACTTCAGGTGTATAGCTTTGTTTCTTTAATAACGAATTTAAATTACATTATTTTGGGCCGAAATTAATTCCCTTAGTACATTTTTCGATGTTCTATCCGATGGCATGCTTGATTGTCAAGACCAGGTCCCTATAGGGGAAAAGTTGTTTACAGGCCCGTTATTCCCCCCCCCCCGTTAAGCGACCTTTACCCAAGTCACTGCCGGGCGCCACAATAGCTAATTTCTAGCTTCGAATACAACAGCGTCATTGACGATAGCCAATCAGAGTGCGGTCTCGACAATTATCCCTTCGACTTCTACATCGACAACTCTGGCGATGCCGATTTGCTTGCTGGTTCTCTTGAACAATTGACAGTACGGGTCTTTGCAGCGCTGTGAATTTCCACAAACCTTGTAAACGATTTTATTTCAAACGACAATCGTCAGATTGATCAAGTGCATAATAAAGGTCTGACCCGTTGAAGAAGACTAGATACACACACACTTTGGAATGGCAACATGAAAAAAGGACAAAATGAAAAGTGAGAGTAGAGGCCTAGAGACAAGCAACCTTTTCCGCAACAACAAGTAGTCCTTGAAAAACTTCTGACGCGGAAGGGATGATTCGACACGTCGGTAGAATGAAATCATATCTGAAAAAAGAAATAACTCGCTGTCTGTTTAAATTTGAAAATTAAAATTAAAATTTATTTTTAAAATTTTATTAATTTAAATTTCAAGTAAATTAAATTTTAAATTAAAGATTTGAAAATTAAATTCAAACGTTCGGATGTCCTTACTGAGAATCATTGTCTCCTGGGGGCAGTTCCACTGTGTAGACGTATTTGATCCCAATACTCTTGGCGTAATCGTCAGAAGCCCCTGCTGCCGGGTCTAAAATTGTAGGTCGTGGCGGATCAACTCCTGACTGCTGGTCGTGGCCGATCAACTTACACATGCCGTCAGCTGAGTTCTCAACGTTGTACTTCGTCCCGCGAACTTTTGCTATCGCGGCGCTAGCTGCATTTCCCAAATCAATCTAAAGCAAATAAAAAATTATAAAAATCCTCACCAAATCCTGAACATCAGCGGGATAGGTATGACTGGCATATCCCCATGGGTATACCCAGTTCTGTCCATAACTGTGAAGGGTCACATAGGCCTAAAAATCGATGAAGAATTTGGAAGTAAGTAAGGAAAAAGTGGTGCTAATGCAGTTGGGGGGGGGGGGTCCGAAATTGGTAGTAAAGGGCTACGAGGCACTCCGCTTCAGCTACTTGGTTTTGGCGTCAGCTTGGGCCAACTTACAATGTTAGCTTTAACCATGCTTAGCTTAGGCTTAGGTTTAGGACTAAGCGCAGCCAAGCTTATCTTCACTTTAAATTTCTACGAGGTCAAAATTTATGGATCATCTTGTCGCCAAGCTTAGCTTGGCTCCAGCTAAGCTTAGGCTTGGTTTGTATGAAGCAAAGCCTAGCTTTAGACTCAGCTTAGTCAAAGGCTTCGAGTATAAAAAACGGCATTTGGAGCGTCTTGTAGTCAAAGCCCGGACCGCCCCCCCATGTGCATTAGCACCGGAAAAGTGTACCTTTATCCGGTCCTTATTTTGATCCAGATAACTCTTCAATGTTTTCGTCTCTGGCTCGGATGCAGCGTTAGGGCCAGGCCAGATTTCACTTAAAATACAATTTTTCGAATTGAAAATCATTCTCACCTGCACTGGTTATTTTCAACCCCAGAATACCCGAAATAATAGGGAAAGTTGCGATTCAAGTCAACACCGTAGCAGCCGGTCGATTGGGGTGTTCTGAATAATCTCATCCTTTCACCTTTTTAATTTGCAAAGCCGGTGTCCAACATAAGACGAAGAAAACCTCACAAGTTTTTTCGCCACATTCTGGCTCCTCGTCGAGTAAAGGTATAACCGTCAGGATTCAGATTCGGAACTATGATGATATCAATTTGTTGGAGAAGCGCCTTGTATTTGGTCGAATTCGTCAACTAAATAACCGTGACAAGAACCGAAATAATGTTTTACCTCGTTAATTATCCACAGCGCAGTTGCAGGGGCAATCCATTCCCTCGCATGTATACCGGCATCGATGAAGAATGCCGGTTTTTGAGAAGCCGCTGGGTATCCTATCTAAAATTTAACGTTGTAACGGAAATCGAGAGCACCGTCAAGTATTTGATATCGCGTCGAGCCCAACTTTGTCCCATGACGTCGAGCTTCACAAAGTCCGGATGAGCTGTCGCAACATCGGTGATGAAGTCTACTTGCTAAAATCGATAGTTCAAAAACTCTGAAACATGTGGGGTGCCTCATCATAATCGTGGTAGTCATCGAGGGCAAATGCTCGCTTCTTCTCCCCATTTTGCAGAGGCGCCGATGCGATAGAGCGCCGTTGACGAGATGATGCAGGCTCTGCCGTGAAGCGCGCCTCTAAACCAAATCAAGTGATGGATTGCAGCAACTACCTGAAACCCGAAACGCTGAGCCAGTAGCGTTCAAACGATGGAGGACCTGGTCGACCTCTGGCGGGGAGAGTAGCAGAACAGCTTTTTGGCCGGTTTGCCGAGCTTTTCGTATGAAGTCAACCTAAAGCAATGGATGAGGCCTAGGCTTAGACTGGGCTTAGCTTTCATTCTGCTTAGGCTTTGTTTTGGCTTAGCTTAGAATTGGTTTTGGCTTTCGCCTAGCTTAAGCATAGTCTAGACCTAGCTTATACTAAGCCTAGTCCTAGCTTAGACTGAGCCTAAATTTAGCTTAGGCGTGGGCTTAACCTTGGCTTGGCTTAGGTTAGCTTAGGCCAATCTTGGCTTGGTTAGCTTAGGCTTGGAGACCAGCTTCAGTCAGTAATAGGCTCGAAAAAAGATAACGCCCCCTAGCTAGCTCAATAGCTCTAAAATTGCTACTGTGAGACTGAGACAGTGTGTGTGCTACGACTTACGTTATGCTCGGTATACAGCTTGCTCAGCGCGGCCAAATCTCGTCGATTTCGTGCTGAGACTTCCACCAATTTGTAACTGAATTTTTACTTGAACGACAATCACGGGAAACTTTGAAAAACTTCAAGGAGCAGAAATTTCAATGCTCTTTTCAAAATATTTTTCAAAACAGACGATAAAACAAATAAAAATAAAACCGACCCTTTGTAGAAGTGATCCGCATCGACAGCGACGAGTAATAGAAAAAATATCCATGGGACCATACTAGGGCTGAAAAAAAGGGAAGTGTCCAGCTCCCGGAAAGCGCGACGAGGGATTCTTGATACACACCAATGGAAGGTGTACTTCGGAATGTAGCGGAGAAAATGCAACGAAAATTCGAAAATACGAATATTCGACAAAACAAAGTTTTCTAGGAAAATTCTTATGAAAATCTATGTAAGGTATGCTGAAATAAGTGGGTAAGGAGGTGGAGCTCGGGGCTTCATCTGGAGAAGCCGTAGGAGTCGGCCCCCCAGATCCAGCGCGGGGTCGCTCTTTTTCCGTCTATGTCTCGACATGAGCCGAAAAACGCAAGAGTGAATCCTAAGAGGCGGAATTCGAACACTAGACATGTCTGGCAAGGGTACGAGACATTGGGTAAGCGGCAACGAAATTTCCCATAGGGCCCCCTAGGCCAATTGGCCACAATCAGCAACATGGCAACACATTTCACGCAAATTGGCCACGATGCTCAGGCGAAATGCCATCAGTCGTTAGGCGGAAATGGTGGGAGAGCGGCGTTCCCTGAGGCCAAGAGTTGACCCCAGTTCAAGGGGATATAAGAGTCTCATGGGTGCATGGGGATCTCAACTACGGCACGCTCCAAATGCCGTTTTTTTGAAACTCTAAGCCTTGGGAAAAACAAAGCTAAGTCTGGGCCTAGGCTTGGTTTCATAGAAACGAAGCCTGGGCTTAGCTTGAGCCAAGCTAAGCTTCGGTCTAAGCGAAACCCATTTTGACCTCGTAGGACAATTTAAAGGGAAGATAAGCTTGGCTTGCGCTTAATCCTAAGCCTAAGCCTAAGCCAAGCATAGTTAAAGCGAAGGTAAGTCTAAGCTTAAGCGGAGCCCCTTGTAACCTCTTACTACTAAATTCGGACTACCCCCCCGCCCAACTGCATTAGCTCCAAGAAATCAAGCAAACCTTGTAATATTCCAAAAGGTTTCCCCAGGTTGGGCCCAAGTCTTGAGACCCTACACTTCTGCCACCTTTGATCTGTCTCGACCCGTTTTGACAGATCGGCAAGCCGCGCCGCACCCCCGCGCAGACGCCACGCCACAAATAATTCCTAGTTTTTGCCAGGTTAGCAGCCAGCGAGATGGACCCAAAATTTAGCGAGTGTATCTAACCGAAAATGCCCCACACAAATTCGGGTGAGCAAATTGAGCACGGGCCTCGGGTTTCGGTGGTCTGCCCGGCGTTTTTTGTTTGTTTTCTGGGGGCCCTTCTCACCTGGGTTGGCCGTTCTGTTTGTAGTCAAGATACAGAAATGGATCGGGGGGTTATGATTCGGTGAAGGGTGGGGAATTATGGAAACAGTTGTGCGGGGAGAGGGGGAGTTAGCAGGGTAAAAACAATTGGCTGTGCAAATAGGGGGTTATTCGGCGAATTTGTTTATGTTGGGATTGTTTTTCAGGGGGTGATTCGAGGAAAAAAAAATAGCATCATCAAATATATATGGTTGCTGATAGGCTCAAACGAATATTAAGTACTGGACTGTTAACGGGGGGGGGAAACCAAATTTTCCACGAAATTTCGCCCGGCTATTTAATGACATATAAACAACTTGTATAGTATTTTATACGGTGCTTGTATCTAAAAATTCATAAAAATTGTACAAACTTTCGAAAAATTTTGTATTTGCATTTCTTTGAAAAATGGCCAAAAAATCCACCATTTGCGAATTAAAATTATAAAAATATTTTTTTCGTAACTTTCCAACGCTCAAAACTAATAAAAACGCTATAAAAATACACTTTTTACCAGCTAGTAGGTATAGGCGGAAAAATAAAAATTACCCCCCCCCCCCGCTAACAGACAAGTACTTACTTTTGAAGCTACTATAAAAATACACATCTTGGCCAGAAAACACAGAGAAACATGCCCCTGGGTTGATCGCGAGTCGCGTAAAGTCAAAATATGACTCAGAGGGCCCACTAAAAAATGGACAGCCCTCGTTGGCCTCAAACATCGGCGCCAGAAACTCCGCGACCTCTCCCAGCTGCTGCCCACCTGAACGAACGGTTCCCACGAATCGTCGCCCCAGTTGCCATTGTGTTGGATGGACAGTATTTGACTGTGAATACACTGGACACTATTCAAGAAGCTCTGCCATGAAGCGACCCCGATTTGAAAAATTCAAGAGACGGTGCCTGGGTTGACTTGCTTGGGCCTTGAAAATATGGGATATAAAATCGATTATTAGAAGTCTTTCCGGTGACGCGCCGGCAAACATAATATCGTTGGAATGGGATGGGATGGGGCACTTTGGGACCCACAAAACATATACATCATCAGAGAAAAAAACGCATTTTTCTGTGCAAACATTTTGATATACCGTATTGGATTCAAATTTTTGGCGTTTTTGGAAGTCTGTTGAAGTGTAGGGCGCTTAATTTATCATGTAAGAGTCTGGTAACTATGAAAATAATATATCGAGTTATTTTATGCGGTTTTATATGTCTCTTTTGCCTTTTAGCAAAAAATTTGGATTTATTGTATTGAATTCAAATTTTTGCGCTTTTAAAGGTCTTTTGAAGGCTAAAGAGTCGGATTTAGCATGGATTTTGGAACAATATATAGAATACATACAATCATTTGATCTATTTAAATATCTTGCTTAAGCTTTTTAAAGCAAAAATTTGGATTTACTGTATTAGATTCAAATTTTGGGTACTTTTAAAGGTCTATCGAAAGAAAAGGTGCTTAATTTCGCCTCTAATACTTTGTAAATATTTAATCTGACATTTGAAAGCGCGAACACGATGGCGGGCCGGTCGGCGGCTCGAATATTTGATGATGGGCACTGGTTGCGGAGGGTCGAGGCCAATTTGAGGGCCAGTCAACCACGCGGAAACAACCCGCCATGTCCACTTTTGATGTCGGAACCCAAAAAATTACTTTGAGGCTTAAAAGGCCATCCGCGAGTCACTCGAACAGGCCCTAATATGGCTTGGCACAGTTTTTTCGACCCTGTTTTCTTGACGCCATCTGAAAGAGCATGGTCGAATTAGTGGGGTGGCACTATTTTGAGAATTTTAACAGTTTAATTTCGGGGTTAAATCGGCCGTTAAAGTTGCCGATGTCGAAAAAATATCTCGAAAGTGACTTGAGGGATTTTGCTAAAAATTGGTGTGCCTGCTTAATTTTAGACGCTGATCATTTTTCTAATACATCGCAAAACGCGAAAATGACCGGAACATAGTTAAATCATGTACTCGAGATGGTTTTCCCGGAATCCATAAAAAACGGCCTTTGCTGCGCTCCATGAAAATAGCCTAGAAAGATGCGCCATATTTTTTTACGTCGGTACATGTGTCGTTTACCCGGAAACCAGCTCCCCTCCTCTTGCTACAACGCTTTTTATACGCCAAAAACGCGCCAAAAATGGCCCCCAAAAATACAAAATCTCCGGTTCGGAAAAATAAAGACAACAGATCGCATCTAGAAGACGAGCTGAAGCGATTGCAAAAAAGAGCAAAAAGAAATTCGGCTTCTGAGAGGGGGCTGGGATTGAACCCGCGCCGCCTCCGGATTGGCACGCCAACGCTCTACTCATTGCGCCACGGGGCTCCCAGGCGGAGGGTCCGGGTTCGATTCCGCGGCATTGAAATAAGGCTAATTTCTTTTTGCTCTTTTTTGCAATCGCTTCAGCTCGTCTTCTAGATGCGATCTGTTGTCTTTATTTTTCCGAACCGGAGATTTTGTATTTTTGGGGGCCATTTTTGGCGCGTTTTTGGCGTATAAAACGCGTTGTAGCAAGAGGAGGGGAGCTGGTTTCCGGGTAAACGACACATGTACCGACGTAAAAAAATATGGCGCATCTTTCTAGGCTATTTTCATGGAGCGCAGCAAAGGCCGTTTTTTATGGATTCCGGGAAAACCATCTCGAGTACATGATTTAACTATGTTCCGGTCATTTTCGCGTTTTGCGATGTATTAGAAAAATGATCAGCGTCTAAAATTAAGCAGGCACACCAATTTTTAACAAAATCCCTCAAGTCACTTTCGAGATATTTTTCGACATCGGCAACTTTAACGGCCGATTTAACCCCGAAATTAAACTGTTAAAATTCTCAAAATAGTGCCACCCCACTAATTCGACCATGCTCTTTCAGATGGCGTCAAAAAAACAGGGTCGAGAAAACTGTGCCAAGCCTTTTTCGGGTGGCTCGCAAACGGCCTTTTAAACTCTTTTATCATTGTTTGGTGTACCAGTTATACATGGGATTTGTGTGGAAATCACAGATTTCAAGGGAATCAAGAATGTTTCTTAAAAGCTATAAATTTTATGGAAATTTTCCTATTTTTTAAAGGGATTGGAGAGGCATGGTTATGGATTTTTAAGCGGCTTTTTCATTGCGTAATGTATTAAAGTCCCTTCCGATCCCTTTAAAACTGCAAATATCTGGCGTCACAGAGAGATCAGGCTGAGCAGGGCAACAATTTCTACAGGGTGCGTCAAAAAAAAAAGGCAAGTTTGCACCAAAATATCTCGCTTATCTTTGAGAATCGAAGGTACGTTACCATGCCAGAATGCTTAAATATGCTGGGTATGAAGATTTAACACAACTTGATTTTTTCGATTTTTGGCGACGTACCCATACAAATGACACCCGAAAACTGTGCGTTCCGGCAAAACTTCGTTTGCATTTTTTAGGATTGCTGGTGGTCGAACACTTCCAATTTTTACAGTGTAGGTACCTAAGGACTGCCCCTACGCACATCCGGAATTTTGGAATTTTCGAAGGTCTGGTTGGCAAGTTATAGCATGCTCAAATTTAATATGGAGAAATTTCGTCAATTTCCAATATTACAAAAACCTATGGTGGAAACCTCAAAATAAGCTATTTTAGCATGTCTATAGGCTCGATACAATCCCGCAAAAATCACAAAAAAAATTTTCAGATCCGCGGATTTTTGAGTTTTTCGACGACCCCCTGGTCATGGATTCTTTCGAGGTCTCGAAACTGAACTTTGGAAAAATATTTCTAAAATTGCAGATAGAATTTCGCTGTTTACTTTGCTTAGTTGGGTAGGACTGGCGACCATCTATCATGTAAACAATTGCGAGCTACCGTACCCCTTTGGAAGGGTGCCTTTTAGCGCCTCCAAAACGGATGGTTCGTGCTATTTCGCAGATCTTCGTGCCAATCTATAAAATTCATTTGCGCGGTTAGAATTATTGTCATAATTTTATTTCATACTACTTAATGGGCGCGTTCTAAAATTATATTTACAAATTTATTGGGCCATCCAATCTCACAAAAGAAATTCATGAAAAGTGCAAATATACCCGAATTCGAGGCGACATAAAAAATTCTCGAGGGTTTAGTAGCCCCGACTTTTCTGGCATAGACCAAGTTTGGGTAGTCAACCAGAACCCGTGCAAATACAGAACCTTTTCATGGCAAACGAATTTAGAAGAGTTCCCCAAAGTCGGCTTTTCAAAAAACGTGATTTTCGGGTTTTAAATCAAAATTAACCATTAAATTCAGCCAGATCATTCCAGACTTCTGCTTTTATACACTGTTCGATGCGTGCTTTAATTGTATCCACCAAACCCCGGGGCCTTTTTCATTTTCAAAAATTCGATTTTCGTAGCAGGGTGTCGGGTCCAAAATCGTGCCCCGAGGAGGGTTTTCTTCTTTCCTTCATAACTTTGTCATTTGCCACAGGAATAAAGTAATTTTTTGTAGGTGCTCTTACAATCACCCAGAGAACACTATAGAATAGAAAAATCGGCGTTTTATGGCATTTTGTCTTGGCATGCTAAAACACGCTCCAGGCGGGTTACTGTAGAAAACACAAAATCGCCGTTTTCTCGTTCTTTTCACCATAGAAACGTTTCGATCTTTCGGGAAAACAAATAATAGTAGTTTTTGGTCCGTTGCATCAAAATATTTAGACATTTCCGTGGCTAAATTCAAAAATAAGTTTTTTGCATATTTTAAGAGGGTGTATGGCTGGAACTCCACGATCTTTGGCCAATAGGTGACCCTTACTGATGTTTACCAATGATAAAATTTTAGGCAAAATCGCAGCTTAAAATAAAAAGAAAAACGCGAAAAACAAAAACTACAGTATCCCTCTGGGGCACCTTTTAGCAAGCAATATTAAAATACCATAGAATCAGGTAAAATTTGGTGTTGTGCTAAAGATTATCATTCGGAGACACCATCTGCAAAAAATCAGCCATGGGCAGCGCATTTGAAGCGAGTTGCGAATTAAAAAGTAAAAATAAGCAAAATAGGGAAATTTGTTTTGCCTGTAAAAAAGAACTAAACCTTCAAAAATTCTAATACTTTGCTATTATTTTTCTACAAATATCAACTATTTATAGGCCAAAAATCAGAATTTGCCTACCACCCGTTCAAGAACGCACAATTTTCGGTCGTAACCAGCGTCAATAGTACAGTTTCGTACTAAAAAATCGAAAAAATCAAGTTGTGTTAAATCTTCATACCCAGCATATTTAAGCATTCTGGCATGGTAACGTACCTTCGATTCTCAAAGATAAGCGAGATATTTTGGTGCAAACTTGGCTTTTTTTTTTTGACGCACCCTGTAGAAAATTCGATGATATGACAGCACACAAGTAAAGCAGGGCCCGAGGGTACGGTAATGGGATGGAGAATTAGTCAGTGGTGGTGCAGCTGCGAATCAATTCCTTTTGGGTGGACAGTCTGGCCATGTTGCGGCGACATGCTGAGTGGCGCTGCTCAATTTGGTTCCGGTCGAAGGTGATGTTCGCGTTGCACAGCAGGAATTGGGCTTCTTCGAGGAGACGACCGCGTGTGCCGTTTTTCATGTAGACCTGGAAATTAAGACTTAGGCTTAGACTGAGGTTCCCTAGGCTTAGCTTAGGCGTAGATTTAGGCTTAGCTTAGGCTTATGATTAGCTTAAGCTTGGGCTTAGGCCTAGGCTTAGGTTTCTTAGACGTGGCTCAGGCTTGGCTTGGGTCTAGCTTAGGCTTAGTCTTAAGCTTTGCTTAGTCTTAGCTCAGGCTTAGCTTGGGCTTAGCTTACTCTTATTTTTAGGTTTTTAACTCAAACCTGAAGTGCATTATCGTCAGGCCCTTCCGCGTCTTTCAATTCCTGCCCCTCAGCCACCCGCCAGCATACCCGTGTCTCCGACGTTTCCGCCAAGTACTGTAATACAAAATATTAAAAATTAGCATTCTAAAAATACAACACTTTTATAAAAACTATGCTCACATTAATGTTCCCTTGATGCAGAACGATACCCTCTTGGGCGGGAAAGTTGAGCATGCAATGGTAGGTGCTAGGGTTGGTTGACAAGGTTTCCTAGAGCACAAAATTACATAAATCTTCCCTCCAAGTCTTTTATTACACAAATAAACTTACAATATTTTCTCGACTTTCGATTATACTTTCGATATGCAAGACCTCCCATTTTTTCGATCTTCTCGGGAATGAGATCAAATTCCGGAAGCAGTCGTGCTCCGGCTCCAGGGATACACCCAAGAAATAGATCTCGTTATGCCCCTAAACATTAAATATTTAAAAATAGTGCTAGAAATTAAACTAACCTTATAAAATCCTTTTATAAAGAAAACACCAGGTGTCGGTGTGGTAAATATTGTTTTGATGGCTTGCATAACAAAGGATTCCAGCTAAAAAATCATTACAATAACTTTTAAAACTTTTAAACCGACCCCAGGCAACAAATCACGTGTCTGGTCCGTGTTATAATATTCTAATATATAGGGCTTTTGATTTTGTACACATTCATAGATGCTTCGATGTGTTTCGACGGAGACAATACATCCTAAAAGGTCATCCTCCAGAGTAACGCTACGATACGCACCTATTAACCCGTGTTTGGACGTGCAGATTGCCGTGAATTCGTGGCCATCTTCGAGGCATTCTTCGAGTTGATACTCGACGTTAGGGTTTCCCTGTCTGGCGCGGGACTGAAATGGTTTTTTTTGATGATTTCGATAAGCTTGTTTCGCTGAGCTTAAATCCGATTCAAGACACCCTATCTTGTAGAGAAATTTTTGCTGATTCCAAAGCTATTTTTCAAATTTTCGGAGGAGCTTTCTTTAAAAAGTTACGGCTGTTTTTCTGTTATAAAACGTCCAGTAACGACATCTAAAAACGCGTCACTACCTCAATCCAAGATTTCAGCTCATCTTGGCTGCGAACAATACTCATAGAATGAGAACAATTCCCGAGGCTTCTTGTCGGTTTGATGATCACAGGGTATCTAAAGCATCATCTTACTTGAAATCGTTTTTAATTCCTTACTTTCCCAAGTGTGATTTTGCCACTTCAACCCATTGTTCTGGCGGTGGCATTCCAGCTAATGAGCAGTGCCTAAAGGGTGCCCTTCTACCGTAGTCTGCATGGCAAATTACCTGACTGTGGTGAGTCCACCTCGTCTTGTGATGGCGCTGGTATCTCGGATTCGACGGAGAGTGTCGAGTTGATCGGGGGAGAAGCCCTAAAATCAAGATTTAGCAAAGATTCTTTAGGAAATAGTTGAACCTAACTTCTAACAACTTTATCTCGGTGTTCCATACCTCAATATCCATCTCAAATCGTATTTTCGCCACCGCCAACTGCAAATTCCTCTCAAACGTGACGAGCCTCCGTTGCGTGCTTGCAAATGCTGAGCAAAGTTCCCGCACCTAACAGTTATTATTGATTTTTTTTGTCTGCCTATAATTCCACCTTTTGAAATAATTGGCAGTGCTCGACTTCTGTAATGGGAGGCTCAACTTGGCAGTATACGTCAACACTAAAAAAGCTTAGATTTCAAGTTTGGAAGAGAAAGAATACTTTGTCTCGTCGTAAAGCATCCGTGGAGGTGCCACCACATAAATTCTAACATTTGATGGTTTTTCCAATGCCGACAAATCGAGCCGATGTTTCGACAGTACGATAATAATTGTGTAGTTTGGAGGTGGCATTTCTAAAATAAAGATTGATATACTGTAAGTAGTATAATGTTATATTCGAATTTGTAAGGAGGAATCAATCGGAAATCCGGGGAAACGGCCCCCGTCATTGCCGTGTGGGCCGGAAAAGGCGTGAGTATTGTCAGCTAATCGCCAGGTCGGATTAACGGGGACTCCCTGGCCGAGACAACAAATACAATACATTCCCATTTATACAAATTGAAAGGGGCCCCGGGCAGGAAAACTTATTGGCGGAAACCGTAGAAGGGAACAAAAATGAAAATGATTGGATTTTCGGCGGGGTGGTAACGGGGGTTTTTCGGGGGAATTGAAGGGTTTCTAACTTTTTTAAGGAACTTTCGGGACTTTGAACTTATTAAGAAAGGTTTTAAGCATAAATTTTTAGATTAGCAGAGCTTAAAAAAATCGAACTGATTTTTAGGCGAAATTTGGAACTTTTGAACTTTAAAGGCCACAAAAACGACTTTTTTGACCAGCTAACAACTCCCGATCGTGGCACAAATCGATCCCGCACACAAAAAACATCACGCCGGATTTGGATGCCAAAAAACAGCAACCAGCCAACCCCGCGCCCATAATCATCCTTTGGCCAGCCGGCAAAACCCGAGGGATGCCTACAAAAATACCGCCCACCACCCCGGCAATACCGAGTATTTTGGAAGAACGGCTTGGGCAGTAAAAAAAATTCAATCTGAAGGAAGTGGAATGGCTCTTCAGCTCTGGAGCAAGTGGAAAATTTTGAAACGGAAACTTAACCACAAGATAGAATATAATGGATAGAATGAGAAGACCTACCGCCAGTTGGGGGAGCTATTTAATGAGTTTTCATAAAATTCGTGACCCCGGGACATATAATTTCCAGGGACGGGGCCCAAAAATTGGTTATGAAACTGGCGGGGGGGGAGATGGGAAATTAATTTGCGCTGGACTTGGGCTGAGGGGGATGAGTTACCGGAAATGGGGAAGCCATAATCTTGAAATCGTGAATCTAGGAGTTTTTAGTTTGAGAGGGAACTGTCAGTATATTTTAAAGGTATTGCCAAGGCATGACAGGGCTTTTGTAGCGTTCAATACATTACGCGATGTAAGAGAGCTTGAGATAAGGGAGAGACACAGAGAGTGCGAGAGAGATAGAGACAGTATGAGAGAGACGGCGAGAGAGAAGTAGAGACAAAGAGAGAGAGAGAGAGAGAGAGAGAGGGGAGAGAGTGAGAGAGAGGGAGAGAGTGAGAGAGAAAGAGAGAGTGAGAAAGCGAGAGAGAGAGGGGGGAGCGAGTGAGAGAGAGAGGAAGAGAGAGGGGGGGAGAGAGTGAGAGAGAGAGAGGGAGAGAGTGAGAGAGAGAGTGAGTCTATCTAAATCTATCTGTTTTCGGAAATGGATCGTACTCGGGGAACGACATAATTTTGAAAAAATCCACAGCTTGTAAAATCTATCGCCAAACCTTGTGAAGCCCTTTTAAACAACAAAAAGAAAGTTCCTTTAAAAACAAAGGCCATAAAAACTGTTATCCCTCCTTTTCAGGGAGATCAAGACTACACGGCCCGAATGAAAATGTGTGAATGGGCTGGAATTGAGCTTCGGCTTTTCCTCCCCCCTCTCCCGCTCTTCAAGTTCATTAGATGTTTGTGTGTGTCTGCGTGGGGTTGGTTGAGGTCCGGGGGGCAGCTGCAAAGTGTCATTTCCCCCTCTAGGAAGAGAGGAAAAGGCCCTCTCTCTTCTCGCAGGCAAAACGGAAAATCGTTAAAAGAATGACAGAGGAGGCACCAGTCGGCCGCCTTCTCAACGGAATGCATAAATGATCGTTGGGCCCGGGGTGGAGGGAGGACAAATAGAAAATGCTTTTTTAAACCGGATTTATCTATAAAAATTAGTGTCTTCCTATAAAAACCATTTTTTTAAGGAAACCGGGTTTTTCAACGGCTTCCGCTTTTAGAAGCAACACCCAAACCTAAAATTGGTAGGCAACAACGGCAACAATTATTTGAATTAGCGGCCTCCCAGGGCCCACGACAGAAATGAATAAAATGGGCAGCGCGGGGGGAATTGCGTGGTCGGGTTGTGTGCATAACTGTCGGGCGTCTCTCATTTTTCGGCCATCCCTAATATATGGGCCCCTTCTGGAGGTCCCGGGCCCCTTGCGGCAATTAGCCGCTCCCATTTTCGATATTTCTTTTCGGCCCCCCTCCAGAATCCGTGATAATCCTCTGGTAAGGTATGACCGGAAACTGGGATTAGGGGAAAGTTCAGGATTTCAAGGTAACTAGAAAATAGTCTAAAAGAAACAGAAAATTTTTGAGCATGAAAAATTTCTCACTGAATTTTATGAGGTGCCCCTAGCGGCAATATTCCCAAGGGGGCGTTTCCGCTTCTAGAGCGGTATTTGAAGGCATATACCCTCTTTTGGACGGGAACTTGGAAGGTGTGGAAAAATGGGGGAATTTTTTGAGGGAAATGGGGGGCCCTTCTCGTTTTCATCGACTTTAGATAACCATCTTTGCATCGAGGCGAGTCATGAGGGGGAAGACGGGGGATTAAGTTTGTCAAATAGGTCGAGAAAAACACGCAATAATCTTTAGTTTAAGAAAAAAAGGTGTAATTACATGATACTTAGGATTATACGTAAACATATCTCTCAAGGCACTAATTTTTTCCTAGTAATCCTCTGCGGAGCTATAACGAAAGATAGACCGTTTTTATGGCACTTTACAAAGTTTTTAGATATAAATGTCTTGTAAAAATAAAAATGGCCAAAAAGTCAAAATTTTAGCATTTTATTTGTGATTTTCTAGCGCTGAAAAACTACTAGAAGCGTTATGAAACTACACTACTTGTTATTAAAAGGTACGCATAGGCGAAAAATTAAAAAGTAGCCTCCCCCGCTAATAGTCCAGTACCATGAATTCTTCAAACTGCTGTAATCGATGTGAAACGATTTAAGCAATTGTTCTCATATTTTGAGATTCTCTATAGCAATCTACAATTTAAATGATAGTCTCATATTTTATTAACTTGGTTGTAACCTTCAAAACATTATTTTTGTTTTTACGCTGATCCAAACTTTCTGATGTTTTCCAAATGACATCCACCGATTTGCAGCTGCCTAATTATTGCCCTTCAACAAGACAGCAATCAATCCCCTCCATCCATCCATTCTCTGCCCCCTTTTTCAGTCCATTTTCTTATCTCTCCACGACCCCTTGTTAGCTATATCAGGAAATGGACTCGGCGACACATAGTTACTAGACCCCTCGCCCTCACCCTGCCCTTAGAATTTTAACCTGTCAATCTACCCATCACTCCACACAAATTATGGTACGTTTTTGATGGATTGATCCTTTTATTAATGCTCTAATTTACGGCAGAACATCTGCAAAAATTGGACGAATTGTTGAGTGACAAACGGAATTATTTAGCGTCTTATGATGAAGCGAAAAAGGTATTGATTGAAATAATTTTTAAATAAGTATTTTTCAAAATTAAGTTGCTTGCTGAAAATGAGAATGACGTCGAGGTGGCGTGGAGGTGGATTCAGGCTTGTCATCAGAAAGCACTCGCTCTCACGGTTTTTGCTGACAAAAAAGTGGCCCTGATTGAAGGTGATTTTATATTTAATAGCGCTGGTTATATTTAATATTGAAATTTCAGGCCGTGAACTGGCCCAACGCCTCGTCGTGAATTTCCCCGAGCATGGACAGCTGCTAAAATGGGCGGCTATGACGACAGGAAAATCCGTGGAATTTGTCGGCCTAACAGATAAAGTTCGACAAGGAAAAATATTTAAGGTATGCTTTAAACAATTTTTAATAGAGTGAAATAAGAAAATTTATACATTTTTAGGAATACCTTGATCGTGCCTCCAAATTACTACCGGATGATCATCGCCTCCTCCACCTTCGGGCTCGATACAAATTCTCGATGTCGCAGATGAGTTGGATCGAGAGGAAGGTAAGTTAAAACAAAAGAAAAATAGATAAATTTAATGCTAGTATATCTAAAAATTTTTAGGCAGTAAATGCTCTCTTCACTGACCCTCCGAATTCCACGATCGAGGACGCGCTGGCAGATTTTTTGGAGCTTCACGAGGTACGGTACTTTTTTGGTTCTGTGGGCGATTCTACTATTTCTTATATGTTAATATTGAAATATCTAGCTTAAATTTAATATTTAAGTGACTTTTATTAAATTCACAATTTAGAAAGAACCACTTTGGCTGGATAACCTTCTATACCTCGGGAAATGCTACAGCGTCATAAAGGACAAGGTATACTGATTCGATACCGATTAATTTACATTTATTTCAGGCAAAAGCCGCCGAATTTTTGGAAAAATGCCTCACCCAACCGGCGATTGATGATGAGGACGAGCACCACCATAAAGAAGCTAGGGAATGCCTGTCAAAATTAAAATAAAGCCGAAAACGTTATGAAGCTATTTTTGTATGTTTTTTGTTGTTGTTAAATCGGGTACTAAAAGGATCAATAAATAATATTTATTCCCAATTCCACTTCGCGTCGCCGACAGATTCGATGTTGCATCCAGACGAGCAGCCTATTGAATTTAATTTACATATTAAAATTTGTGCCCCTTACCGTAATGCTTGCTGTCCAATTCCACAAGTGTCAAAGTGTTGACGCCTTTTTGAAGGATTGGCGCTGGGACGTAGAGCGTTTCCTGAATTATATATTTTCAAGGAATCGCTACAGCATATGCTAGCTAGGCTACAAACTAGAACCTGCGGTCCCTCGCTCCAATATCTTCCCATATTTTGGCCATTGACGAATAGAACTCCTTTTCCCCAGGTTGACGCATCAATGAAAGTGTCAGCTACCGTATCCACGGTGAATTGGCCGGTGAAAATTCCGTGGAGAGCTGGCTGACATTTGGGGTTAAACAGTAAGTACGGTAACTTACGTCATTAGGATCGTCACGGACTACAATATTTTCGGCAAGTTTTTGGATCGTTGCGTGGAATGCCTCGTCCATTTGGATTGGGCAGTTATCCCAAGGGCCGGGAAGGTCTGTATCATCGAGTGAAACGTTCCAAAGCAATCCCTTAAACGGTAAACTTAATATCTGAATAACTATTACTGAATTATACTAAATAAAGTTACTTTATTTCCCTTACCTTTGGATATATTCCAGTCTCAAAATTAATACGCCCCTGATTTTCGACCAGAATCGTCAACACGCTCCCCGCCTGACAATTCGCAGTCGGCAACTCGACATCATTATACAAAAATTTATAGGTGTCCTAAAAGCCACTAAAAAATTTAAATCGTAATTACTATGTAGTTTCCATCCACAAAGACGTCGCCTCTATCGCTTACTAGCTTAGCTTCTAGCTTTCCGCCGCATTTTGGGAGCGTCTAAACCTGGTCGGAATAAATTATAAAAAATAAAAAAATTTTGAATTAAATAAATTTAAAATACCCCACTTACCGTTTTATAAGCCACAAACCCAAATCCATGCTGTAGCTGCTCAAAAGACAATGGGAATGGAGCACTCCGACAAGTCGTTGCAAGCTCGAGAAGTGATGACACCCGCTTCACCCCAATCTTACCGTACGCCATTTTGCTATTTGTTGTCTGTTATACCGTAATCGAAAAATCTGTACGTGTTATTTTTCGGGATATCTAGAGGTGGGGTCGGCCAGTCGGGGAGACTCTTCAAGTAGCCACTAAAATTGCGCAGAATTTTATAAGTTGACCGGTTTACCGTATCCCAAGGTAAGTTGATGTGATGTCCCCAGCTTCGGTAATAGGAGCGAAATAGTCATAAGAAGTAATAAGCTAAAATAAATTCGGCATTTTATGTTTGAATACCATAACTTACAGCCCCATTATATTCCGCACCATTCCAAAACCCAAAATTCGTCCCACCATGGATCATATAAACGCTAAAAGACGCTCCCATTTGGTACATTTTCCTGGAAAGGATATACTTTAGGTAGATGTTGATATCATTACACCACATAGTCCAACGTCTCCTGCAGGGTCGGCAAGTTTGGGCGCTTTTTATCGCCCCACAGCGAGAACCAGCCAGGGTAGAATTCGGAATTTACATATGGGCCTGGAAAGGGTCTACCCTATTCATTTCAGTATTTTTTTAAGATTTATTATCTATTTAATGTACCCTTTCCGCCGGTGTATTGCATTTGGACTTTGAATGCGTTTTCCAGGTCTTTGCTGGGGCCAAAATCGACGGTAGCGTAGACGCCGTCAACCACACCGCACGTGATGTCTTCTGGCGGATCAGCTGGAAGGATAATTTTTTTACAGTTTTTATAAGCAAATTCTTCAGGCAACTTTGCTAGCTTGCCTCAGCATTTTCCCTAAAAATCGCTGCTAGCTTGCCTCAGCGTTTTACATATAAATCTTTGCTCGCTTGTCACCCACTTGTGTACAGTTGCGTATCGTTGCCCAGCCCACGCCACAACGCGTCTCGAATCCATCCCAGATAAGTACTGTCGCAGGTCAAATAGCTACCGTATTCATTCTCGACTTGAATCTGAAAGCTTGAACAAAATAAGACCCCATTACACTCCTTTATACGCCCACAATTTTTCAACTCACCATTAACACCGGACCCCCATTCTTTCGCATCATCGGCTGCACGATCGGCAATAATTTGTCAAACCTAAGAAAAACTAGAGATTTCTACAGTGTCCTTACCATTTCTGAAGTGGCACAATATAACGCGGATCCGAGGATCGTAAGATAATATTCGGGCTCTTGTTCAACAGCCACCAGGGCAGACCACCATTTTCCCATTCCCTAAAATGTGACCCTGATACAGTACCCAAACCGGACTCACGCGCAAATGTAAGGACCGGTGCGTAGGAGCGTGTACATTCCCAATTTCATCGCAATTTCGGAGAAACGGGTGAAGTTGCGAGAACCGGAGAAAATGGCTCTAAACATGGTAGGAATTTATTGGTTTTAAAGGGTTGTGCTAGCTAGAAATTACGAGCAAAAACTGACGTATCCTCACTATCCGGTTGATGGTAATTCCAAGGGATGTAATATTGAATAGCATTGAAGCCGAGGGCCCGCACACGCTTTAGCCGATCTTCCCATTGGTCCGGGTGGATACGGAAGTAGTGGATTTCTCCTAAAGGGATCGTGACATGAAATGTGATAATTTACTGAATTAGGAAAATTCCGATTTTAAATAAAATTGATTTTCTATCGCCTTCGGTAGTATTTTGCACATTTTTGGGCTCTACAGATCATTAAATCACAATAAATAGGCTTTATAACTTCTGCATTTTGTTTTTTCAAACGTCGTTATTCGATTAGTGGTGAAAAAAATCATTCGTAAACATAAAAAAGCGGATCTAATAAAGATAAAGTAAATAAACGAAGTATAAATCATCTAAATAAAGATTGAGATAAGCTGATTGTGCGAAATAAACATTAATCTACCATACCCGACATATACCGAAATGGCTTTCCATCTAGCAAAAATTGCCTCCCATCAAGGTCAACCTTGAATGATTGATCACCATTGCAAAATCTGAATTATAACTTATGTTTATTTTTAACGAAACTACCGTACCCGTATAATACAGAAAACAATAAGGAAATTAACAGCATGGCGCTTGGAACAATCGGTCAATCCCGATTTTCGGTCTAACCCCAAGAAGCCAAGAATTTTCTTATCAGTCTCGTGTCCGGCTTCTGCTCATGGCCGTAATAGCCAGCAGTGAAAGTAGCTGTTCGTAGCTTCCTCATTAAATTAAAAGTGCCAGTGAAGCCTCTAATCTATTAATGCTTGTTTGATTTTTATTACAGGCTATTTTATTTACCTGTGATCTGATGGCCTTTTGAGCGAAGTTTTGTAAAGTTTTAATGTCTATTAATGCGTTCACGATCTCAATATCATTTTAGAAATTTTATTCGCATTGAATATACAAATATACTTCTATCCGGCGCTGCAGATAGCTACGAAAAAATCTTTACCACCAAAATGGGCCTTGAATCGATTGGCGGACCAGTGTCAAAAACGAGGTGGAGCTGAGATAATGACGAGAGAGTGTATGGATCCAAATTAAGTAGAAAATATAAAATATATTATATTCAAGGCTGAAAAACATCTCTGATATCACAGAAAAACGGCTAATGTTCTTTTGCAAATTTTGGTGAAAAATTTCAATCCTTAGAATGGTTGCACATTGAGGTTTTGCGGGTTGCCGTTGATGATGCCGCCAGGGATTTGTTGGGTGTTCTAAAATTCAATTAAAATTATTATTGATACAAAATTCCATTTTATGTGAAAATACAAAATTATGTAATTTTATCTTAATTAACCACGAAAAATACTCCACGCATCAAATTGAAAATGCATAAAATCAAATAAAACTGAAAAATAAATATTATTTTTACAGGAAATATAAATAGGACTTCAAGGATAGAGAAAAGATTATTAAATTTTTTTAATGCGCGAAATTAATAGTATAATCAACTACGCCTATTTAAGTTTGTATCTAATTTATAAGGGGGTTCAGGAAATTTGTGGTAAAATCAAGCCCAATTGCGCTAATTAGCATACCACTTGATTCTGGTTTTGCTGTCCCGGTTGGCCATAGCTCGAATACATCTGATATCCACCCTGGGGGCCAATATGGGGGAAGTTGGCGCCGGGCTGCTGGGATTGCTGCTGCTGCGTGTTTCCATTCACGTATTGGTTCTATAAAAAGTGGTTTGAAAGAACGCGCGCGGACCGCAGCGCCTCAAAACGCTGGCTTGCGCGTCGCTTATCGCGGGCGTTTCAGGACCGGGGCAATTAGCTTGACCCAAAAATTTGCAAAAACCTACAGCCAGCCTCTGCCTGGTCTGCTGCAATAATTGTTGCGGCGATGGAACATTGTGATCTTGCGAGTTTCCTTGCAAATTCTGGATGTTCCCTTGTAGATTGTTGATGCCATTTTGGAGGGAGTAACCGACGGATTGTACTCCTGAATTTTCAATACCATTGATGCAGGGTTTGACATGGTTTAATTACCATTTTGCAAACCCTGCTGGGCGTTCTGTACGCCGGATTGTAGCGTATTTAGGGCAGGTTGGACGACGTTGCGGTTGCTAAGAGTATTGAATTGATATACGATTCACGCAAGAGAGAAGAGAAAGAGAGGGAGAGAGTGAGAGGGCACGAGAGAGAGAATGAGAGCGACCGAGAGAGTGAAAGATTGAGAGAGGAAACGGAGATAGAGAAAGCGCGAGAGAGAGCGAGAGAGTGAGAGAGTGAGAGAGACGGAGATAGAGCGAGCGAGAGAAAGAGAGCTAGAGAGAGCGAGAGAGAGAATGAGAGCGAGCGAGAGAGTGAAAGATTGAGAGAGGGAGACGGAGATAGAGCAACCGCGAGAGAGAGCGAGAGCGAGAGAGCGAGAGAGTGAGAGAGAGACGGAGATAGAGCGAGCGAGAGAAAGAGAGCTAGAGAGAGCGAGAGAGAGAGAGAATGAGAGCGAGCGAGAGAGTGAAAGATTGAGAGAGGGAGACGGAGATAGAGCAACCGCGAGAGAGAGCAAGAGCGAGAGAGCGAGAGAGAGACGGAGATAGAGGGAGCGAGAGAGGCAGAGATATAGAGAGAGTGAGAGAGAGCGAGAGAGAGAACGAGAAAGAGAGCGTAAGCTAGAGAGCGAGAGAAACTCACATGCTTCCAGATATCCCATTTCCATTCTCCTGCCCATACTGCCCACTTTGCTGCGCGCTCCACCCAACCGGCGGCATCGCGGGGTTCGACGCCGACTGTGCGTTGAGCCACTGTTGCGATGGATCTCCGCCGTGCCACGCTAAAACATCACCCATTACCGTATACCAATATTAATTGACCGATAGTGTGGATGGGCCTCGGTGCCCCTGGGGGTAGAATGACACCCGTGCTCGACGCCCCATTCATTCCGGTGGGTCCAATTGGGAATAGCTGCCTAGATTTTGGCGTTCTAATCCATACCTTGAGTACCGTACCCATTCGGGAGGCCCGGGTTTCGCTCCTTGGAATATTGGCGGAGCTGTTCTTCTTGTTCGGCGGTGAGCTGGGCGTTTTGTTGGAGTCGGTTGGCGAATTGGGACTGAATGGGAGTCAAATAATTTAAATATTGCAAAATACTGCATTCATCTTAAATTTAGGTATCTTATGAGAGAGTAACTTTAAAATAGCTTAAATTCATACCTGAGGTCCCAAAAGACCATCTCCAGAGCGGGTGTTTGGGTGATTGTTTGAGTTTCCGCTGATGCTTGTGCCGGCCGTCATCGCGCCGTTCGGGTAGACTTGACCGGGGATAACGCCGTTTCCTGAAATGTACACAATGTAGTGTCAACCTAACCGTACGGTATGTTCTAAAGGTATATTACGTTACGCTACTATCGTCAGGGCACGGTAAACTGCCGAGAAAAAGTACGTTACGTTCCTGAAGTCAGGCTACACTGGCCGACCATAATAAAGGGTGGACTTGAATTTAATTAGCCTAAATAAAATTTTAAATTTTATGCTAGCTTATTAAGTATTAAGGCATATAAATCCTTTATCCTACTTTGTTGTTGCCGCTGCTGCCCATAAACATTAATCCATTTCCCCTCAGCCCCCTGCTGCGCTCCACTCCCTCCCGGCAGACGGTAGTACTGCTCGTAGTCGCGTTGGTTCTGGGATTGTCAGTTTTCGACGACGCGTTCACAATCTCCTACCTGTTCCATGGTATTCTGCTGGGCATATTGTCTCCACTCCGGGACGAACAGCTGGAAGCAGTCCAGACGGATGACGTTCAGCGTGTTTTCACCCCTAGAAAACGTTTCTTGGCTGACGACCGGTGAATTTGGAGAGGCGGGTCTAAAGTAAAGCTCTCAACGAACCAAATTTAAGCTAAAATGGGAGATTTTGATTGGGTTTCGTTTCTTATTAAACTTCTATTGGATTGGATAAGTATAAGAAATCGCTTAATCTAATCGTTTTTTCAACTTACTTGGCGGCGTCGCGATCAATACCAAGCTCGGGTACGCAGAAACTTTGGCAATCCGTGCATTGTTGGGCTGGAAATGGTACATAATTTATTAATATTTATAAATTTAGCATAAAAAATATTAAAACCAAAGCTCTTTTTAAAAGCATATTGATCATTTAAATTCATAAATAAATTTCAAACCAAAACCTATTACCTTGTATTCGAAAACCTACCACTTTGTCCGGAAGTCATATCCAGCTGGACCCAGCGAGCCCCATTGCATTCGGTGATGGGTTGCTAAAGCAATTTTAAAGGTCTACTGAAGGCAAATTCATAGCTGCATTATAGATAGGTTCAGCTTCTTTACTCACCGAGAAGTACTGTGTCTGATTCTGTATTTGCAGGGGCGTCGGCTGGAATCCCCAGGTTTCTTGCCATCCTTGTGTCGCTTGGCCTTTCTAAAGAGGTTTCGTATATTTATGTTAGGTAAATTAACATCTATGCATTATTCATAACACGCCAAATACACTTATTAACACAGTAAACCCACCCCTCTAGCGGCCTGTGTCGCCTTCCTCAACTCGTCCTCATCGATGACATTCCCCCGATCGAGCCTCATCACGAAGCAGAACAACTGGCGACCATTAGTGCGTAGGCTCTCGTCCACGATTCCCACCCAATTCTAAAATAAAATTGTTTAGTAATAAAATTCTTAATCTACCGTCTTGAAATCGTAGACTGTGAGGAAGTTTCCCTTCAATGGTGGAGAGCCGCGGATGTTGAAGCTGAGAGGGTAGATCAAAAAACCTCTGCTAGTTTGCCTACCGGACTTGATCCCCGTCAGCATTCATCTGGATTGAGGTAGTTGCCGATGATGCTCCACGTGCGGATTGGGGAGCTTGAAGTTGGAGGGAGACTCGCTAGAAAATATTTAATTTTAAGAATTAGCGTAAAAAGTTTTTCAAATGGTTATATGAACTTTAAAAGCCATTTATAGCGCCAAATTTTGCACATTTCGGAGCAAAAATTGTAATATTCTTGTACGCGTGCATAGACGTATTACGTAGCGATCACGACGGACGTACTATCAGCCTTCCATTCCCTTTCAAAACTTAACAATTTTGTAAATTTTTATGACCCTTGATGATTGTAATTGATCCAGATTATACCTTTGGAGGGCGCAGAGCCAACGGAATTACGATAGCGGCAATAACTCCGACGACGAGCAACAGCACAAAGAAGAGAGCACAAAGTCCCTGTTTCGGGCGTGAACACCTGAAAATTACCATTTTATGATAGCCTCTGCACTGCAAAATAAGACCCACAGCAAAACTCACCAGTTCATACAGTCCTGAAGGCGATTGCGCTTCCGCTTATTCCGGCCATCGGCCAGAATGGCGTCCGAGTTGGCCACCGAGTGTTGCGAGGTGCTGGCCGTACGGTGGTGCGGGACGCTATATAGGATTGGGATCAGTAAGGTGATAGCAGGCTTACCGCTCTCCAGGAATTGGTGGGGCTGCATCGACGAGGGTGCCTTTGGGCTGAAAAAGAGCGATTAGGGCTTGTTTGGCGTAGGCTTCGCTTAGGTTTAAAGTTGGCCTTAAGAAAGGTTTTGACGCTTTTTCTAATGGTATATATCTTATTAAAATAGTAGCTTCCGCGAGAAGGTTATGGAGACCTAAAGCCGTGGCAAGCCTTCAAAAATCCTAAAATGACTAAAATTTTTCCTCGTAAACCCTCACAAAAGTCCGCAATTTCAGCGGCACATCAATTTGGTAGCGTCCAAAGTTGTCGGTCGGCATCCCCGGGGCTGGGGCGCATTTTAGGGCGCCGGCGAAAAATGAGGAAAATGAGCCCTGGCGGCTGAACTCCTTGCGGAAGCGCCGGGTTGCTACGGAGCGTTGTGAATATTTAGGCTTTTTTGGGGGTGGGGTAAAAAACAGGGCGCGCATTAATGATTAGGGTGGGAGTAGGTTTAAAAACGGGTTAACAAGCTTGTTAAAAAATTAGAGATTTTATAGATTATTTTTGAATACACCGATTAAATTAAACTTCAGTCTTATACGGACAAATTTAAAATCGTGGTTTTATATTGTTCTATATAAATCATACGCTTCAGTATGTAAACAGAATTGTTAATATATAACTTTCCCAGAGTTCAATGGCCCTTTAAAGGACCCCCGATTGTTATTGGGGTGAGCCCGTACTCGATCACACCCTGTAGACAAACATTGGCCCAAGATCCCACCTGGGATTGCCCCCACGAACACTTGGCAAATATCCAATAGATCTGGATTTAGCCTTTGATCTGGTTAATAAAACAATCTTCCTTAAAAATCCATATTAAATTGAAGTTAAATTAAAAAGCTAAAATCTCGAACTCTCGAACCGACCATAACAAAGACCTGGCTGCCAAAGTGCGAGAGTCGCGACGGGGTCCGCAGATTCGGATTGACGTTGTAGTGGCCGTACGGGGCCACGAGTGGCTGTCCAGCTACGGTCGGCTTAAAAAAGCACATTAAAAACTGATAAAAATTGAAAAAGCTCGAAGATTTTTGACTTTGTGACAACAATGTATGAAGAATGGCCAAAAATTTCACAATTTTCGAATTTTCTGAAATTTGAAAAATGTTTTTTTATTACGAAAAAACATAGTAATACATTACCTATTTATTAAAAGTAGGTATAGACGGCGAAATAAAAATTTGCCCCTCTGCTAACGGTCCAATACCAAAATAAGAATGCGATGGTCCGATCGGACTCTGGGAAATTCTTATTCAAATAAGATAATTTTTTACCTTAGAATTTTAAATCCAGGAAATCCAGAAGCTTAAAAAATCTACTATAAACTACAATAATTACCTGGTACGAATGCGGCCCAACCGGCGCCGTGGCGACGCTAGTCTGACTGGCGGTCACGTTTGGGTATTGGTTGACGCGGATCGCAGTCAGATTGTCGTCGGATTCGACTGCAATTTACATAGATATAGATTAAATAAACATTGAAGGCAAAACCCACCCAAATTCGTCCAGGACGCTCGGCGTTTCCCCATCTGGGACACGCTCGAATAGTCGCTTCCGGTTTCGCTGCCGTGCCGGTAGGATGGAGGTGGGCCTGGAAATATGTATTTGAGGATGCTAAACTGTAAACTATAGTAATTAAATTATCATTACGTTGAATTTGAATACAGCATAATTTTTGACGTGTTGTAAATGACGTTGTTTTTAAAATACTGAACCACAAATTACAATTAATTACGCCACTTATCTACTGGAATAATACATTTTAATTTTTAACTAGTTTTAAAATTATGTAGAAGATCTTATTTACAAAACCATATACAAAAAGTGGTTAGAATACTGTAAGACCACTTAAAATATTTAATTTCCGAATATCTATATCTTACAACTAATTTAAAGAACTATAAAAATTTTCAAAACCCCATTTTTGCATGTTTAATGGCGTATGGCGTTGTTCTGACTCCGTGGGCCCTCCAGGAGGCCCACCCAGGCCGACAAAATGTTTGCCTACCCGGGTGCCCAGAAAGGAATAGATCGGACAGCTGTCCCCCATCCCAGGTAAGTCAATACTTCCATCGGATAGCCAGAGGGGGGAGAAACATAGTAAGACCTCGTACACCCTTATATCCGGATTAATACCCGCTACCAAATCTACGTATTGACAGCCGGGTGGCTGAAAAAAATTGAGGGGGCTAGCGAGCTAGCAAAGAGTTTTGAGGAATTTGAAGGAGCATGAGATCAGGTAGGCTAGCAGAGAATCTTGGGGAATATTTGTGGTGAAAAATCGGGTCATAAAAATTTATTGAAAAATTTGCAGATAGCAAAGGCAAACAGGCAAACTAGCAGAGATCATTGCGGAATTTCGAGGTATGTCAAAGGTTCGGGCATACTAGCAGAGATTCTTAGGGATTTTCGGAATTTCCCAGCCGATGTTACAGAAATTAGCAAAGCTTTTTGTCGAATTTTGCGCAACTTCGGGTCAGGCAAGCTAGCAAAGATGTATATGGAGCTTCCGGAAAACGAACAGCCAAGGCAAGCTAGCAAAGACCATTTACCAACAAACACAACTTACCAACAGCCGTGCCGTGTCGACGCGGTTCGCTGTCCAAATTTGTGATTTTCTGTGGCGCGCGCGCCATTCTGGAAACAGGCTTGAATATAGCGTGTATCAATAATGTCGTAAAAATAGAGATTTTGAAAACATTACATTAATCTAGGCAACAAAAAAGATAGAAATCTATGTTTTGGCAGGTAGGAGGGACATTGAGGTCCTCGGGTTGGGTAGGGTTAAGCCGATAATTGGGTGTGGAACACCTATACCTAGGGAGAGGTAGAAGAGGAAGGGGCCCAGATGGCCCTGAAGGGTTGTTATTTAATAATAACAATAATGTAGTAATAAAATATATAAAAATATAGAAAGTTGCTTAAACAAAACAAAATTATATGTTTCTCTATAAAATCGATCCAAAAGTTATTAAAAGTTGCATTTTACGGTATTTATTACCACATCCACTAAACATATAAAAATGCTAATCAAAAGCTAAATTATAGAATTCTATTGGACGAATTATATGAAAAGTAGCTTAAGCTACAGACCCAAAAATTCACCCCGGAATCGCGACTTTAATGAGTGCTAGCCGGGCGCTCCTAAATGATGTCCCTCCGTTTGCTAACACCGGCTTTGAAGTGTAAACACGGATTGTTCCGTTGCTTCATCTCTGGCCTAACATCTGCGCCTTCGGAACACCGGCCGGACCCCTGAAGACGAAATGGCCCTGATCAGGCCCGGGCAAGAAGCCGTTTTGTTTGTCTGTCCGTTCGTCTATCAGTATGTCTGTCAGTTTGTCTGTCTGTCTGTTGCGTCTATCACATCCTCCTTCCCATCCTCGACAAGTGAGCGTGCACGAGTATTTACGCTGCTGGGGGGACTGGGTGGTTGGTGGGACAAGGATGGGACCCTGATACGGATCGCCGAGTGCTCGAGTTCCGGAAAACAAACGGTTAAGTACTGTGACGGTGGCGTGGAGCCAAGAAATTACTTGTCGATGCTCTCTTCAAATACGCTATCTCTAGCTTTAAGGGTAAGGTGAGGTAATGGACGCCCATTGGCTGTACTAGGGTCTGGTGGATTTTGACAAATCAAGTTATCTTTGTACACGTTCTATAGATAAAAGGTATAGAATTTGCTTTCCGTGTACCTTTAAAATAAGAGCGAGAGAGGAAGACAGAAAGAAAGCGAGAGAGAGAGAGAGAGAGAGAGAGAGAGTGAGAGTGAGATAGTGAGAGTCTGTTTCGTTTAACACATTTTCAAGTTCAAATCAAGATTTGAACAGTTAAAACTATACCAAAATTATAGGAAAATCTGGGAGATACAGTAGGACAATGAATATAGCTTGAGACCTTAATAAACAAGAATCAGACATCTTTAAAGGAGCGTCGAAGTTAAATTTCATATTTGAAACGAAGCCAGATAGTTCATTGAAACGCCTGCAAACATATCCATGCGATAGGAAAATAAACCGACGCCACCAGCCCCGGTCACTTGCGTCCATCTAGGGCCACGGCAAAAAAAAAACAGCGCGCCGGGACCGGTCCCTCCAGGGGCCCGGCTGAAGGGCTTTCGGGCCCTGAAGTGGTGCGGTATGGGAATTTACGTCCAGAGGTGTAGCATGGAATTTTGGAGTTTTCTATATGCAAATTGGGAAAAACTGTGTGATGCCAGATAATTTGACGCAAAACAACAACTGAAATCCAAAAAATCCGAGTTATTTTTGGGATGTCACAGATGTAAAACTTACAAAAAAAAAGTAGAAATTTATACAAAGCAGTATAATTTAGGATATATTAATATAATTTCGACATTTAAATAATTATTTATTAGCTAAGTAAAAACGTTTGAGTTTAAAGGGACAGCGCCAGTAATGCGCTATCCTAACTAAAAGCCAACCCAAATGTGAATGAGGTGAAGCCACCACCCGAAATTCTAGTCCAGCCACAAGCAAAGAATTCGCTCCCGGGAGCTGCGGAACGGAATACGCTTAGCCGGGAGCGTTCGCGGGAGGTTGGCGAGAGATGGAGGGGAGGTCCTCATATGCAAATATTTATCAAGAGGGGAACGGTGGGCCCCTAGCCCCCCCTGGGCCACTACCACCACCCCCCCACCACCACCACACCTCCATCTCGCATACCTTTCGGCCCTTGAGCCTCTTTCCCTCACTACGGGGGAAGGCAGGTCATGAAGCAGAAGCTATGGAAATTGGGGGAATGGAAATGGGGTTGGGGAGGTTTTGGAAAGGATATTTGCTTGATTGTCTTGGTTGGAGGGAGTGGTAGATCAGAGCGAGAGAGAGAGAGAGAGAGAGAGAGAGAGAGAGCTTTTCCTGGACATGCATGTTAGATTTTCTGACAGACTCCGCTAGCTGCCCTGCTTGAAGATGTCGCTAACATCAAGCGAGCGAGAGAGACAGATACGGCGAGAGAGAGAGAGAGAGAGAGAGCGGAAAAAAGAGATAGCGTGAGTGAGATTTCGTTAGCATGCCACGCTCGATTTTTCCAGGCTCCCTCCACTAGCTGTCCTGCTTGAAGGCGTCGCTAAAGAATAAGGGAGAACGAGAGCGAGAGCTAGAGACAGAGAGAGAGAGAGAGTGCCAAAGCCTGCGAGAGAGAGAGCTGTCGTCTTTCCAAAATCACCTCTTTTATTCTGCCTTTTCTGACCAGCAGAGAAAATCAAAATTATTTATTCTCCCATCCCCACCCTCAAAATATGTACAAAAAAGGTTCTAGACACCATATTTAGCCGTAGGGTCTATCCGATTTCCCCTATTGTCAAAATGAGATATATCGGTCGCGTATTCAGAATTCCAGTCCCGCATGAAGACGTCTTGAGTCTAAAAAAGAATAATATTACTTTGAAATGCATATAGATACATACCTGACTCACAATCGGTGCTGTCCCCTGAATATTATCAGACCGTACAATAACTCCAATCCCGGCCGTCGTAATCCAATAGTCTGCCGACCAATTAGAGGTGCCTAAAGAGCATTCAAAGGGTGGTTGAAGTAAAGTTCTACCTATGTAAGCCGTGCTCTCCGTGACAAAATATTTGTTGTGCTGGACCCGAGCGTAGATCTTATCGGTGATCGGGCCGTCGGGTGGGATCTCGAATATGCGCACTTCCACCTCCCCTTGAGTACCCGGCTTGCACGTTTCATCTGCAAGCAAATTTTTAGTTGGATTCCATTCGTTTTTTTACTTAAGAATACCTTTAGAATTGGGAGTTGAAATTTATAGCTAATTTCTTAGTTATTTTGGCTTCAAAGTACATTTTAAAAAAGAGAATAAGTTTCTAGGCATTTTGCAAGTTTGTAATGTTATAATGTAGCTAGATTAGCAGTTTTCTCGCTTCAGGTATAAAAACGGAAAACCAACTGTCAAATAAAGTTTGAAAATTGAGCTTTCTTGGTTTGCTTGAGCTTAATAAATTTTATAAGGTGCAAGGTTGCTTCTTTCTGACTTGCAAATTACTTTAACAATTAAAAGAATTTGTTAGGTCCTGATCTCGTATGTTGTCTATTTTTGCCTTCCTAGTTCCTTTAAAATTACCGCCACCATGTTCTATGCCCCTAATCCCAAGGTCGATAAGCTGCCCGATCGGGATCGCCTGCCCCAAATTATCGCCGAAATATTGGCAACACGGCAGACACAGCAAAAATTCTTGCCGGCATGGGGGTGTCCCCCGGAAAAAATTTACGACCGATTTACAACCGAGGGTGAGTCCGGTAGAGGGAAAAGCCTCAGGTGTCAACGTGGGAATGGGGTGGCCGGTCAAAGGGTGCATGTCTAGCTCAAAAGATCAGGGTTTAAAGGGGTGGTGACATCTCTCTAGTGATTTTTTTCCAGCTTGCCTGGAAATACTGTAAAAACCACTCACACATGACCTGCCACGTGCAGGGTAGCGAGCCGTTCAGCGTGGCCAGCGAGTGGAGGTAGCCAAAATATTCGAAAGCTGTGTGCGACCATTTTGACATCATGAACTGGAAATGGGTTACTGTACTTTAAACAGAGTATGATAAATGCAGAGTACTGTGGAAGGTATCGTACTGTAATTCCCACCTTAACCTTCACACGCCTAAATGCCGCCCTCCGAATAGCGTCGTCAAGCGCAGAGAAATAGCTAAATTTATAGATTGCTGACTACACAAACCCTTTCAAAACGCAAGAAAAACATTTTATTAAATTACTCACTAATTTTCTTTCAAATATAGCGTAGCTGGGATGTAATCCATGACGGCTAGGTGCACGAATTCGGTGGCTTCATCGATTACCTAAAAAATGGGATCGGTTATGCCAGGGAATACGGGTCACCTTGACCATGGCGTCAATGTCGTTTTCACGGCCACAGGCGTTGAATTCGGGAGGGGAGCTCTAAAGATAGAATAGAAAATAAACATGGGAATTTTATTCTATTGCTTGTTTGAAGCTACTCGAAAAGAAGCACCGGAAATTAAGCAAAAATAAAAAAAAACACTATTTTACTATGACTTACCGATACGTAAACATCAAGATTTGTGGCCCCGAGCTGCGGAACTACGTAAGGATTCCCATGACGAGCACCAACCCATCGCGATTCGGGCCAGCTGGACGGAATCTCAAAAAAAAGTGATCTTAAATTTTATTTCCTGCCTTACCTTAGCGTCCGGAAGTCCCAAATCCCAATAAGTATCCTCAATCTTCTCCACATCCTGCGCAATACACGGGCAATTCAACCCCAGTATCCCCAGCTCTTTCACCTAACAAATTTTATTTGTTAGCTTATTAGGTATTTTATGTCTTTACCTGACGCAGCGATCGCCAATCGAAATTCGCGGAGCCGACGTAAAAGTGCCGGCTGTCGACCACCCAGCTTTTTGTGTGGATGATTCCAAAAAATGGCTTGGATGAGCGAGAGGTTTTTGAAACTAACCTGAACCGATCAGCTTCTTAAAATCGAGGGATCGGACTCGGATATTTGATGATAGTTTTTCCATATCTGTTGCTTCCCAGGTCATTGACGCTAAAAATTGTGGCTTAGGTCGGTCGAATCCTAAGCCTAAACTAATCTTAAGCTGGAACCCAAGCCCAAGCCAATCATAAGCCTGCTGCTTACTTGACGTATCGAAATTCTGTGCTATATCAACCCGAATCCCCCGCTTCGCCGTGGCAACAATCCCGTCATAGATGTCTTGACCCTAAAAACCATAGTATACTTAAAATACAAGGCAACCTACATCCTGCCCCGAGTTTCTCGGGTCCGAGAAATTAGCCGGCAGCTCAGAGTCCTTGAGCAAGAGCGACCAATAGTAGGAGCCGATTTTCACGTTCGATTTGGCGATATCTAAGGGGTGCGGTAATTCGTTAGAACGAGGAATTGTGAATTACTTAATAAATCGAGCCAGCATTTTGTGGTCGAATTGTTGGGTTCGTCTAGGTTCATACCGTCGGGGATTGATTCGCAGAGGTAGAATCTAGAAGAGAGGCTTGAAACTGCAAAAAACCGGGTGTTTAGAGGAACATAACGTAGTCATCGTAATAAGGGTAATTTCTATTTCATACTCGCATGTATCTTCACAGCTCGGAACTGGTGGAGGTGTACAAGATGGAGTCGGGGTTTCGGTCACATTTGGGAACCCATAACCCGAAGTCATCGTCATTTTCGGCGTGGTCGTAGTAGTGGTATCGGCGGGATTTGGCGGGTAGCTGACGGTCGGATTTGAGGCGTCATTGCGTAGTTTTACAAAATTCTATAAAAAAATTGAGAAATCCGGATTTTAAAATCCAACCCACCGCAATTGTGAATCCAGAATTTACCATGACTGCCACCATCAATAAGGAAAAGCCGATGAAATAGTGGTAGTTTGTGGATGTCGATGGTTTATCCATGTTTGAAGGCTAAAAAAAGTAATAAAAGTATTGATTAGGCTAAAAAGGTAATAAAAGTAATGTAGATCGGAAAATACATCAAAAAATTAATTTTATAGCCTAAATTTTTCGATAATTTAGCTAATAATTTTATAGTAGTTTGGGATATTTAAAATCAAGGGGTACTGTAGCAATGGAAACATAGCTACAGCTGATTTCCATCAATTTTCACTTATTTAAGCATTTATTTTCAGGTTCATCTAAAGATTTAAAGTTATGTCGACTGACTAGATATTAGATCTGAACTACTACGGTATAGCACCAAGATACAAAAAAATTCTTCCAACTTTTAACGCTAAAAAGCCGTTTTTTTTGGCGAAATTTGGATACATGCAGTACTCTGGTAAAACCAGTGGTGTTTTCGTGTCATTTGGCGATGTCAAAGACAGGACCCCTCGTTGGGCCACCAGCAGTCCATCGAAAAGCCTTCCGTTATCACCGGCCGACACGTGCCAATGCCACCGAACCCACTCGCTGAGGGGGATTTGTCGCGGCGCCGCCTGTGATTCAAAGCCATCCACCCCTGATTTGTGCTGTCCTTTCCCGAATTCGATTATCGGCTTAGCCTTGCAGCTACTAGACAGTCGCCGATCAGGGCGGGCTCCTTGCACTGTTAATTTCGGAGGGGAAGGAGGGGGCAAAAGGGCATTTTGGGCCCAAATGACGAGAAAATTTGCAAAGCTGCCAAAGAACTTTAAATCACTTAATAAAAAGCCAGAAAGAGAGAGGGGGTAGAGAGTGCGATAGGGAGTAAGAGCGAGAGACTGGGAGCGTGAGAGTGAGTGAAAGGTTGAGAGCAAGTGTGAGATAGAGTGAGAGAGAAAGTAAGCCTGAGAGCGAGAGAGAGCGAGACAGAGAGAGAGAGAGAGAGAGAGAGAGAGAGAGAGCGAGATATAGAATGACATAGGGAGAAAGAGAGAGAGCGAGAGAGCGAGAGAGAGCGAGAGTGAGAGAGCGAAAGGCTTTAAACTAGCCTAAAACAAAAACTTCATTTTCTTACACATTTATTCTCAAACAGCCCAAGCTTCTTATAGCCTCAGGCTCAACGCAGACAGTCTAAGCACAAGCGGTACAGTAAAATAGGGAAAATACCGTAACCTCACGAAAAGGATTAAGAAAATAAATTTCGAATTAAGGTAAGTAAGCCAAATTAAGTCTAGGTTAACACGTCCTAATCAACGATAAAAATTCATCACGAGTTTTCGGGTTGTCCCGGAATTCGCCGAGCATACAGGACGTCGTCGTGCGTGCGTTCATCTTCTGGACACCACGCATTACCATGCACATATGGCTAAAAATTAAACTACGTTATCATATAAAACTTCTTTAAAATCGGTTATAGTTCTATCGAATTTCGACAAAATCTCTGGTTTTTGCCAATCAAGTTTACCTGGCTTCGATGACGACAGCAACACCATGTGGTTGAACTGCTTCCGAGATGGCCGTCGCAATTTGTTTGGTTAGCCTTTCTTGAACTGAATTTCCGTTTTAATTTAGTGTAGCGTAATTTGGTGCACCTTGTAGTCTTCGGCTGAACATGTCGACCACTCTTGCCAGCTTTGATAGGCCAAGGACCCGTTTATTCGGAAGGTATGCTAAAAAGAAGATAAGATAAGTAGGATTTTCTATAAAACACTTTAGAAATTTCCCTTTCACTGAAATTTCGACATTCTGATTTTCGAAAAAAAAGCTAAATTTCGGCAAAAGAAGTTTCTGATAGCAAATAAAATAAAGCATAATCCTTAATATTAACCCACCAATATGCACTCTACCCATAAACGGGACAAGATGATGCTCACATAGCGAAAACATGTCAATGTCTTTGACGATGACGACCTCATCATGGTCCTCATCAAATATGGCCTCGTTCAGCAATTCTGGGCCCCAATTTTTCGCCTCGATTTATCGCCGCCTACCGTCAAGATTCTGCTCGTAGCCCTGCGTGAACGTCATCATCGCTTTTGCAGCTCGTTCTGGGGTTTTGAGGAGGCCTTAAAGGGGTTAGTAAGTCAGAAAGCGTCATCACTTAATATACCTTGTCGTTCGACATCTTCACCAACTTGTGAGAGGATGGTACGATAGCAGTTGGCCATTTGCTGGACAGGGGTCAGAAGTGGCTAGAATAATCGTAGCAATAACGCATGAACCGTAGGCTTTTTGCGTCGTTACTGTGTCCATTTATTTGGCTTGCCAACCCCTTTAAAGTCCCCACCTTCAACTCCTCCTGACCTGCTTCCGACATCACCGAACTTCGCCCCGACGCCACCCCGGAACTCGTCCCGTTTTCTAAAACGCGCACTACGATAAATACCGCATAAATAAAATATGGCGCATAAAACTCACATTAGTTTTTCCAAGAATTTCGAATATAATTCAAAAGCTATGTCGGTACTGGACTTTTAGCGGGGGGGTATCAGGAAGCACCAAATAACAAAACCCCGTAACCCCTAAGCCCCGATAACAAAATATAACATTTTCTGGTATTTTACACAGTTTTGAGATATAAAAATTTATGAAATATATAAAACGATTCAAAATTTGTTGGTTTTTTGGTCAAAATTGTGTGAAAAATGAAAAAAGTAAAATTTTCGAATTTTAGAACATGAAAGCAACCAAAAACTACTAAAAACACTATAAAAACACATTCTAGATTATGAGCAGCTAGGTGTAGACGGAAAGTCAAAAATATCCCCCCACCGCTGAGAGTCCAGTACCGTTACGTCGTATTCAACGTGGTTTTGCGCTATAAGCAAAGCAAAAGTGAGCAAAAACACCCTACCGTAAGCCCTAAAATCCAAAAAAACCTACCAACCATCCGCTCGAAACCCATCTAACGCTTCTGGCCGGCCGCTTCTGGCTGGCAGACACGTCAGGAATGGCACCCAACACCGATTACCTATTCTCCAGACCCCTAGAGACAGCCACAACCAGAGAAACACAACCCAAAAGAAAAGCATTCCCAAATCTATGAAGGGGCAACATGAACCTCGGTACCCTGATGCCGGATACCGATCTCACCGGGTTCCCTCTCCTTCTAGCCCCAATTACCCCCTCACCCCACCCACCCACCCAATCCAACCAAAGGCCCACAGACAAATGTGGGCACCACAAAAAATGGGCCTCTTCTCCCATTCCCCCATCACCCATAACCACCCAAAAAAAGAACGGAAATCTCGATGACGTGGAGGAATTCGGTTATTCAGATTTTCCAGGTGTTTCATCAGAACTTGATCGACTAAGCCTAAGCCAAGCCTAATCTAAGCTTGAGAAGCCTAAGCTTAAACCGAAGCATTAGCCTAGGTCTACAGAAGTTTAATATAAGCTCGTGAAGCCTAAGCCTACGCCTACGTCTAAGTTTAAGCCAAGCCTAATCGAAGCTTAAGAAGCCTAAGCCTAACCCTAGACCTACGCCTAAGCCCAAGCCAAACCCAATCTAAGCCTAAGAAGTCTAAGCCTACCCAAGCCCATTCTAAGCTTAAGAAGCGAAGTCTAAACCTAAGCCTACGCCTAACTCCAAACCAAGCCTAATATAAGCTTAAGCCTAAGCCTAACCCTAATCACAAACTCGCGGAGAATTATTCAGACAATTGTTTACTCGAAATCTCCAGCCTAGTAAAGATTGAGCATGACAGTTGAAAACGAGTCAAAAACTACTGTCGGACCCGTCAATATCAGGTTTTGGGCAAACACATATCGCCAATGGTTGGGCGAGCTTCTTCCAGGCTGAACAGGTGAATAATGTGCCATATGACTGTTTTTTAACGTTGAAATCCTCCCGGAATTCTAGATATACCTGTCGATCGAGCATACAAAACGATTCTGGAATTTCTTGGAAGGTAGACTGCATGGAAAGTACCCCTTGAGGTCAACGGCCAACTCTGCATTTCTCCTCCTGCCCGTTAAACCGCCAGAGTCTCTTAAAATATTCTTTTCAGACTACTTTTTAAAGTTCAAGTCTTGAAAGCGGATGAATTACAAATATTCCATCTAAAGTAGTCCTGAAAACGGCACTAAAACCGCTTGTTTCATAGTTTTACGAGCGCTAGTCTCTGAAAAACTTCGATGAATTCCTTTTTTTCGAGAAAATACGGGAGCGTTTTCAGGTAGAAACCCCCAGAATAACTAAATTTCAAGTGTATGATCGGAAAGAGAATTAAAAAAAGATCATTTAGCCATTTATTTCGATGGTTTTACGCTTCATCGCCTCTGAAAAAAATCGATACAAACTTTTTCTTGACAAAATCCATGTACATCCATGGCGCTCAGGGCGCCATTTCTGAACGAACGTTTCAAAGTCAGTAAATTTCGCGTTTTCCATCTGAAAGAGTATCAAAAATTATCAGAGAGCTACTTTTTCATTGTTTTTAGGCTTGCAGGTGATAGTAAAACTCGATCATGCTGTTTCACGATCCAATACCAGGTTGTGATAAGATTTTATAAAGCTTCAGAAACCTTTTTCCAGAAGTTTTCGGACTATTTGGTGCCCTCATCATGAAGAAACCCGCTGGCAATATGCCCCTAAAATGCCAGACCCAATTGCCCGTCCGATTCCGGGGCGATATTTGCTCGCTCGGCGCTGCGTCACCGCGGACCGGTCTCCGGTGGTTGCCATCCTGGGCGAGAAGTGGCTAGACAAAATAAAACAAAAAATAAAATTAAAATATGTACAGTTTGATTGCTTTGATGACGAATCAAAATATAGTCGGGTTCAACGCGCTAATCGACAGCATCATTAATAGAACAAATGGATTAAATTATAGCGAGAATCCTTAAAATTTCTCGGAAATCAGCACATAATTGTATAAAATTAGTATAATTTGTTTCAGAAAAATCTATACGCTTTTTAAGGTATTATTTTTCAATAACTATTGACAAATAGTGGAACAAATCTAGGCTGAAACTATGTTTTCTTCAAGCAAAGAAGCCATTTTTATCAATTTCCGAGAAATATCCAATTTATTTTGATTTTTGAGCTCCCGGTATCTCGTTTTCTGCCAAATGTGTTTTTTGGGACCGGTGCGTCATTGCACTATTGTGTTGCCCCACAGAACGCGCCCTCTATTCCGAAATTCCCAACGATCAATAAGAGAGAGACCCAGAGAAACAGCACAGCTGCGTTGCGGCTCGATTATTTTGAACTGGAACCCCCGTCATCTCATTAATTTCTATAATCAACACATATCAATGGCTTCCAAGACCTCCCCTTTATGCTTCCGGCTAATATCGGTCATCGATCTGCCCGCTATCATTAGCAAAATTGCCCTAATTTCCATGTGCGCCATCTGCGTTTCCGACCGCGACGCGTCGCGCCCCGCGTCCCCATATAAAAGCCGCCCGCTCTCCCCAGCCTCATTCCATTCTCTCGTCCGCCTATTTTTCGGCTTCTTCCCCCCACCAAACAACCTTCAACTTTCAAGATGACGTACGACAACTCCATCGCGACGTGCAGCTACGACGAGCCGCGTCAACCCACCGCCACCCAAATCCTCGGCGTCGCCATCCAGAAGCGGCGATCCCTCAACAAGCTCAAGGAGCGCGACTACTACCGCGAGCTACTGCACACGGCCACCATCCAGAACCTGTGTAAGCATTTGGGTGAGCGACGTCGCGCCAAACGGCGTACGCTCGACCTGACTGACGGTGATGGAGCCCCGTCGGCCAAAAAGGGTTGCACTGAACCATCAGTTCAGAAATGTGATCCCCAAGGCGATGCCAACAAGACGAAGCCGCTCGGCTGCAGCCCCTATGCTAATAACGAATCAAGGATGCAAACACAAGGTGGGTATTTTTAACTTTGAGTTTCGAAACTCTATTTCCTGTAATTCTTTACGTAGACTTTCGAAATTGATCTAAAGTTCTCATATAAATTTCGCGCATTTCAAAACAGGAAATAGGGTAAAGTTGGAGGTAGGCCACTGGTTTTTCGCGTGTTCTCCGGGTTTTAAAATGCTCAGTCCACATATCCAGATTGGCACCACCCGATATCGTTCATAAGATGCCACTGACCGCAACCCCCCCTCGCGATCTGGTGATGAGACAGTTACTGATCGGCCGAGTTTCGAAACTAATTTCTCCTTTTTAGTGGCCAGCAACTGAAGATCGTCTCGTTGCCCCTCGAGCTCCGCGGCGCCATCTCATCCCGTTGCTGCGAAGACATCAAGAACTTCTACGGGTCCCAGCGCACCAATTATCCAGTGTTTACGGGTATTTTATAGTCTTATATGTATATATCTGTGTTTTTATTGAAATAAACATGCTAAACTGATATTTAGACTCTCGCAGCTTCAGCCACAATGAATTAGAAGGAGTTTGGCGCTGATTGGCGGTTCTTGGAGCACGAATTCGTGGTATTTTGCCCTTGTAGGGTTCTTTTTAGAAGATGCAACGGGCGGGTTTTTAGCCCTCAGGCAGGTTGATTCCCGGGGCGCGCAATAGCAGTGACAGCCTTTTAGGTCGCGTAATGCAACTGATTACTCGATGTTTTGTTGAAACAAAAACTATTATAAGTGTAAGAAACTATATTGCTTTAATCGCAAGTTTATTTTAACGGCAAGAATAGTATAATAACGTGCACGACGGCTCATTGTATATATGATCAGGGCAGCGCTTTACAACGGGGCGATAAAACCTTTGCTTGCTTGTACGTATAAAACCAAATATCTTAGAAAAAGCAAGACGCATCCGCAAGGGAGACATTATCAAATATATTTTGTCGAGCCTTCTAGCTTCTCGGCTTGACAGCACGGGTGCAATCAACGGAAAAAATTTTGGGCCAAAATCATGACTATGTATGCTTCGCGCAAAATTTTACCGATACCTTTCCGGACTCGACGATCACTCTGAATAAAGTATTTCCTATTTGTAAAAGTATGCTTTGTTGTAACCGGAACCAAGGCAGGCCTGTTGTTCAGAATTCTCCTGCTGCCGGACAGCGTAAGATCAGCGCTAAAACTATGCTTACGGGAAGTTCGCCTTGGAAAGAAAGAAGCGACTTAGTTTTGGATAGTTTTGGTCTATTTGTTGAAAACCTCCTAGTTTCTCAGCCCAACCTTGTTCGATTCATAATTGCGCTTCTTAAACCTATGTGAACTTAGGAAACCCTACTTTTCATCGTGTATCGCTCGGAAGTGTGGCCTGAAAGCTTCTTGAGTGGATACCCTAAAGCCATGAGCCAGAACTGATTTTAGAAGTCCCCTGTTAATCCTGATTCACCCTTGTGTGATGCGTCTTGCTGTTTCCAAAATATTTGGTTTTATACGTACAAGCAAGCAAAGATTTAGCGCCCCGTTGTAAAGCGTCGACCCGAGCAATAAGCCGTTGTGCATGTGATTATACTATTCTTGTAGCTGTACCTGTAAAATAAAATAAACTTGCGATCAAAGCAATATAGTTTCTTACACTTATAATAGTTTTTGTTTCAACAAAACATCGAGTAATCAGTTGCATTACGCGACCTAAAAGGCTGTCACTGCTATTGCGCGCCCCGGGAATCAACCTGCCTGAGGGCTAAAAACCCGCCCGTGAAGATGCAATCGCTCGAGAAGTGTACGAGGCGAGCCTTTGGACACAGAAAACTAGCGTAATTGGATTGGCGCGCGCGAACCATGTGTGAGGTCGCTGGAGCACAAGCACTAATTGGAGGCGTCGACTTCATCCTTAAAATTCTTGGTACTTTGCGCTAGTAGGGTTCTTTTTAGAAACTCGGTCTCCTTTGGCTCTTTGTCTGGCGTTGCCTGGCAAGCGTTCAAGGATTCGAGAAAATCTTGGTGAAGCTTCTTCTTGGAATCCGTTGTTTGGTAATTTAGGGGTTTTATAGGGGGTCCTCTTTAGAGAAAGCAGCCACTTGGAGACGGGTTGATACACATGCTGCGAGAGCGTTGGCGTTACAGTCGGGTCGGGCCGTGTGGAAGTGTCTTGATGCGCGTGGTCAAGCGCGCTTCTTACTGCACCACTTCTGCGAAATTCGCGGTACTTTGCGCTTATAGCTTGTTCTTTTAGAAACTCGACACGAACATTGGCATTCGCGCACCCAACTTTAACTGCGAAGGTTCTAGCTTTCAGGGAGGGGCGGGGTAAACAATTCCTTTTTGTTTAGAAAAGCATAGGCGACCGAGACAGTGCATCGACGCAACTCTACGCCATAAGAAACGCGCATGAACATCGACCCAAGCTACAACGATCACGGAACCTGAAAGCTTTTCAAGAACGGGGCCCATCAATTTCGAATTTGGATTCCGAAAGGATGGTATTTTGAGTTAGCCGCGTCTTTTTTTAGAAAAACTACGGTCGTTGCGCAAGGGCACGAAGCGTTCATTTCCGAGCCGCGCTCGTCGATCCTGGAACATTTGGGACCCGCGCATAACAAGGAGCCGTTGTGAGGTGATGATGGAGTTTTGCGATGTTACAATGCCCATTCAATAGGGTTTGCAATTCTGAATGGGTTCCGTCTTTAAAATCGACTAAACCATAACGGCATGTAGGCAAAATTTGCTCTGAAGCGTCGATTTCATTCATTTTTGATACCACCTAACAAAATATAACCTTTCGAGGCTTTTGTTCGCTATGATCCAGTAATATTTGAAAGAAGGGCGCCTGTTCAGAATTTCGAGCTCTATCCAACGCATTATAACGGATCGCAAAACCCCATTGCCATCTTAATACAACTCCTTGTAAGTTTTGCAGACGTAGATTTTGCTTTTCATGTGCGTGCGAGTCGTTCGGGCCACATTTCACGCAAGTTCGGCGCAGGCCTTTGAAGTTTGAAGTCTTGATGCTGAAGCGATTGAAGCCCAAAGCTGGTGCTCCGTTAGCAAGTATCGATCGCCGATTTCTGAGGGAAAATGAGGCGTAATTTTGGTTTTTTTTTAAACAGATCCAGTTAATAAGTCTGACAAGGCTTTTCTAAAATGAGACATTTTCTAGACGAGGAGCGCAAGGTCACGTCGTGTTCACTGTGGTGACCCACGACTTCCGAGCGTTGCCCGGTCGAAATGATGCCATGTTCAGCGTCATTTACCACCTGTACAACAATAATAAGTGTTTTTGTTGATACGGTGTAAATAAACGCTTTCATGGCAATTTATGGATATTCGCACACAAGGAAATCATGAATGAAGCGGGGGATTTCGAGGAATTTAGCGACTACAGACTACACCGAAGTGTGATGGCATTGCTGCTGCTGAACGCGATGATCATCTACTTTTGCAACCTGGAACGCCATCTGTAAAGATTTTAGTTGCAATTATCATATTTAGCCATCTAAAATCCGTGAATTTAGTTTTTTTGACCACAATTATGCTTAGAATAGTGGCGTACTTTAGAACTTGAGATACTTTAGCCTGAGATATAAATGGTTTCTTAATTTTACAGAGCTTGAGGGAGTTACTAACTAGCTTTTGGCCTTGTCGAGGCATTTAAAGGTGATTACGAGTGTTTTAGGCCCTGGAAGCTTCGTTTTTAGCTTTTCTTTGGGGGTTTTGTCGCTATAAAAATATTTTTATGAATTTTTGGCGAAATTTGAAAAGCTATTGATTGATTGGTATCGAAAACTTGTGTTCAGAGATCAATAAAATTTTGAAAACTGAGTTAAACTGAAGACGCGAGGTAAATCACCGGCAGACATGGGGTTTTTGCGGGTATTTACGCTTGTATGTGACTTAATATTTACACGGGGACGTTTTTGGGTAATATTGGAGTTTTGCGATGTCAAATAGCTCATTCCATAGAGCTTGAAATTCCGAATTTTCTCAAAGACTGCTGAATGAGACCGGACTTCGAGGGATGGTTTTTCATAATGCAGATTTTTTTAAACGAAAAACCAAACATTAGCTAAAGCTGTTCGTTCAGAGTGAAATTTCGAGAAGACCGTCATCTTGCAACAGGTTTTGAGAGATAGGATTTGTTTGTAATTCTAAATTCTATAGAATTGGCTATATAACAACCAAATCACCTGAAGCAACCGTCACTCTGTACCCCCTTTAGGTTTGGACACCTTTGGATCCACCTGAACCATCCAAGGACCCTGACCAAGCGGATTGGGACCCCCCTTCTGGCCGCTGGGGCCTCATTAGGGGATGAGGTGCGGGACTTCATCCAGGTGCCCTCCTTTTGTAGGGATCCCCCTCCCCTCTTCCCCTGATATGAGGTGTTGTATTGAGAGCTGCTCACCGGGAGAGATGCCTCCCCTTCATATCCTCCCCCTCCCAGAGTCCTTCCTTCACTTTGGGTGGCCCTCCCCTAGTGTCTCCGTTGGTGCGGAGCCGCGGATTAGTGTCCGCTTCCCTCGCCCCCTCGTCCGTCTCCCTAGCGACGCCCAACAGATTGCTAAGGGTCTAATGCCAGCCTAATTGTGACCTGACTGGGTGTGAGCAGCAGGGCCCTCCGTCTCCATTCGGGTGGGCCCCTCTCTGGGTCCACCCACCCCGTCCCTACTGGGCCATTGGCCTTGAAAACGGGCCCTTCAGGGCTATCCGCTTACCGTTAAGGGGTTTAAGTAAGCATTTCGGGTGTTTGGGTTGGGGTGGCTTTTGAAAATTACGTGTATCTGCCCGAATTATGAAATGTTCGTTATCATTTTATCATTTTTATCTTTATCGTTATATCAAGGTGTCAGTTCCTATCATTAGTGCACGATAAGAAACTTGTGGCGGTAATATTCTGCTCCATCTCCTCAAAAAAATATCTAACCTCGAATTTCTAGCAGTTACCGTAACCTTTCTGAACGCATAGCTACCGTAACCCAAAAAGTTAACTACTGTAATATACTTGTATATAGTTATTATAATTCGGATTTGAAAGGGTGATTTTTCGGGCGATTCTTCAGTACCTCCTCCCAAAAAACCACTAAAATTCGAATTTTTCATGGATACCGTAACCCTTGTAATCACCTACCTACCGTAATCCATAGAATTCCACGTCGTTATCGGTTTGTCAAACCCACTTTCCAATCAGAACCCGATTTAGCAAACTACTAGCAACGCATCTTCGAGTTTCCACCACTTAC